TTCCGAGCGTTGAAGTACCCTTCCATATTAGGGATAGCGTGACTGGGATTGGAGATCTGGCCTGACCGCCGGATGAGTAAGCCGGAGCTCATCGTTGAAGCGCTCAAGCAGTGCTAGACATTCTATAGATTTGGCCTCTACGATTCAGGCGTGACGGAGCGAGAGTAGAGGAGGAGCCCAGCTTTGCGATTGTCTCTCACTAATGTCCGTTCATGAATCTTACCCATTGACTTAACTGCAACCTCTCCCCGCCGTCACTCCGGCCCCAATGAACGGCTTTGCGGATCATGGCCTCGACGAAGATGCGTTTGGGGAGAAAAGCGGCATTGCAGCGGGACTGAGAACGTTTGACGCTTTTCGTACGTGCATCTAATCTCCAATTTACAGTTTATCCAAGGCTGACTGACTGTTATTTGTCTCTAGCGAAGACCAAGCCCACCTACACCACCGCGAGTCGACGTGGAGGCCAATGGACGGTTTTTATCTTCCTATTTTGCGGCAGCCTCGTATTCTCGGAGCTTGTCTCTTGGTATCGAGGGACGGAAAACCACCATTTCAGCGTCGAAAAGGGCGTTTCACAGGAAATCCAAATAAACCTTGATATGGTTGTCCACATGCCATGCGAGGCACTCCGGATGAACATGCAGGACGCCGTTGGGGATTTTATTTTAGCAGCTGAATTACTACATAAAGATGATACTAGCTGGGATGCGTGGAATCGGGAGCTGAATTACGCTAGCAAAGGCGGATCACCACAGTACCAGACGTTGAACGCGGAAGATGACACTAGGTTGGCGGAGCAAGAAGAAGACCAGCATGTTGGCCATGTGCTCGGGGAAGTCAGGCGGAGTTGGAAACGGAAATTTCCAAAGGGACCAAAACTGAAAAGTAAAGATGCGATGGATTCGTGCCGAATATATGGGAGCTTGGAGGGCAACAAGGTGCAAGGCAATTTTCACATTACTGCCAGGGGGCTGGGGTACTGGGATCCAAGCGGATTCCATTTGGAAGGTATGTCTTCCTCTCTTTGCTTCGCAAGTGGTGTAAAACTAACACGGAGCACATAGGCCTTAACTTCACGCATCTTATCACTGAACTCTCGTTCGGCCCTCGCTATTCGACTCTTTTGAACCCCCTGGACAAAACAGTTGCCGGCACAAAAGATGCATTTTACAAATACCAATACTACCTCTCCGTGGTCCCAACGATCTATACACGGGCTGGGACCGTTGATCCATACAACCAGGAGCTCCCTGACCCTTCCACAATTACATCTCGACAACGTAAGAACACCATTTTTACCAATCAATATGCAGTTACTTCCCAGTCCCACGCAATTCCCCAAAACGTACGAGCCGTGCCAGGCATCTTTTTCAAGTTCGACATTGAGCCTATTTTGCTAGTTGTGAGCGAGGAACGGGGCAGTTTGCTTGCTCTATTAGTTAGGCTGGTTAATGTGGTTTCGGGCGTGTTGGTTGCAGGTGGCTGGGTCTTTCAGCTTGCTACCTGGGCACTTGAGGTATGGGGAAGGAGGAGAAAGGGCATGAGCCTGGGAGTGTTGGGAAACCATGAATCTGAGGAGTAGGCGAGGTGCCTTTAGAGAGCTCTTCCTTTTTTTGATTTAAAAAGAGATTGGGATGGTGGTTATCTATGTCTTATTGTGTATCATTTATCTAGCTCTATCTACGCTTGAGCGCCCTCGGGAGCAACCAGAACCACCCGATAGCGCACCTTTCCATCTGCTAGCCGATCCATGGCTTTTTCAATCCCTTCCTCGTTCATATCGAAAAGCTCAATTAGGGGCCTAATCCTATGCTGGGCCGCAAAATCAAGCATCCGCTGGTGCACTGGTAATGAAGCTACCGCTGAGCCCAAGATGCGGAGCCCCTTGCCCAGCAGCGGCATATATGGAATTGTAAAATCCCCAAATGCCACGGTGACGGGGTAGATGGCCCCGCGGGGCGCGAGGAGCGGTAGGTATAAAGACCATTCCACCTGAGCACTGGATGTGACGATCAAATGATCGATCTGCTCAATGTCGTTGAATTCCTTGACGCCGCGTGTGGCATAGAACTCGTTGGCGCCCAGCGACAGCGCCTCTTCCTTCTTATCGTGCGTCCCGGAGAACACCACCGTTTGACAGCCCATGCTCTTTGAGAATTGAACCGCGATATGGCCCAGCCCGCCGAGCCCAATTATCCCGACACGATCAGAGGGCCTGATGTTGAACTGGTCAAAGAGACTGAATACCGTGGCTCCAGCGCACATCAACGGTGCTGCGACGGCGCTCTCCATCGAGTCGGGCACTTTGAAAAGGAAGGCCTCGTTCCATATCGCCGCGTAGGCCATGGAGCCTTGATCGGTGTTGCTGCTACCAAAGGTCTGGCGGTCGGGGCAATACACTTGCTGGGCGTTGATGCATTGCTTGCAGTGTGTGCAGGACTTTTGGAGATAGCCCCAGCCCACTCGGTCTCCTCTATAAAAAAAAAAAAAGGATCAGACTATCATCAAGCCGTGGTGACGCGAATTTGAGGCAGGCTTTACCTTTTCAGCACCGCGGCGTCTGGGCCTATTTCAGAAACAATTCCAACGCCCTCGTGCCCAAGCACACAGCCGGCGGTCCTATAATGCAAATCCGTTCCGCAAAGGCCTGAATGCGTAACGCGAATGAGCACTTCGTCGCCTTTCAACTCACCTTTTCGAGTGACATCCCGGGCTATTTTGCCATCTTTTGTTCCTCTAAAAACGGTGAACTCGTGCCCGGAATCCTTGCTGACCGTCATCTTTCCCCGTTCTCGATATAAAACTGGCTAACCTGACTGACTTGCCGCAGTCCAATTCCCAGCATCGGGGGAGAACAACGCTTTATACCATTTCTTCTTGCCCATTCAGCTTTTCACAGATTACGCCATTGCTATCTGTTCAAATTGCCATCGAGATTGGATTCCGGTTCACCAGTGGAGCCCGCTCCCCGGGGATGCTTCGGCCGTTGCCATCAATATCAGTAAATGTTCAACCTTTGTGTTGGACTGGAAAAATGCAAGCTCTTAGCCACTAGGCCAAAAGAGAATATCCTCTAATGCCACGGGCACTAGAACTGCATTTTAACCTTGTGTCTTGTAGTCTGACACTTTGTCTCCAGGGGCAAACTGGAAGATGCGTACCTGCTTATTCATTCTACAAATTTCAGCCGAGGCAAAAAAGGCCTGAGATTCAAGACTTGCATACTCCGTATGAAGCTCACTAGTTGCTACAGCGTCTCTTCATTCGTCTCAGGATTACACGTATATATAAAAATACAGCCTGGAATCTAAATCTCAAATATCTCGCCGAGCCCTACCCCTGCACCCTGCGCGCCGTATCGGCACTCAACCAAATCAAGCCTCCATCCATTCCAGTTTTTCAGTTTGCCCTTCACGTCACGCTCCCATTCTTTCCGCTTCCTATTCTCTTCTTCCTCCTGCGCTCTGGCAAAGGCATCCTCATCAAACATGCCATCATCGTCTAACAACTCTCCGCCATCCTTTTCAGACAGTAGCTCAAGGCTCCTGCGCATGCCACTGGAGCCCGGACGGTGTGGATAAGATGTGCCACTCCCAGTAAACGCAGCAAGACCACTTGATAGAACGGTTGTAAAAGAGGAGTGCTGCCGTGGTTTGTTCGCTGCAATGCTTCGACGGCGGGAGTGCTCAGACCCGCTGGGCAAGCCACCGATTAGATCGACATCATCAAAAGACCCGCCAGGATTGGATAGACTTTCGGTAGCATCCCCATCGCTTCCGTGGGCAGTAGTGAGCTCACGTTTCCGGTCTTTCCAGATGCCACGCCGAAGGTCAAAGTTCTCTCCTTCAAGATCGCGAATAGTTTTCTCCAAACGAGCGCGTTCTTCGTCTTCAAGCTCATCTAGTGCTTCATCATCCCCCGTGCTCGTTACTTCACGCTTCCGTGTTCTCTCGCGTTCTTCTCGAAGGCGCAGGTTTTTCATTTTCGATAGTGACAAGCTTCCTGCGCATTGTGAGCACCTCCTTTTCGAATTTGTCTCGTTCCCTGAGCCGCGTTTGATGTCGGATTTCTGCTTCCTTGTGAAGGTTACCAAGAGCTTCGAGCTTCTTCTCCAAGGTTGCCCTCTTGGCTTCAACTTCCGTCTTCGCATTCTTCATCTGCTCTAGTTCATCTTTCAAATTGTTGATTAATGTTTGGGTAGAGGCCTGGGTCACGCCTTCGTTCATTGACTTTTCAATCATGCGATTCATCGTGTTCTTTGTATTCGCATGTTCCTTCTCCTCGTTTACTAAGGCTGATTTCGTGGAAGACAACTCTTCTTTGAGCGCGGATAATTGTGCCTCGACAGTGGATGCGGTTTCTGCTTGTGAAGTCAATTGAGCGCGTAGATTTGAGATTTCCAATTCCATAGCTTCAATGGTAGCCGATTTGGAATCCAGTTCGCTCTGAAGAGCGGAGGTCGGGGAATCTGGTTTCCCAGACACAGCAACACTATTCGATGATCGTTGTGATTTAGACTGAAGGTGAGAATTCTGACGCTGTAACGATGTAATCTCTGCTGTCTGCTGGAATAAGCATATTTTCAAACGAGCAAGGTTCACTTTGCGATAAACTCACTAATTTTTCAACTTCTTCTGCTTTCTTCTCTGCTGCCACAAGCTTCTCCCTAAGCTCTACCGTGTCACTATTGGCCTCGCGCAAATCTTCTAGTTGCTCCTCTGATTTCTTCCATCTCGCATCTGCTGTCTCCAAATCCCGTTCCAACCGCTTATTTTCCTTTTCCAACTCTTCCAGCCTCATGGCCTGCTTCCTAAACAGCTCCGGAGCAGTGTTTCCATCCGGACTCAAGGGCGGTAGGGACGGTGATTTGACTCCGGAACCCGTAGGTGTTAGTCCGGCTTGTGAAATCGACGAATTCCGGAACGAAGACGACCGCATTTTGGATTGAATGGATAAAGAGGGCTGGCGACCATGGCGGGATTTCAAGGGAGCAACATTGTCGTCATTGTCACCATCCCCCTCTTCCCTTGGAGCTTCGGGCTCTGTACTTTCTGTTGGAACCTCTGGGAAAGACTCTTTGGGTTCTTCTTGTGGCTCTTCTGCTTCTTCATCTTTCTGCTCCGCGTCCGGCGCCTTTTCTGGGGTTATTGGCGCTGAATCATCTACTCCCGGCGTGGAAGCGGATTCCGCGGGGGCAGGCTCTTTACTCGGCTCTCCAGCTTTCTCTTTCTTTCCGGCCTTTTTGGCTTTTTGCTTTTGCAGTTGCGCCACCTAAAATTGCTCGAGACGTTAGCAAGGTGTATCGAAAACAATCCCTCAGGGCAAGACTTGGTTGGAATGGACACATGTCAACATGGGCAAAAGGTGTGTACCCTTTTCCTAGCGGCTGCAAGCTTCTCTGCCTTTGCTTTCTCGTCGGCGTCTGCCATAATAGAAGCCAGTTACCGCCTAGGCAGGTCTGATGTTATTCAATTAATCGCTTAACGGCTGGTTGGAGCTCGTTGTGTACTCCATGGCTGAAGGAGCTAGCCGTCGCTTACGTCATCATGCCATCCATATTGAAGCTCATCGAATATGGAGTCCTCCGCATACTAGATCAATATTGAAGAGTATAAGGTAGAAAGGTTGCTATTAAAGATAGTATTCTTCTTTGAGAAAACAGATCGCCCTATGAATAACTGCCTACCACCCCGAAGTTCCACACAATAGCGCCTTCCCGCTGTTCGAAAATTCCAAAATCCCAGGTTGAAAAGGGTGTAGAGTAGTAGAGTAGAGAAGAGAAAACAACAAAATAGAAGTTAAAATAGAGAGGACAAGGAGCTGTCACTCCCGCCAGGGTAGACAAGTAAAGGCACGAGTTAGAACTGAAAAGGCAAATGCTGTGGCTTTGTAGCAAAGTCATCCGCACCCCAAAGCCCCATATCACGGATATCACAAGCATGAAAGACGCAATTATCAGAAATCCATCAAAGATAAGCATTGCAAAGTACGCCGAATACCCAATTTCAGGTTTCCCTTAGAATTCCATGGAATCAGTTAACTCCTCACTCATCGTTCTGACAATCGTCGCCTTGCTTCCAGACCTTGAGCGCATCTCCTCGTCGCTCAGTGAGTAGTTTCCATCGTCATCCACGACAGGACGACGGGGTCCAGGAAGTGTTTCAACTTCCTCATCCTCGTCGCTACTAAGATCTTGCGCCCTCGCAAGCGCGTAGTCGCCCAACCAGTACCTGGCACGTTTTCTTGCACCAAGGTCCGGAGTTAAATACCCATCATCCATACCTCTCTTGGCTGCAACAGGAGTTGCAGCTCCGTCAGCCAAGCGAGTCAGGACGCTGATGCCTCGAAGATAAATATAACAAACACGTTTTCGTGCCTTGCTGAAAAAGAAATAATTCAAACTCCAGATTGACGCATCATCTCCATCATACGGATCTTCCTCAGGAGCGTAACAGTATATACTGCAATCTTTCAGTGACATCTGCTCGTCTATTATTTTCCACATCCTTGGACCCCACGAATGGGTGGTAGTCGGAACATGTGGCGCAGAACCACTGGATGGGGTTGGCGGTGTCACGTCCCTCGCCATTTGAGGACGAAGATTGAATAAAGTGCTATCAATCGTATTCATAACCTTTTTCAAGCTCTTTTCGCGGCGGAAATCTGAGGGTCGCAGCAAGTGGGAGAAGTCATAGTCAGGGTGGCTCGCGTTCAAGGTCGCGATCAGGTACGCGAAAGTTCGACGGCTTGAGTGCTCACTTAGCGGCCCAAACGGACTGGAACGCGACAGGTTAAGGGAGGCAGCCGCGGAAGTTGCATGGGGTGGCGAAAGTGAAGCCGAGAGACGCAAGAGCGACTCATATTGTGACTCAAGTGAGTTTTCGATATTCCGGTATAGCTTTTTGTCTCCACCAGCCGCTTTTGTAGTATAAAGATCGCATCCTCCGACAACGTGACAATCGGGAGTATCAAAATTGAGGGCGTTTGTGACGTCTTCGAACTCGCTTAGCGGTAGGAACTGACCAGTCGGGCTTCTTGAGCGATCTTATGTTCTTTAAATTCATGAGTGCGATAGCATACCTTCATTCTCGTGTCGGATTTTGTTGAGTATTAAGAGCACAAAGCTCATTGGAATTGCGCAAGCAATTGAAACGCGTTCAGCGTCGAGCCGAGGTAGAGCAGTTGGGGCGAGCCGGTACCTCAGTATCGATTGTCGGACGGCGGCTCTGAACAGAAGATAATATATGCAAATGCGCTGGGGTCTCTGGGCAAGACACCGGGTGCCTTTGGGGTTAAGTTGTAAGTGCTTGTGGAGGTGTCCTGCCAAAGCAAGTCGAAGGACGATAAGGGTTCTCCAGGCTGGCTGCAAGGAAAACGCTTACGGGTCGACTAGGCTAGACGATCACGCCTAGCAGGAAGTCAATGTAGCCAAACAAGCCATGAAATTTGATGAGAAGGAGCTGGATAGATGAAGATATTTGATGGAATGAACTGGCACTGGCGATGCCGTCGTTGGGGTTGAGTTCCAGCGCAATGATGATGTCACGTGAATGACACGTCTGGCTGACCAGTGACATCACCCCATTTCTTCACGCGATTCCATGGTGGAACGGAATAGAACAAACAGAAAGCAAATAACCACATCGCGAGGTCATAAGCAGAGGCCACTTCATAATCCATGCAAGATCCCCTGCGCTGTGGGATAGTCCAATTGCCGGGTGCACTGTGCGCAGTTCAATGAATGGCAAGCTTTGGTTGGTTGGGCGGAGTTGTCAACCGGCTTCAGAGGAACGAGTGACGGAGGATCGGGAGTAGTAGTTAGTGGTCAAGGACCATGTTTGGCAAGACAAATCCTCTCTCTCGGTGTCGCGCAAGTGCCGAGGCCACATCTGCCCGGCGGATTCCGTGGTGATTGGTACTCTCCGGACCGTCCGCAGTCGGAGGTGACACATAGAACCTGGAAAGCACTAAAGTCCCATACGTTCTAGCCTTGTTTCTATCGCAGCAGTTTCCTATAACCCAATAACGTAATCAGTAAGCTGAAATCAGCACGCCGTATATACAATGCCCTGCTGATAAACGCCGAGTATAACGAAGATGCTAAATGAGGCTAACAAATCGGTAACGCCAATAACTAGCATAAGGGAAGAGGAGCTACATGAGCTTGGTCACAATATCTTGCTCTGTCTGACAATCGCGAAAAAATCGAGAATTAGCATCGAGATTCCAGCCAGTAGCAGCCTCATTCAGGACACAGAAATGGTCAAACTTGTAGTTGGCTCCGGTAGTACTATATACGAACAGAACTCACCTCCATATCCTCTAAACTGTCCTGCTGGCTGATGCACCTTAATACATTCTTCTTGCTACTTTCCTGCATCTCCCCAGCAAGCAGCAGCTCATCAAGGATAAAGTACGCCTTCTGGAAGTTGAAGATAATATCCAGTTCACAGACATTGCCATAGTATTTATCCATTTGCTCAACATATCGATGCACAATTTCCAGGGTTATAAGTTCGTTGTCGGTTGATGAGCAGCCAGCAATGAAAAATAAAGACGCATATCGTCGATAAACTACCTTAGAGTCTAGAACGAGTGCAATCAGCCAATACTGAATACCTGAATACAGGGAATGTAATGCTAGCGATAGTAATTGAGGCCTCGAAGTTCAAGAAAAACACGCACCTTTATACTCGAGAAAATTGCACATCCGAGTGCGTCGAGAGAGGACAAGCTGCGAAACATCCTTGATGATTTTCGCCTTATCTTTGGGAGAAAGAGTGATGAACCATTTTGCTAGACGCTGGAGTCAAAGGTTAGAAATTTTCATCGTGGTTAGAACTATGGGGGCATAGTGAAGGAGAGTGTGGTGGGCCACGACATACGACTTTGCCTTGTCTCGACAGGAGGATTAGGTAGCTAACCCCGTCAGTCTCGCTTGCAAAGAAAGGGCAGAGAGAAAATCCCTACTTAATTGCCATACTCTTCCCGACAATTGAGTAGCATAAGAGGAACTGAAGTGGACAAGTCGATTAGATCTTCGATGGCGGGGGGGTTTGCTTGCCGGGCTCTTTTGCTGCAAGCAGCCAAAACATCGCAAAAATGCACGGCTCTCCACGGCGTGGCTTATGTAATATCCAATGCCAAGAGGCCAACTGGGCAGGCCAAGTTCAAGCCAATAGGAAGCCGCAGATTCATCGGGATATTCTGCCCCGCATCCTATCTGACAAATGTAAACGGCCGCCGAAGCAGTGCTTAAGAAGGACGAAAAAGGTGCACTTGGATAGAGATGTGTGTTCCTGAATATTGGATTTAAAGGGCATTTGTCTCAGAAAGTTGGCTTTTCATCTTTACCGCAGAATGAAGCTTGTGCTATCTACTTCGTATGTGGATGAGTCCCGCAAATCTGCAAACTTCTACTCTAACCTGGGTATTGTCGCTATAGGAATATTGTCAGCGGTGGGCCGTCAGTTGTCCGTCGCATATCATCCGCTAAATCGAATGTCGAACTCTTAAATTCCCTCCGATTTAATTTCGTCGCCGCTCAGCAGATTGAACCCTCCCATGCCAACGACGATTGCCTGGACACCCATTCGCCTCCTCGAAAGCTCTGGTATAGCAATTATACTACATGGACCTCCCAGGTTGACGACACCCTTTATGTCCCGGCGATTGATTTTTCAACGTCTGGACTGACGGAGGATCGCTCGCAGTATGACATCACAGTCAAACTGTTCTATTTGCCTGGCATTCCCGCGTCGAGGAGGTGCGAACACACATACTCCGCCATTGACCTAGTACTCAAAGAACTTCATGTCGACTCGATAGATCTTCTTATCGTTTCATTTCCTGGAATATCTTTTGACGCGGACGATGAAGAGGAGGAAGAAGAAGCAGCCAACGGCGATACAGAATCGGAATTCAACAATATGGTGCAGACGTGGCGGACATTGGAATCGCTGCACGAACGAGGGATGATCGCGCAACTTGGTCTGGCGGAATTTGACAAGGATCGACTGGAAAAATTCCTTCCGCATACCAAAGTGCGGCCCTCCGTGGACCAGATCAATGTTAAGGACTGCTGCGTTGTGCCAAAGGATTTAATACTGTATGCAAAGGAGGGGAACATTGAGCTTTTGACGCATAATGACTGCACCGACATCCTCCCGAGAGGCACAACGAGAGACTTGTTATGCCGCGGAGCGAATGGGGCCGGTATCCTGGCCGCCACCGCCGATGCTAATGATGGGGGTATCAAAGGGGATATCGAACCGCAGTGGGTAGTGAAGTACACCGCAGTGGTGAAAGATCGCGGTGTGATTGAAGACAAAGGTTACTTTGCTCTTGCTGAAGTCGGAAGCTGTATACGTACTTCCTCATAGTGACACAATTGTCTCATGGCGTGGTCAACCGCAACACCCCGGTTCTTGTAAAGTTAGCGAGTTCTCTTTTTATCCACTTTCTTATTCTTTTGCTCTGCCTTGTCATACAAGTCAAAGAATGTCACAGCTGCCTGGAAATCTCCAGAGTCATCCGATCATACTTCGCTTGCGGCCTCTCATTCGAACTTTTTTCAATGTTTGAAGCACAGGATCTGCTCCCTTAAAGCTACCGCGGTAAGCCGTGAGGACTTCTTCGAAGAACTTTTCCGTCCTTGGGTGCGAACTGCCGAATGCTCTTTCAAGCACATAAAGATCCACGGCCCTATCTTCATCTTGTATACTTTGACTAGCCAGGCCAAAGTCGATAAGGACAATGTCTCCATCCATAGGTTTCCAGTGCATTGCTTGTATGTCGCTATTCTCCGCGAATTCTTTCGGTCGATCTCTGAAAATAAGGTTGCTCGTTGTCAAATCCCCGTGGATCACTCCAGCCTTATGAAGTTGGCCAATAACATGTCCAATTTTGCGTAACAGAAAGCGAATATCTCCCTCGGCACGTTCTAAATCTTGTCGGAAGTCTGCCTCCGGGCTGGCATTCTCGCAATGCTTCACCCACGTTTCCCAGTTATTCACAACCTGCCGTACGGGAGATCCTTCAATCCACTCCATCAAAAGCCATGCGCCACCGCTATTGTTGTCGCTTTCCCCATTCCAATCGACTGACAGAACCCCTGGAACTGGTATTCCTTCTTTCAGAAGCTTTACCAAGCATCTTGCTTCTTGAAGAATCCGTTGCCGCGTCAGTCTTCGATCCAGAATTGGGTGACGGTAAGGCTTCGAAGGGCGGAATTTCAGTGCTGCAGGGATTGATGAGTTGAGAAAATGGGTTTTATAGAGACGAGCTTCAGCACCCTGGGCAAGAAGAATTGGGGGATGCGTGGCTGATGTGAAAGGCGGAGGTAGAGGAGGAGGGACGAATTCGGCTGTCATGGTAGGTTCAGTTGTGATGGTCGCGTCACTTCAATCGTCAATCGCGGCCTGCCTCCGGCACTCAGTAGCAAGCTAATACAGACTGGGCAATGCTTTTGCGCAAAACGATAACCCCAAATCCTTAACGCTGGCGATGGTAACTATTCACGTTGCTTGTTGGGTGAGATTGTGGGGTTGACATGGAAATCGGAATAACCTAATCCCGCTCCGAGCCTGCCAACGGCCCGTACCTAGTTAACGGTAGCTGCTGGATTGTCGACATCAACGATTCAACACGCCGTCGCTGGATGGCTCAATTGCTGCAGATGCACTTTATCTTGACTTGTTAGTTAATGGGATAACTATGAGCCCTTTGTGCAATCCTCACTCCTAGGAATTCTTATGACGCTTGTGCTGACTACTGCATATCGGAAACGGTTCGAACCCACTCCGTAAAGAAACCCATTCCTGTTTCCAGGGCCTATTATCCCATTTATGCGGGATTCTGGAGTTTTCGTGATACCAAAAATCATGGAACGTGACGGAATTGGCAAGACAGCCCGTGGATAACGGTGGCAATCCTTTTTTAGCAAGACTTACTGCTCTGTAAAGGCGCCACTTGAAATGCACAGCCAGTTTTGCTTGCATGTCACCCGGCAAAAATATTGTGGCGCTCTTCCTTGGGCAGTGGATTTCGATGCTCAACAGAACCCAAGCTATGGGCCGCCTCGTTAAGGGGTTTGCAACGTCTGACCAGATCTCAAAACCCTCGAAGCGAGCAATAACACAGGTTGAAAGTTCATTCGAGTTTGCTCCGGCAGGGCAACCACATCCAAACTCCACTTCCCAGCGTGTTTTCTACTTCAGGACTGTACTCCGCATCTTTAAGCAAGTCCTATGCGCCAGGTCAGATCCGAAAGCCAATCCTTTCGAGGATCTTGGCATCCACTCGAACAGCATACAGTATCAGTGTAATGGTTAACCGATCTATTCCTAAATACCCCGCTGGTTTCTCTATACCCCGCTGTCCGATTCAAAATATCAGTTGCATCTTTGCTGCGTCTGGGGAGTTGTGCAATGCATGAGCAGGAGCGTTCATATGACTGATCTTCATGTCGATGAAAGCTGAGCCTATTGCGGACTACGGTTCGGGGAAAACTAGCATCCTCTTGTAGCGATCTTCCTGGCCGCCTGGTCTTTCTTTTCTGCACGGATCTCTATCCAGCCTAATCTGATCCGAGCACGGTGGAACGCTGCAGGTGTGGAGAAACAAGCCCCGTTAATCCTGGACTTGTCAAGTCGTCACGTCAGTTTTACTTTCTTCCGCCTTCCGGGCTGTCGAGGTACGAGAGCCTCGAAAGCTTGGTAGAAGCAAACAAAGTTTGTTTCTTTTTTCTTAACGATTTTGCCCGTTAGCCTGACGCAGAGCTCTTCTGCAGCGCTTGATGCCCAAATCTTCTTTTTTTTAACACTTCTCCAGACTCAAGGGTCAGAAGTTGATATCCTTGATTCTATCAGTGTCAGGCTGCTCGGTTCAATCTTTCTTTTATGTAGTAGGCATGCGTGAAACACACCCTTCCAGCATGAGTCCGTTTTGCAGGAATCCGGAACACTTTCCAGCATGTTTGGTATTTGGGTTGAGGCCTCCCGCTATAATATTGTTCTCTGCATGAATATGGATCTGCCTTAGTATTGTTCTCTGCATTGTGGCTTTCGGCCCTGACGGCTCGGCTGCTTACAGACAATCAACCATCTACTTTTAGTTCCACTCGCCCATTCAACTGCCTCCCTTCACAACACCTTCATATTCTTCTTTTATGTATGATTTTGTTTGTCCTACTCTTCCAAAATGATCGCTGCTGTGCTGTCTGAGATTGTCTGTTTGGCCTTCAATATGCCACAGGTAAAATGGGCTTGGTTTTCGCTTAATGAGCCGTCCTGCTTTTATCCTGGCATTGTTTGATGCTATTATTTCCTCGCAGCATGTAGTTTATCAACAGAGCAAACGCTCGAAGGATATTGCATACTCCTTCTTTACCATCGAGTCTTCTTGCTCTGCTCGAAATTTGCTTCTTCATACTCTCCTTGTCAATTCTTCAACATAGAGCTGATCTTCGAGATACCCAAGTTTCTAAGTCCTCCATCTTGATTCGCTTCTATTGCACCTTGACTCCTTGAGCACCATGGGTTTCAATCCTTTTACTCAAGAATTTTACATCCGTCATATCAACGGCAACGAGATTACCACTTCCCTCGCGAAAGTCGATTTCTACATGCAGGACAACGCCAAACAATGCATCAGTTTCGGCGCTCAACTTGGGGCATCTCTTATGATGCTGATTGTATTGTTTCTGCTCACGCCGCCGGATAAAAGGCGGTCACCTGTCTTCTGGTTGAATTCCGCAGCCTTGCTACTTAACTCTGGACATATGCTCTGTTCATCCCTCTTTTATACGAGCGGGTTTGCATATGCCTATGCCCTACTTGCGTCGGATTATTCTCAAGTTCCCGTCAGTTCTTACGCGAACTCCATTCTTGGCACCATTCTCATCGGCTTGTTGGTGATCTGCGTTGAAGCATCGCTCCTCTTCCAAACCCAAGTTCTCTGTTCGACGTTTCGAAGCCTCTATCGCTATACTCTATTAGGCGTTTCGATGTTGCTGGTTCTTGTCACTGTTGGATTTCGCCTGGCACAAACGGTTGAGAATTGCAAGGTGACAATCGGATTAAAGTCGTTCGAGACTTTCATATGGCTTCAAAGCGCAACCAACATCTTGACCACAACGAGCATCTGCTATTTTAGTGCAATTTTTGTTGCAAAGCTTGGGTTCGCTATCAACACTCGTCGAGAGTTGGGTTTGACTGGGTTTGGGGCAATGCAGGTGATCTTTATTATGTTTTGCCAAACTATGACCGTGCCAGGTATGTTTCTTCCACTGCTCTACTATATTGATGCGGTGTTTTCTAACTACGATCCTAGCCATTTTCTCCATTCTACAATACTTTGTTGAGCCCGCAGAAATGTCTCCGCTTTCCCTTACACTGGTAACCCTGTCGTTGCCTCTATCGTCAATGTGGGCAGCGCAAGCAGCGAAAAACGGCTTTGAAAACAAAGGCGCATCCGACCCTCGTCCTCTTTTTGCTCGAGGCTTCTCTGAAGCGACACATGGACTCGGAACTCAGCCATCGATGGCAGCGACCTTGGTTCCAAGTCGTACTCTCACTACGGATCAATTGGATAAGCTCTACCCCGAACTTGAGGCTGGCGAGATTCATGTGGAACGTGACTTTACTATCAGTAGTGACAAGATGAAATAGAAGCACCAAGCGAAATTGCGAATATGGGTGGACTTAGTCAGGGGTTGCTTCTTCTCGAGTTTTATTCGACGGGCCTGCGGTTAGGAAGACTAGTCTCACCAATCTCATCTTGGGGACATGGCTCTGAATATTTGTTTAATTTTTCGATTTCATTAATTAGTTGAACCGGAAGTTTCAAATTGGCTCTCGCGAATATCAGTTTGCTTCAGTGTACTCCATATCTTGTATCTATTCTCCGCTACGAATGTTTAAGCCTGCCCGGCGGTTATCTAGCTTCACTTAGCCATAGTTGGTCCCAGTCATATTTGGGAAGACTATTCCATCAATTTATCCATCCACTGTAATCCCGAGGCAGCACCGAATAATGAATAACGTCTTAGGGGAAGGTTCTCATCGGCTGCCAAGAGACTCGGTTGCTGACATCACATCTCATGCAACATCTCAGTGAACTAAACAGAGATGCCTTTGCGGATGAGGGTGCAGAACGATCATGGCTCCGGTGCCACAGAAAACACTAGAGTGGCTCTATCGTGTTCTTACAAGTGTGTGTATTCCGTCCTTTCAGACTTGGCGTGTGCATCGCAGGATACTCATGGGCCTTCTCACTTAGCACGATCACGATCGCGATCAGAGATACTTCGACCCCAACCGGGCGTATAACGATATAGCGGTCTTACTTACCCAGTATCCGAATTTCTCGCTGAAGACGGACGTGTATAGTGAGTGAAAACATATACCCATTGCTGCAAACCCCATGTTAATCTCTTCCGGCGCGGGGTGGTAGCATACGAGGATGGCACTTCCGCACTGCTCCTTAATCTCTCCGGCACGTTGCCTGTCTCTTTTCGCGGCGTGGTTTATCGGTTTCCGATAACAGTATGGGTGCCGACCACATATCCGCGAAGCTCGCCAATCGTATATGTGACCCCTACGCAAGACATGGTGGTTAGACCCGGGCAACATGTTAGCGGAGAAGGACGAGTGTACCACCATTACCTGGCGCATTGGGCAGAGGCAAGCAATGTAAGCGTGAGGTATATCGAACTGAACAGATGTACGGGCTGACACGTTGGTTTCATGAGTTTTAGAGGTCTACAATTGTGGATTTCATATATATCCTACGAGACATCTTCGCCAAAGAGCCTCCTGTGACGTCTAAGCAGGCTCAGATGAACAGGCCCATACCCGTCCAGGCTGACTCCAGACCTCCAGCTATTCCTCCACTCCCTCCACAACTTGCCAGGCCGGCACCTCAGCCCGAGGCCACCGCGCAGCCGACACAATTTCCTCCGAAACTACCACCGAAACCCGGAAAGCCGACTGAGTCGCAAAATCATCCTATACCACCGGTTCCCGGGAAATACAGCCAGCCACCACCTCTTCCTCCGTTAGCCGATGGATATCATGACCCAAGAAGGACTCCTGCGCGGCAACCGCCGCTACCTAACCAACGCCATGAGCTAAACCGTCCGTCACACCAAACTAGCAGCTCGGCCGCATTCCCAGTATCAAGTCAGCTCGAGCACGGACATGGTCCATTTTATAGGTATCAGCAAGAAGGCGTTGGCCCTGTAAGCCCAATCACTCAGGCTGGAACACCACATCCACCGATCTCCCAAACTTCATATCGACCACCTCAATTCGTTCAGCCTGCTCCCCTGCATCCCCCACAACCTCACATCCAGGCGATTCCACATGATCGACACCCTTCTCACTCGCAGCACCCTCAGCAGGCAATGCTGAGCCACCCGGAATCCGCCCGTCGAAAACAACCTACTCCGGACCTTCTCACCTCGCCTTTTGACCTCGAACTTCCATCCCAAACCATTATAGCTGCGCCGCCACCGATTCCACCAAACCCAGAGAAGGACTTTCTCTTGAAAACACTATCCCAGACCCTTACACAAACCTTGCACGATAATATCAACAGAACCAAGTCCGGCATCCAACCACTCAATTCCCAATCCCAAGCCCTGCACGCAGCCGCTGCTACCCTAAAATCAGAAATCGCCTCCCTAAACACCCTACATACAACTCTACAATCTAACACATCCATCCTCCAACAGTCTCTTCACCGTGCCGATGGTGTCATCGCCGATGCACGCGCCCGTATTACCGCGTCACCGGCTCCCCCAGGCCCATCGATAGAACAGCAACCAGCTGCGAGCCGCTCCCCTTCAGGCCTTCCTTCCATTGATGAAATTCTCGTTCCTCCTACCGTAGTCGGGAAACAGATATACGATCTCGTTACCGATGAACGTGGGATTGAGCGGGCGATCTACGCGCTGCAGACTGGGCTGGTCAAGGGCCGGGTTGGGCTGGATACATGGGCGAAATTGACAAGGAGCTTGGCGCGGGAAGCGTTTTTGAAGAAGGTATTGATCAGAAAAGCTGGGGTTGGGATGGGTTTGAGTGTTGATTGAATTTTGCGCGCGTGAGAATGCCGTACTACGCGCTATGTCGCGACAGGGAGCTGCTTGTATATACCTGGTCAAAGCATCATTCGGATTCAGAGACCTATCAGTTCACCCAGCTTTACATATGCATGATGAATTTGAAATACTACATACTTCAACATGTATGCTCTCTATCAGGGCTGTGGTTTTCAATAGGTAGATCAAAGTGTAATGCATACGATATAAACAAGATATATACATTGACAGATTTAGGAGATCTAACCTCCAACAAGTAAAAGGCATCGGGAACAAGTCATAGACTCAGCTGGGTATCGGCATTGATATGTGATCGCAAACCACCAGGTTCTCGAGCGCAATGTTTGCAAGACGAGGCCAAATTAGAGACAACAAAAAATTATATGACCGAGGGGGGTGCATCATAGAACGCCAGATCTGAAATCAGCGAGAGTTTTCCACTCCAATAAGTCTTATGGCACAGGTGATATATAATGAAAAAAAAAAAAAAAAAAAAAATGAAACCTCCAGCTTTAATATGCCACACGCAAAACATGGGTAGGTGATACTCGTAACGAATCGTGATAAAAAATGCTGTTGATAGCACATATATAAGAAATCTTCAGGCGCATTTGCATGCACTTTGGTCACATCTTCACCAGTGACACAGCCCGCCTTCACTCTCCTCCATCGACCACGTCCCGGCCAACCCCAGGATTTCGACTCTGCCCTCGATCGTCTCGCCGACTTTGGGCAGCTCGATGACCTTGGCCACTTCAGGCCTCCTCGTGTCAAGCACATGCTTTCCCCACGAGCCAATGGCTGCTTCACCGGTTTCGTCGCGGGCCTGCTTGAGGAACGGAATGAGCGCTGTTCCGCCTGTGCCACGGAGTTTCTTGCTCCCTGAGCCTTTGCCTTCGGTCGACGCGGTGGCGAGATTGAGCGCGGGCGCGCCAGCCGCGAGAGGTCGCGTTCCGGCAGTTCGTTCTCGCGACTTGACGATGATGTACCGGGACACCATGGTGATGTGGGTTGAGCGAAGCGCCTTGACCATCGCAACGGCCGCGTTGAATGCCATGGTCAGTTCCTGGTCGGACTGGTGCTCCTCGACGTACTCGCGGATATTTGCGACACTGGCGGTGTGTTCGAGGAATCGCCGGTGCGGACCCGGCATGTAGTCCCGCATCTCCATCATGAAGCCGTGCCATCGGCGACGAGTCGTTGCGCCGTCCTCGGCGGGTGGCTGTGTGCTCTTCGGTTCGCCCGTCGGGCGATGCTCGACTCCCAGCACAATATCGAAGAATTGGATGAGAGAGCTCTGCGCATTGCTACCGCCGCGATACTTCCTCCACTCCGCCTTGCCTCCACCTTCGTCAAGGAGCACGCCCCTGGGGAGGCCTGCCTCTTCCATGTTCATACTTCCTGCCAGTAACGGTCGAATGCGGTGGTAGAAAACGTGCGGGTCGCAGTGTCGGTACATGCGCTGCAATATGACATTGATGTCATCGACGGCTTCCGCAAACTCCTTGAGAGAGTCCATGACCCGTTTGCTGTCACCTTCACGGGCTGCTGAGATGGCATCAAGCATAAGCGGGAGCGTACTTGCGCCACGCATCTCGATGGCAACGGATATCAAGTAGAACCATTCTTCATCCATAGAGCCCGTCAGGGTACAGAGGGTAGAAAGGTTCTCAAGCTTGTCGGCGGGTTCATCGGGGAAGATTGTGCGATAGTTCCAGAGGCAGACGCCGGCATAGGTGGCGACGGGAGGCAGCTCCAAATAATCCGACACTTTCAACAGAGGGACTGTAAGGGGCGGAGGAATTCTCTAAGGGCAAAATGGTCAGCGGTGAATCCCGCGTGGTGATGGATGCAGCATATGCCAAGGACGACATGGGTGATTCCGGTTCTCTTCTCACGATCTCGTCGAAGCGCTTGGGGGGGATAACACAACATACCTCTTGAGGTTTATCGCCGGACCATATATATGCATGCAGCATCATAACGAGGACAACATAAGCGCGTCGCCATTCGGCAGCCGTGTGGAGATGGTCTGTGGAGAGAGTGGGCATTCGTTTTATCGTGTCCCAGAGTCTGCCACTCAACACGAGCGACTGCAGGTTCTCAATAACGTGCTCCCATTCTGAATAGTAGCCGGGAAGCCGTGTCAGGGGTGGTTCAGAGGGGAGGAAGCCATGCTCGGCATCGATCCCGTACTCAGACAACTTGGGAACCGGCGGCAACATCGGGCGAGGAGGAGAGTCGGCGGGCGACGAAGAAGCCAAGATGAAAGCGAGGAGGAGATATGAACTGTGATCAAGGGCGGATTCACATTCCCAGGTCGAAATCAGCAAAGGAGACGGATAGCCGGACGATAGAGAGAAAAGTTTTCGACGAGTTCTCCTGAAGCAGCGAAGAGCACGAAAACCACACTTTGAGTTCGCGAAGACCGGGGAAAGAAGGACGGGAAGATAAGGAACGATAATTCTTGTATTACGGCTTGACTGCGACAATTCGCGGGCGGATGATGTGAAATGGTGAAAATTCTGTAAAGCCCGCTATCCAGCTACGTTTGAGTGATTTTTTTTATATAACTATATCTCTCGCCCTGCAACATCCGAGTGCGACTTGAAGCAGCGAACTTGGTTGCCATTATTCCATCCAAGGAGCAAGCCGGAATCAATAGCCTGTCCAACACCCAAACAGCCAACGAGAATCCACGCCCGCGCCGTTCTGGATTTGCCATCCGCATCACGAGCCCTGCGATGGAATAGACTTCAGATTCCATTCCATCCTCAAAGACGATGACGAACAGCCAGCATGGTCGCGGCAAGACGGGGCTACTCACGGGGGAAGCATGTTTTCTTTTTTCTCTGCTAACTAAATAGGCGCCGAGCAATGACCGCAACCGCCTGGAGAATCTTCTCGGCCATGCACATCTCCCATATCAAATGGCTGCACCGGTTATTTCTCCGAAGCCCAAACTATCCGGGATTCAAACTAGGCCCAAACAGCCAATGATCTCGCCCTCGGCTTTGCGCAGAGGCCTTGAAGACTTGATCGTTTATAACCACATGCTCTCCCTCGACTTCTCGGGCGGAGTTCACCGGCGTCGCTTTGCCAGTTAAAACACCGGTCTACTCCGTACAAGTTCCAGACTCGTTCCCTGGCTTCCGGAGTTGGTTCACCGGGTATTTGTCAACTCCGAGACGAGAGTACAGGCTGAAGGGCTTGTGGGATGCGGAGAAACTCTGACGGATCTTTCCGCCGCGGAAAAGACTTGCAATCTGTGTCTCCAGCCTGGGATTCAATCATTCATAGACACACTACTTGACTAAACAAGAATGCTACGGGTCAGATGAAGCCGGCCACGTTCAACTCCATGAAGAAAGCTATACCTTTTGTGGCCGCTGTGGCACAGACCTAATGGCGTGCATTTCATAGCAAAGCTCTCTCAGTATCATACACAAGTCATAAGCAGCATGTAATTATGTACAGTGGAAAAGGAATGAATTCCAGGGTAGCATCGTCTCCGATTCTTCCTCAAAGGGTATCAAGCAACGATCTGCCTTTCAAGTTCTTTTCCACGTGGATCGTGGAAGAATGAGCACACGACTCATAGCCAGCTGGAGGTTACCGCTTTACATTCCCGCACTGTCTCAAGGGTGGGAATGAAAAGCGCCTAGAACATCCATCCATCGCGAACGAAGCGATATTTTGGTCATGAATTTGAACCGAAACGCCAAATTAACCGTGCGCAGACTTAAATGCACCAAGACAGACATACTCCATTTTTATAGTCAAACAGCGGCATGGTAACGGCGCATCGGGGGATGCTCTCGAGGAGCCATTATTCGAGACGCAAACTCTCAATGTTGGCTCCATTCAATCGTATTCAAGTCAACGCCCTCTTGAACCAGTTCCCATAGTGGACTCAGGTCGCGTAGGAACTGCACCCTCTCCTGGACAGCTTTCAATACGTAATCGATTTCACTCTCGGATGTGAATCGACCGATTCCAAAACGAATGCTGCTATGCGCACTCTCGTCACTGTTCCCAAGTGCGCGGAGGACATAGCTGGCTCCAGAGAGGCAGAGGTACAGGCGCTACCGGATGACAACGCGATATCCTTTAGCGCCATGAGGAGCGATTCACCCTCCACATAAGCGAAGGAGACATTCACGCAACCAGGGTAGTGGCGGTCCGCGTCGCCATTCAGCGTCGTATGTTCCATAGCGAGAAGGCCGTCAACAAGCTTCTTCGAAAGCCGTTCGATGTGCTTGGTATCATACTGCATTGGAAATGTCGTTAGCCAAATCTACCTCATTTCAAGTTTCGAAACGCATAATTGAGAAAGATGAGGGTTTTCCCTCGCAAAATCATAACCCCTGCTATGTAAATCAAGAAGTGGTGGAAACACGAAATCGTGCTGCTCATCCACCAGGTTTCAGAAAGCCATGCATATTATAGCATTTAATCATTTCAGATATAGAATGGTACTCGATGCCGTGGAAAAGAAGGAAATAAAATGCGGCTTACCTGCATATCTTCGCTGGCGATTCGACAGGCCTCTCCGAAGCCAACGACAAGATGGGGTGCAAGCGTGCCGCTGCGAAGGCCCCGCTCCTGGCCACCACCGCTGATGATGGGATCGAGACGGACTCTCGGCCTGCGCCGAACGTAACAAGCCCCGATACCTTTTGGTCCATAGAGTTTGTGACTGGATATCGACATCAAGTCAACATTCCAGGCATTGACGTCAACCGGAATCTTACCGACTGCTTGGGCAGCGTCGGTATGAAAGAAGACCTTCTTAGATCTGCAAAGGGCACCAATCTCCTTCATTGGCTGAATAACACCGATTTCGTTGTTGACTGTCATTATGCTGACCAGCGCGGTCTCGGGACGAATTGCCGCCTCCAGGTCCTCCAGCCTGACTAGTCCATTGTTTTGGACAGGCAGATAAGTCACTTCAAAACCCTCATCCTGCAAATGCCGACAACTGTCAAGGACACACTTGTGCTCCGTCTGTGTGGTAATGATGTGCTTCTTCTTTCCAGATCGACCGAAAAACCTCGCCACGCCCTTGATGCTCATGTTGTTACTCTCGGTAGCTCCACTGGTGAAAATAATCTCCTTTGGATCCGCGCCGATGAGGCTGGCAATATATTCTCTAGCCTGCTCGGTAGCCTTCTCCGTTTCCCAGCCGTATGCATGCGTTCTCGAATGGGGATTACCGTACAAGCCAGTGAGGAAGGGCAGCATCGCATCGAGAACACGAGGATCGGTGGGAGTCGTAGCTTGCATATCAAGGTAAATCGGGCGAGCTCCCTGGTCCATTACGGTCGCTTGCTTCAAGATTCCGGCATTCGGACTCAACAGTGTGTCGCCAGTTACTGTAGTGCCTGGTACCCGCACAGCATCTGGCTTGAGCCCGGTTTGCTCTGTAAACAGTCGCTGCTCTGCTTTGACGGCGGAGTCAACGGTCGTCTGAGCCTTTCTATCCTTGGTTTCCGATACATAGCGCCGTTGGGATGTGCGATGGAAAGAAGCTGTGCAGGATAAGGGTCTCAGCAAGCTCTGTGACGGTGGCAATTGCCTCGAACAGGCCCGCGAGGCCTGTCGGATGGCATGGGGTGCCAAATTGGACATCTTGGCAGATGGATCTCACGGCTCCAGGTGATGAAGCAGGACTGAGATGGGAGGAAAGGAAGAGTGAAGAGAAGCGGTGTTGTTGGGGCGAGGTTGGCAACAAAAAGGAAAAGCTCGATCTGATAAATGCACTGCTGACAAATCCAACTAACTTGCACTTGTTATCTGATTGGATCTAGTAACGTCAGAGTCTAACCAAGTTTGGAAGCCCTAAGTCCGATTGATTACTAATGCTACATCTTCGATCGAGACATCTTGTTCCCAGAGAGTCAAGCCGTCCCTTTGATGCCTCCTTGAACAGCCTGCCAGGATGGGCGGGCGGCCAATTCCTTGAACCATCTACATATACAGTTAGGAATAATGTTGCCATGGTGTCAAGAAGGCCACTTTGGACTTACTTTGAAACAGCGGGCCTCTTCTCGATCGCGTCGCATGGCACCAGGGGAAGGAGTGCGCCATAGGGTAAGTGATACAAATCAGCCAGCGTGAGAACCTGCTTAAAACATTCGCATTAGCACTGCCTCAGTCGCCCATGCGATGGACAATGGTAGCATACATCACCGCCGATATATTTTTGCTTGCTCAGGATCTTCTCATACACGTCCAGCTTTGCGTTGAGAGTCTCAACGGATTGGCTTGCAACCGCCTCATCGCAAGTCATACCGTACTTTCTAAGGGGTGGAGACAAGACAGAACATATCAGTCAAGTGCCGGGATAGGTCTCACGCTCATTTTGCTAGACTCACTGCTTGATAAGTTTTTCAAATACCAATTTGGATGCATACGGGTCAAAGTTGGAACTTTCTATTGCAACACCCTGCAGGAAAAGCCCATACTCTTTAATGCCCTTGGGGATCAATGGCGTGCCCTGGTCGGCATACTTGGTAGCAATGTACTGAGCAATGGCTCGACTCTCGTAGAGGACAAATCCATCATCGTCCTATTGAGTGTATCCGGTCAGCACCACTGGCAGCTTCATCAAATTGGCACTCCCTTCCAATCCAGCACACACATACAATATAGGGAACCTGGCCGAACGGTTGATGCGCGACGAATTCCGGGGCCTTGTGCTCCCCCTTGGCCAAATCAATGGGGAAGAATTCAAACGGCACCTGCTTTTCGTGGAGCACCATCGCCACACGCTTGGTGCAGGTGGAAACAGGAGAGCCATAGAGCTTGAGGACCATCTTGAAGGTAGAATGTAGTGCCTGCAAACGTCGCTGTATGTGTGTTTCGAGGTGTTATTAGCAGATCGAGGGATGCGTGTCTGCATTTAACCATCGCTTCGAGTGCCGGGTGGAGTGAACTGGAGACCAGCCCCGCGCGACCATTCATGCTTCGAGCTGTCCGGCATTCTGAGCTTCTGGTGCACATTCAACGTCACTCGGGAACTCGGGAGTGTTTGGCGGCTAAACTTCTATCCGCTGGCCATAGTGGAGCTCTGTTTCTCAAGGGATTTGATAACGATCTAAGCCCACTGGGCTGCATCTAAGAAATATGAACTTGAGTCCGACTTGCCCTCAAGTTCTGAACAGAGTTGGGCAACTGGACAGGATGGCTGTCTTAAGCTCAACACGAACGGCCGCCTCCTTCGGCCCCTTAAAAACAGGGGAGACCTGGGGCGGCCTGCAATCCTTGCTGCCACTCAGCCTGAGGTCAACGTCAAACTTGACTACTTTGGACCCCAGCGGCTAACCAACACTCTTCAGTTGCATACCCTGGAGCTGGTTGGCTGCTGAACCATGCAGTTAGCGCTGAGCCCAAGCGAATAGCGAACGAGTTGACCACGGAGCATCTTTCCTCATGCAAGGGGTTGAAATCGCAAATGGCTTCCGCTCTGCTGGATCAAACATGGGGGCAATACAAGCCGCACACATACTACTTCACTTTCTCTGGATTGGTGTTTTTTGCTATTCTATCACCTGAATGATCGCGCTGAGAAACTGAGATCACCATGGCTCCAACTACGCAACACAACCTGGAGGCACTACCACCTGATGGCATGGAAGTGGTCCAACCGGGCTTGGAGCCGGTTGCATCACAAGGCGATTTCAGGTATTCCCAAGATAAATATGTTCCTCCTCCAGCACAAACGATATGCGGTGTACGCAAGACAATCTTTTGGCCGGTGATAGCTGCGGCGCTTGTGGTAGTTGCGGTGGGCATGGCCGTTGGGCTCGGAGTGGGATTGTCCCAAGCCCGTAACAGTATGTTTCTATTGCAAACTCCTAGGACTGGAAATTTTGACGGCCTCTGACCCGCTAACTACTGTATAGGCGCGCCTACAGTCACAGTCGTATCTAACTCTGCAGGAGACGTAGGCTCCGTAATGCCTTCGATGACCGTGCCGTCAAACACCCCATTCGCATCAGAGACACCGTCATCCACCACCCGACCGCTACCGCCAGGTGAAACGCGAGCCCCAGAAGGCGTCTGTCCCTCTAAGAACAACACCATCATCGAACGAAACCTCGGCGAAAAGAGCTACCGCATCCTTTGCGATTCCGACTTTGGTGGTGGGAAACAAACATTAGCCTCTGCTTACATGCCGACGTTCGAGGACTGCTTGGATTTGTGCAATACGATGAATTACTTTCAGAATCGCGCTGATATTGGCTGCACTTACAACGTCGTGGGCTCGGGCCAGCAGAGACCAGGCACCTGCTGGTGCCTTGGCGGTAGGGACAAGCGGGTCGAGAGGAATGTTGGGAACGAAATCGCCGCGCCTTTGTGACACCCAGGGCCCGAACAAAGATTCCTATTATCATTTTAAAATTTACACCTGGTTCTCTATCATCAATGAGCGAGTGCCAACTTAATGGTGACCCCCTGGGATAAATTCGGGAATTCGAAAACCCAGATGCCCGATCTGTTCGCCCGTTCAAATGAGACGCAACAGCGCCCTCAACAAAACTTATATACCCACTTGTTATATTTGCGAGAAGATATTTTGTTCCCTCTTTGGTGTAATTTGGATAAGTCATGACAAAGATGTGATACTCTTGATCATTCAATATATCTAAAGTTCAGTCCATTGAAAAGAATACTATTCCTCGTTTTCACAGGACACTGTCTTGACATTCTCCGCCAGCAGGTTATGCGTATGGCCGTACTCGCGTTTCCGGCGAGTGTGGGTAAAAGTCACTGGCCCCTTTGCGGATTTCAATACTCCGCATAAATATAATAACTTTGACGATACCAGAAAACGGGTGGAGGGATGGCAAAATTCTACAAGAGGACGGAGATGTGAAAAGGAAGAGTAAGTGTTGTAGAGTTAACGAGATTTCATCAGAATGCTAGGGGTACTAATTGAGAAATAGTGCTTAAGAGTATCGGCAACGTCGAGATATGCCAGCTGATCGGGTCCACCCATAAGCATCCCCAACGGAAACACTTCTGTCGCTGTGCAATCGCCTCCATTCACACGCCGGGTCATGACCACCTGGTTGTGTATCCACGCGTCCCTTTTGCCCTCGCCCGCTCCGTTGCTTCGAGTTGCCACTTCGATGAACCGCGTGAGGCGTGAGATGTCTCCAAAGTATCACCAACCATGCTATCCATCTTCTCACTAGGGAACAGTCCTAAGCCACTGAGCCGAGCGAGAGCGGCACCCTTCCTCTAAAACACGCGCGGGACATCAAATGCATATATGTATGTACAATTCCGTGACGGTCATCTCAGCAAGTGAAATAGCGCTTCCGCTCTGAAGGTCTTTGACTGGAGAGGCGGCTGAGGAGAGTGATAACGGGCCGGAAAGCTAATCGGAATCTGCACTCTGGACCTTCAGGACAATGATCACGATGGTCAAAATAGCAGCTGCTGTGAATGCTAGACCGTAGCAGACACGAGTGATAGAGCTTTTATCGTCTTGTGAAGACGGCAGCTCCGGCTGGGGAAGGTCATTGCCGCTCTGGACGGGGGGCTCTGGGGACTGGACACCATCCATAGCGAGGATATCGAGACCGTTGGCATAAAAGGCGGAAAAGAGTAATAATAAGAGGAATAGAGGGCTCTACCCTTGAATGGAAATATGATCTGATGACAGAATGCTGCCGATAACTTCCTGGGTTGAGATCAGCAGCTTGCGGTTCATGGTCTTGATATCAATTCATAGGCGCTTTGAAACTGGGCATGTACGGACTCTAAGTAGTAGGCAATGCCCTCCTCCACAAAATGTAGACGAGGAGAACCTGAAATCTTGTGTTGCCAGCGCTATTGCCGGTGGAACATACAACGGTCCAGAACTATCAATGTTCTGGAGACATCTTGCAGAAATGGAAGGTCTGAGTGACCTTGTAAGTTGCTTCATACCCACCCCCCGCCCCCAATGTTGTGGGCAATTTCAACATTTGGCACCTTGAGGCTCCGATTAGTTTCGGCATAACTAATGCGCTCAAGTGGCGGTTGCACAGCAAAACAGAACTGCAGATTTCATGTACACAGGGTATTTATAGATGGAGGAGCCAGCCAATTGGAGAAAAGTCATTGGCTAAATATAGATTTCAGTCAGCATCCAGCTCTTTTGGAACGCGACACTCGATGGGTAGCGGCAACGGTGTCACAGAATGCGGCCTAGCCCTTATGCAGATATCTCAAAAGAAATACACCAACAGGAGAAGACATGAATCAATGAAATGGCTCAGTCCGCCTTGTCACCTTGTGAGCCTTATCCATGCTCAGTTGGCAGATAACATGATAAGATGGTATCACAATCTGGCGGAGAGCAGCACAAGGGGCACAAAGTACATCAGAATCCATACCTTCTGATGGAGACAGGCATGCCAAAAATGCCCGGAGAGATGTAGTAAACCCGTAGCCTGAATGGCAATCTGAGAGAGATGGGATATCATAAAAGGTTCCGGGCTGCGGATTTTTTTTACCGCTCTTTTCAGTGTGCGAATGGGCGTATCGCCCGTCACGGCTTCTTGTATAACTACCTAGTTTGCGCCTTGTCAACGGTGTTCCGAGGCATAGTTAACTACATGTTCTAGAACCACTTTGCAGAGCTCAACTTTGCCGTTGAATCGCCCTCAAACCAAATTCTGCCACCAACCTAAGAATGCCAATGTTGGAGGTCAAGGACTTCTCCGGCAGCAAAATAGCTTATTTATGGCTGGTTATCGTAAGCCGGTCGGGTTTCTCGGTTTCCCAGACGCTGTGTGGCTTCAGACGCTCATTCTATCGTTGTGATAAGGATGTTGCTGACGATGACGAGACTGAGGCACCGGCTATTCATTCGAGCTAGAATAGTCATAGACTCAGTTAGTTAGCTCTTCCATCAAAGCATCCGTTTTTTTGTTTCTTGACGAGCCTGCACAAGCTTTCCGGGCGGTCGCCTCACCTTAACGCTAAAAATGCCAATTTTGCGTGATGCTTGATTGGCGGGAGAGAAGCAAAAGAGCGTCTCTCCAAGCAGGGGTCCTTGACAGCGAGTTTCAACACCTCTCTCACTTTCGAATACTGACGGCATTCGAATTCTGAGCTTGCAGGTCGGAGTTGTGGTTTGCTGGTGAAAAGTCCATCATGGCTTCTCTCTGCCGCGAGTCTAGACGACGTCGCCCACTCTCCTCCACCCGGTTGCTGCCAAAACTCAATTCTTCAGACTCGCGGAACTTGACCTCCACAGGAATCCCGGGAAATGCTATCATTGGCCTGCAAGAGTGCATTTCCATCCGCTCGTTTTGACATTTTCTCTAGCCTCTGCACCATCCGAGCTGCCGGTCAAATGGCCACTCGCTGGTTCCTCGTGAGCATAAACAACCCCTCCCTACCCGCGAGCCTTTACTTTCCAGATCCTGACCGCTGCACAGCTGTAAATATTCTCGTTTCGTGCGCTAGCCAGAGTCTTCGGGCTCGATTTCCGAAATGGATGACAAGAGTCGTGATGGCTTCGAATCGGACAAGGCGAATGACGAAGGGCCCATAGCGGTAGAGAGGAACGACGAGGGGCTGATTCCGGCAGAGAAAAACGGTGACAATTTGATACCGGTGGAGGGGAGCGATGACGGGGCGTTGCCTGTGGATAACAACAAGGATGGTCTCATGCCCGTGGCATCGGTCATATCTGCGGACAAGGACGGGGACGGCCATCCCAACACGTCGACGGATAGAATCTTCAATCATGCGAAAGCTGCCACCGACAAGGAGCGCAATATGACCTTGCTCCAGGGTATCAAGCTTTACCCAAAGGCAGTCGCGTGGAGCATCCTCATTTCGACATGTATTGTTATGGAGGGCTACGACATCAGTTTGGTGGGCAATTTCTACGCCTTTCCTCAGTTTAACAGGAAATATGGTGTGCGGCTGGAGAATGGAGATTACCAGGTTCCGCCAAGTGTAGGTCATTCTACGTCCCTTCCTCGTTTCCCCCTTTCTTTGCTGGATAATCTAGGGAATGCAGAAAGCCAATAATCCGTTTTATCTCAGTGGCAATCGGGCCTCAGCAATGGTGCAGCTGTGGGTGAAATTATCGGCCTTTTCATAAACGGGTGGGCGTCGGAACGCTTTGGCTATCGCAAGACTATCATGACCTCTCTAGCGTTTCTGACGGCTTTTATTTCGATCTTTTTCACTGCTCAGAATGTGCAGTCGCTGCTCGCGGCCGAGATTTTATGCGGTGTCCCATGGGGCGTATTCCAGACTCTCACCATTACCTATGCTTCCGAAGTTTGTCCGGTAGCTCTACGCGGATACCTCACGACGTATGTCAACTTCTGTTGGGGTCTGGGACAGCTGATTGGCATTGGAGTAATCAAATCCATGTTGGATCGCGAGGATGAATGGTCATATCGCATTCCGTACGGTCTACAATGGATGTGGCCTGTTCCGCTTTTCATTGGCATTGCCTTGGCCCCAGAATCGCCCTGGTGGCTAGTCCGGAAAGGGCGTGTTAAGGAGGCAAAACACTCCCTTCGACGCTTGACCAGTCTGAACCGAGAAACGGAGTTTAACGCCGATGAAACAATTGCGATGATGGTGCATACAACGGCATTGGAAGAAAAGATTACCCGAGGGAGTAGTTACTGGGACTGCTTCAAAGGTGTTGATTTGCGTCGCACTGAAATCGTCTGCATGGTGTGGGCGATTCAGAACCTGAGCGGCAACTCATTTTCAAACTATTCAACGTACTTTTTGCAGCAGGCGGGACTGGAAACAAAGCATGCGTATTCCTTTGCGATGGGACAGTACTCTATCAACATGGTCGGCGTTTTCGGTGCCTGGTTTTTGATGACGCTTGGGGTCGGCCGCAGGTCACTCTATCTCTACGGCTTGTGCGGCCTCTGCGCTATGCTTCTCGTCATGGGATTCCTGGGGTTGGTCCCCGAAGCGCACCGGAACCAAAGCTCCCTGGCCACCGGCAGCATGATGATCATCTGGGCGTTATTTTACCAGCTGTCGGTCGGAACCGTCTGCTATTCACTTGTTTCGGAACTTTCTACCAGGAGACTCCAAATCAAGACTGTTGTGCTCGGCCGGAACCTATACAACATTGTCGGCATAATTTGCAATGTGTTGACTCCTTACATGCTCAATCCAATCGCTTGGGACTGGGGTAACTTCGCTGGCTTCTTTTGGGGTGGCATCTGCTTCCTCTGCATTATCTACACGTATTTTCGGGTCCCCGAGCCACAAGGTAGGTCGTTTGCGGAATTGGACCTCTTGTTTGAGCGTAAGGTCAGTGCGAGGAAGTTTGCAACAACGCACGTCGACGTTTTCGAGGAAGAAGTTGAAGGCAATGTCATCCAGCAATACAGAAACGAGACCACCAAGAGCGTCTGGGCATGAGTCCCATCCTTGCGTGTCTGTCTGTTGGCTGTTCAGCTATGCGAAACCCGCTGGCTTGCTGATGCGGGAGATGGACGTCAGCAACGGCTTGTTTGATTATCCTAATGTCACCGGTTCATATATGTAATAATAACTAATATAGTATCTACTATTGCTGTTAACGGATAGCATTTGAAAATTCATCATTTCACCTCAGGATAGCCAAAACTTCTCACAAGGCCGTCAAAAGAGCTTTGGGCTAGAAGATTCCACGCTCCTTTCGGCCCCCTTCATTATCATTCCGAAATTTGGTATCTCCCCGCTTTTCCGAAGGCTGTGAGGGAAAATGCACGATGATGCTTGGTTGATGGCACCTGAGAATCTTGGTATGACGCGGGGAAAAGTCAACCAATTTGTCCGTTAGGTATATCAGCCCTAGAATCGATAGGGATGGATGACGTAGAACAATATACATATCAACTACCTCGACAATCAACAAGCCCATCTCTGCATATTTTATATCAATGATTCCAATGCCCAAAGAAAAAAGAAAAGCGATGAGGTCATTGCACTGCCATACACTGTGGCTGGTTCGTTCATGCATGGAAACACACTAAACCCAACACGGCTAGTCACATGCCTCAGCCACACACATTGACGATCGCCCAAAACCTAGTTATATAAGCATGGCGTTCCGGAAACACATCCAGAAACAACTCTTGCTCTCACAATTCACACTCTTGTGCAAGCTCGCATTTGGCCGGATTGCCTGTGAGCGCTGTATCATCTCGGCGCGTACCTTGGCTTGTAGGTATGCTCTCTAGTTTGTGCTCTATATGAAGAAATGGCCTGCTAATCTGAGTGATGTAGTATTTCCGATTCCCCGCAGTAGAGATATATTAACCCACTCTGTTAAAGCTGAATCGGCAGATACCTTGACCGAGAGACCCCAGGCCGCTGTACCGATCAAGGGGCGGCTGGAATCGACGAGATGAGTTTCAAAGGAATTCAAAAAAGCTTTGCCCGAGCTCCTCAAACCTTCAAAGCCAAATTCAATCTCGGCGAGAATACAAAGGACCCTGTATACCTCGATGCCGAAAGGAGGTTTCAAGAACTCGAGAAAGAGACAAAGAAATTGCATGATGAGTCAAAGAAGTATTTTGACGCCATTACTGGTAATTCCGGCCCTTCCGGCTCCGTTTTCGCGTTTTTCTCGTTGAGGCGTTTTAACAATGTACCCCTGGCTGATTCGCTGATTTACTAACGTGAAAGCTGGGATCCTGCAGGCATGTTAAATCATCAGATTGAATTCTCCAAAGCCATTGCCGAGCTATATAAGCCTATCTCCGGTCGAGCTTCTGATCCCACGACCCTAGTTCCCGAGGGTAATCCGGAGGGCATCCAGGCGTGCGAAGAATATGAATCCATCGTGCGGGACTTATTAACGACGTTGCAACCAGAACTCGAATTGATCGAATCGCGAATCATTAGTCCTGCCGACCAGCTTTTAGAAATTATCAAGGTCATTCGAAAGGTCGCCGTAAAACGACAGCACAAACAGCTGGATTATGATCGCCACCGCGCCTCATTGAAGAAGCTCCAGGATAAGAAGGATAAATCGCTAAAGGATGAAAAGGCGCTTTATCGAGCGGAGAATGACGTGGAACAAGCGACGCAGGAGTTCAATTATTATAATGACCTTTTGAAGGACGAGTTGCCGAAACTGTTTGCCCTAGAGGCGGAGTTTATCCAGCCACTTTTCCAGTCTTTCTATTATATGCAGCTTAACGTCTTTTATACGCTCCACGAGAGGATGCAAGGGTTGAACATTGGCTATTTTGACCTGACATCGGACGTGGAGGAAGCATATGAACGGAAACGAGGAGACGTTAAAGAGCGAGCGGAGCAGTTGACGATTGTCCACTTTAAAACCACGGGAGGTCGACGGCCAGGCTCAAAGTTCACTCCAGGTGGAAAGGACAAATTGGCTGCTGAGTCGAAGACCTATCCTTCGCGTCACGCTTCAGGCGCTTCCGACAACCCTCCACCTCCATATTCTGCCCATGCCACGTCCCCATTGATTGGTGGCTCTGCGGGAACCTTTGGGAACGGTTCTCTTTCAGCCGCCGCGAAAGCGAAACCTGCCCCGCCCCCTCCGAAGCCGAAACCAGCCCGGTTTGCGGGTGCCCAGGTAGAAACCGTCACTGCGCTGTATGATTATGAAGCACAGGCGGTGGGAGACCTGAGCTTTTCAGCGGGGGATGTCATTGAAATTGTATCAAGGACCAATAATGAAAATGAGTGGTGGAGTGGTAAAGTAGACGGGAAGGTTGGCCAGTTTCCTGGTATGTCGCCTGATATTTTAATGTTTTTGAAAGGGAAAAAAACTAACAATAGGATTAGGAAACTATGTAAGGCTGAATCAGTAAACTCCTTCAAATCTCCCCGCGCAAGAGTTATGGATATTATGCATCTTCATCAAGTCATATTTGCATGTGTTTCTATGTCTTGTGATGATTTACCAATGCAATTCTCTTCCATATGCTTTTCTCAATTCTTCACGCATATTATCAACCCATCAGCGTCCTGTTCTACCCCTTGTTCTTTCTGTTCATTGGGAATAAGTTGTTATTCTGCCCCTTGCTTCTCTCCACAAGTACCATATTTGTTCCTCTGCATTTCGGACATATGTTTCATAGAGCAATCGCGATGCTGATTTAGTCATGGGGGATGCATCTCTGTTGTAACTACTCGAGCACAATTCATTAGGACCCTGAATGCCAATCAAACTTGGAGTCTCCCGTAGAGTCTGAAGACTCGTGTTCTGATCCAGTTTCCGCCAAAAAAGGAACCAGCCAAGCGCGGTTCAATGACAACTCCCTCTTATTACTTGAGCTGGGAAAAAAAAGAGATATACTCGTCTGCCCACACTCAGAGTCGAACTGAGGATCTTATCATTACTAGTGATACGCTTTACCAACTAAGCCATATGGGCGCCGGTTGAATCTCGGTTAATATTTGGTAACTTTGAGCGGAGGAAAGCGTGAGGGTGTCTTTGTGGGAAGCCTGCGTTGGCACAGCGGCAATCGAGAATCGCCTGAACATCTGAACCTCAACTCCGCCGAATCGACTGCTTGAAGCTTGAAGGCGGACGCAATGTGCGCAAGCTAGCAGGATATCCGTGGTCTGAGTCACTCCGGCCTCTCTTCCAGCCGTCCGTGCTTTGCTTGGGATTGACGGCATGATAGCCAACCGCTTCGTGCCAACCCGACCATCTGTTTGAACAGACCCTATGATATGAATCATGAACGGTGACATGCAAGCCTCGTCTTTCTCGTTTGGCCAATTGATAACTGCGGAACTGGGGCATTGACCTCGAGATCCTCGATCGCGCGTGACAAATTCCCTTTCATGCAGGGTGTTGCACGGCATGCGCTTTCGCACCACTGAGGATATCATATCCTTTTCGTTTGCTGGCAGGGGTTGTTCTGTGAAACTGCTCCCTTTGATAACTCTTCAAGGTTAGCGTCTCAGCGCGCGGCCGGAATGAAGCCTCCGCTCTATAGACGGGATCCTTGCTTGGTGGCTACTAGTGGTGCTTGAAGCTTGGAAACGGCAGGATCGGGAAACAAGCAAGTCGGTATGCTGTGGCAAAAGCACGACGCCAGATACGGGTAGAAGATCTACCGGGGCTGGCGATGTTGTGTAAACTGCGCAGACACCATCGGTTATAAGTCTGGATAAGGCCAGCAGATTTGCCTTGGACTCTTGAACCTTTTCAGCTCCTTTCTATACAAGAGTGTCGATGTTTCAGAGGTGAAGTAGCAGTCTTATACCCATACATGTATCTCAATCCTTCTTTTCCATTTATACGGAGTATACGGCTACCTTTTTACGTCCGTTTCCGTCGAGCTGCTAGCAGATGCAATAGTACCTGCGGTTGTTTTATTCGTTCTGGCGCCGTGGCAACGGGTTCCTGCCCTCTTCCTTGGCCATCTTCGGTCTGAACACGACAGCCTTTCGTTCAGCAGGCTCCCTTACTCAGAATAACAATGCTCCTCATTCTTCCCCGTGAATTACGCGATGAGATCTATTACCATTTATTTTTCACGACCCGCCTCAGGTTCGGCCCACGGATAATACCTGCCCGACACTCTCTAGCCATTCTACGGACCTGCCACCAAGTTCACGAGGAAACCAAAGATATCTGGATTTCCCGCGTCCTGTTCAGCTTCGATGGTCTTGGGGATATATTCCTAAAATTTTCGAGCCTGAACCCTAGTGTGCTTTCGCACATTAAATATGCCAGCTTTAGCTTAACGGATAGTGAAAGCTCTGGATTTTCTAAAACTGTTTCGGTTCACGAGAAATATTCACGAATTTTCAAATTATTCCCCGGGTTATGTCTTGATAACCTCACTGTTTTTGCGACTCGAGATTGTGAGCCCGCATACAAGGCACTGTCTGGGCTGATCCTATATGGAAGAGGCTGGAAGGAGTTGCACTTTGTTTCGCCCAATGCAAGGATACTAGGGTTGGCTCAACGCTGTTGCCCGAGACCGCTACCGAGTACCTGGAATGAATTCTTGTTTCAACCACCTTGTGCCAACCCTGACCAGAACTTCGAAGCGTCTATAACAATTTTCCGGTCTACGGTGACGCGCGAAGTTGGCGAACCAACCGGTAGTGTTTTGAACCCAGCCACGCGAAAAGTTTTTGAGATGGCCACCCAGTCGCGAATGTTACACATCAACGTCTGTCGCAGAAGAATGCCTCCCTCGTTCGAAGAAATCGTAACAGGGAATGAATATTTAGTGGTTGTCAAGCGGGGCCCCGATGCGGATATCATTAGGACGTATGATGAGAAGCAAGAGTTCGAGACAACTCCTAGTCATTTTGCGCCAGCCCCCTTTATTCAGTGTACATCGGTTTACCACAAGGATGTTCAGGATTACCTCGATTGGAATGTCGAGGATCCCGTTCCCGACGTCTACCACCGGATTTATGATTTCGAGTGGAGTGACTTTCGTGCTCCGAAAGCGTCGAAATCAACATAACTAGGGCACGAGAGTCACTGTCACGCTAGAAGACTCTACACGAGGTAGTGAGGCCTTCCGAGTTATCAGTATTATTAGCTCTTCTTTAATTCCCGTATTATATACAGGCTGGAGTAATATTGATTGCCTGAAATGAGATCCGCAACAAGGTATTCTTTAAAGCTTTATAGCACCTGAATCATAGACTGATCCGCATATCATCCCCCGAAAAAAAAAATTTATCCCATAGAAAATTCATGTTTTTACTCTATACGGCAAAAATTCGACTTATTACTTACACCCCGAGCTTTTTCTTTCCCTTTTTTTTTCACACAAAGGCAAGCGATCTAAGCTTCTACTTGCTGCAATTCCGCGGGTAATGTCTGTACTTTCTCCCGATAGAGCTTCTCTGCCCGTTGCCAGACGGGATGCGAAGCGCGATTCTTGATTTCTAGCATGGATGGCAAGAGGTCCGCCGAGAATGTATCAGATGATTCGGCAGGAAGAAGGCTGGGGAGGTGATCGATTGCTATTGGAAATTTGACTTTTAGCTTGCTTGCCCTCCTTTCAAGGAGCGTAAAATAGAAAATCTCCACTTACAGATCACGCTGAGAGGGGGGTTGGAGTAATTTAGCTGGATGGTGGGTTTATCGAAAGTCTGAAAGGGCTAGTCAGTTGCAATCCGGTGAAAAAGAGGAGACGATCGCACGTACGCTGTTGACGTTGTAAATTGGCTACGGGACAAATATTAGTATAAGACCTGGACGTCTCATGTAGGTAGGGTAGTACTCACGATTGGGTTATTGGGGTTTGTGGTATCGCAGCTCTATAGATTGATCAGTCGTTGCTTGAGCACAAAAACTCGAAAAGGAACATACCACATCACAGACGACGGAAAGCTTGCGATTCGGGTTCAAGAGGCTCTCGGCATCTACGAATGGTGCAATCTTGCTCGTGAGATAAATGCAGTTGATGAAGCTATACATTATCAGTATCCTTCAGCGCCTCCTTTATAGTCTAAACTTACATGTCGGATTCAACGATTTCGGTGAATGGGCCACCCTTTGCCGTTTCTTCCATATCCCACCTCAGGATATCTTCGCATCCTGCTTTGACGCAGGCGTCGACGGCTCCTCTTGAGAAACTGTTAGCATGGTGGTATTCACCACAGACTGGTGTAAAGTATCTACTGACCTTCCACAACGGCCCAGTGCGCCAATAATCAGAACTCGCGGTTTGCGGCCAGCAATCTTTGTGCCCCGTTCCACATCCGCGCGTATTTGATTTACCATCTCGTCTTCGTTGACGTAATATCCCTTTCCACCAGTGAATTCATCGACACCTGGAAGAGGGGTGCCGGGATTTTCGAGCTGCCACGCCCAGGTCTTCAGGGAGAGTGCAGCACCAGCAAAGCCAGCATGATAACCAAAAGCGGCTACTCTTCGGCCAGAATCATCCTGTGAATAGAAATGTCAGTCTTCACCCTTTTACAAATTTAACACAAGGTGAATACTCCGAACCTGCAAGAATTCCAAGTCATATAAAACTCCCCCACCACGGCTCCATCTGCCCAAGGCCTTCTCCCAGCCCCCTTGGTTCTTAAAGCAATGCGCAAAGGTAACATGGTCATGGATCAATGGGAAATCTTTGGTCTCATCTAGCTCCTTCAAGCCTACGATGATTGAGTCCTTGGGTGCATTGACCCAGCTTCCTTCAGGAACCAGCTCTGCACCGGCCTTTTCAAATTCTTCGTCTGGGAAGATGCGCTTGCGGAGAGCGGAGGTGGGCGATCTCTCAACCTTGACTTTGTAGCCGGCGTCAAGGAGGGCGCGGGTAGTCGAAGGAGTGAGGGCAGATCTGGGTTGCGCATTGTTAGCAAGGGATAAGTCCTGTAATCGAAGAGTCGAGACCAATTGTTCTCAAGGCGGGTGTGGGTGAGGGGTCATACCTGTGCTCGAGGATCTTGTCCTCCGCACGGAGGTGAAGAGTTGTAGGGGCCATCCTGAGTATATTAGAGAGCAATTGAGTGAACTGGAGCAGTCCAAGGTGAATCAAGAGTCAATTGTTTCAAGGTGGAATGGAAATTTGAGATGGCGGAGTGAAATTGCATCCCATGAAGTATGACTCAGGCAGGCAATATCAACATCACGTGGTCCATGGTGATCGATTTTGATGCATCAGATTTAGTTGCCAGAAGACGACAGGGAATGGAGGTTTTCATCGTGCAATGTGAAGCTGATTATTCTTTCTCAGACTAGTCTACAGAGTACACGATCTCAAGAGGGCGGTTCAAATCACCGTCCCTGGTTAGGAAGCTTTGCCATAGCTCCAATCTCTCACGAGATGAACACATACACCCATCTGTCTCAATCCCAAATCAAAACGCGACGTAGTCACCGGAGCCAATATCCGGCCATGTTGTGGTGCGATGCCCTTTCAACAGCAAACCAGTGCGGCTCTTTTGGCAACTCCGGATGCTTTGCTACCGGATCCTCAGCAGAATGGAACTTCTCGTTGGAGTACGGCTGTGTTGTTGTAGAATAAGACTTTGCTCTTGAGAGAGGTGGAAAAGGAGAATCGCCGGAAGCTGCTTCTTTCTCGCTGGATTCCGGGCTCTCTCTCATGGGTTTGATACTATTGACGAATCTGGCTGGTTTAAGCGTTTGAGGCCCTTTGAACCTAATAGTCTGATCGAAATTAATTAGCACGATTACTTGCCTGGGATCATCTATTGATGCCACTTTCGTCAAGTAAACAATCATTCTTTCATCTGCGGCGGCTTGGATTTCCCCGGATGCGGAGCGCGGACAGAGAGTCCGAAGGAGCTCCTCTGGCGCGTCATCCGAGGGCCAGAGTTTGATTCCACGAGATTCATAACGTTCCTCAGAACATTCCATTGGTGTCGCATCCTCATGGAGATGTTCCGGAGGATACAAGAATCCCGGGCTGACTTCTTCGCCCGCTTCATCGATGGGACACTTGCGTTTTCGAGATCCGATGCGCAAACGCAACCGGTCCGAAGGTGCTGAAAATGCTCCAGTAGGCAACGGGTCGTTCACAAGGTCAATGAATGACAATGCAGAGTAATTGTACGTCCAAAACTTAGTTTTTGACAACGGAAAGTCCTTTCGGGAGTCTGAATTTCTCTCCTCTGTGGTATATTCATGGTGATACTGGCGCTTCACTCTTTTTCGCGGAGGAACATAGTTAGGCTTGCTGAAAGCATCCAGGGTACGGGTTAATGGATCGTCGCTCGGGAGCCTGCTCACTGGTCTATACCGAGGAAATCCGGGGCTGGGTGGGTCTTCCGTGGGGAAAGGAGTTCGCATTGTTACCGGGTCGAGGATTTCGGCGTCCCATTCGGCCTGTGCGTGAGGACGGTCAATGGGCTGCATGTAATATGTCCGATAGTTTTCGCTGCCACCATCCCGCCATTCTCGCCTGCATTCGACAATGATGAGATTTCCGGTGTCTTCATCTGTCTGCAAAGAGAGGTTGGTCCAGGTGTCGTTCAAAGGCCCCTCTTGATGTTGACGCCTCCAGTATCTTTGCCACATGGGTTCCGTTGGTCGTGACAGGGGAATTCGTACGCAGACATAAAACGACGTCCAGTCTATTTCCTCCTCTTCGTGCGATGTTTGGTTTGAGACAACATAGAGATAGCCATCACGTATCTCAAAGCAAACGGTGGATCCGAGTTCAGAGCCAACCACATTTTCGAGCTGAACAGGGCGCTTTGTAACGTTGCGGTCCTCGGGCAAATACACACCCTGAATCAGCCATTCATAATGATCTAGATGTCCACGATGGACCACCCTTGAATGTGTCCCGTAGTAAAGATACGAAGCGTTGTTCCGGACGAAAAGCTCCCGAGTCGTGTTTAATTGGCGCACCATTCTCAGGCGACTGACGCCCACTTCTCGCGAGTGTGAGCAAACGTCAAAGGCCATCAGCCATGTCCGCCCGCCCCATTTGCATAAGCACGTAGTAATACCGTCGGAATAATATAGGAGGGTCACCTGCAGCTGCTCACTAGCCGTGAGAGGTAAGACGGCCTCAGAGAACGCAGCTCTGACGTCGATGACCTGCTCCGTGCCATCAGCTGCACGGGTGTGTAAAATCCTTATTGTATGCCCGTACTTGTAGCACAGCACGCCTTGCCTGAATTGGAAGCTTTCCGCGTAGCCCATGATGCCTGCGGAGTAAGGCTGAGCGGTGGCCACAGCCTCTCGGACATCAAAGGCGCGCCGTATCGCTTGGCGATAGCTGATTTGCCCACTCGCTGCCAGCCTGCACTCGGCACTGTGGAACATGAATTTCTAGAAGACGTGTCAATGCACGGGGCTTTCGCGCATGGAGGGGTTGGGCCAGGCATGCCATGCGGGGCGCTATTCCAGAACAACCATACCTGAGCGGACTTTCGGGCGGTGATCTCGTCTTTCAACAGTTCATACATGTCCCAGTTCACAAGACTGAGGTTGATGTAGTCATGAGGCCCTAGGTAGGAGGCAATCTCGTGCCATATGTCGAAAGGGATCGAGTCAAACTTTTGAGGCATGATAGTCGAGAACGGGCGGACGATGAACAAAGTAGAAGGATTGCAAAATAAGCCTCTGGCTGGATAATGGCCAAGCACCCCAGATGGCAGCTAGACAACAAGAGCAAGGTTGAGGCTTCGAGTCGTTTGGGAGCAAAAAGGTGTGAAATTCAAAACAACCAAACAAAACATCGTGAACAACTTCTCGAGGACGTGAAAGAGATTTGATTTTCCATCCGGTGTCCTTTCACTTTATCAATGAATTTGTGAAGCAATTGCAGCACTGCTGTGCCATCTTGCCATTGCTCTGGTGTTCTGGCGTTGACGTCTCCCTGGAGGCAACTGCGCAATTATAGACCCAGTGAGGCTCAAGTCCACGATGGAACAGCTTCCCAAAGACTGAAACATTGTTGCTGTGAAAAGGACCAGAAAGAGGCAATTTATGAGGCTGAAAATACACATTGAGGGCTGGAAGTATCATCCATCCCCTCTTTTTTTTTTTTGACTCTCGAATGCTGCACTGTGACTTGCCGCTGGGAGAGTAACTAGCCCCCGATCTGAGTTGCAAGGTTGCTAGTCGAGTATATTATTACGGGTTCGTTGGCTACCGCATGCCAGAAGAGGGCTAGCTGGCGACCGGTCCCAGGAAAATCGACAAGGCTGTGATTCGAGCAGGGCAGGCAAACCGCCCGTCGGCGCCGTCATTGGTGTGCCGCGAGGCGTGAGAAAAGCAAAGTCTCACGCAGGCATGATCTCACTTTTTGGTGCCTGTGGCCCGGTGCCGCTGTTCACCTTGAGGCCCAATTGAATAGTCTCTGTTGAAGTCTGCTAATAGGATGTTGCTGTCAAGGAGCCAGGACTCCACACCCCGGCAGATTGATGACAAGGTTGCTTGGTTTGGCCTGAGAGCCGCAGAAAGCCAAGTGCTTTTGCCCACATGCAGATTTCGATCAGCTTGACGGCGCTGCAAGGATTTGCCCGCTCTAACTAGCTACTCGCCTGTGCTTGGTGGCATCATGATTCATGGGAGACGTCAGTTGTGGCTGTGCTTCAAAGCGTGAGATTCCCAACAAACTTCCGATCGCCTCCGCATGACCCAAGCAACAGTGAACTCCAAGTCTCCAACCCCCTAAAGGAGAAAGCAAATTCGATGCAAGCGTTACATGAAAGGTAGATCAATTGGCTTGTGCCTGGCATACTGCGAAACAGAGGCGTTCAACAAGGTGATGCAAGCTTGAAACCGCGGCCCTGCTGAGCCGCTGAGTAGGACTGAGTGCAGTTGACACCGACAGGGATTCCCGCCGAAACATGCACTGCTTGACTCCTTGAGCATGCTGCATGCCTCTCCCTGCGGCTCAAACCGCCGAAGAAGATCAGACGAAAGCCCCTTTTTTTGAGCCTCGGAATAGGGTTTAGGGTGTTACTAGCGCGGCTCTGTGCTTGTCACCAGACGATCGCTTGAGCACCGCAATAATGCTTCGTTGATCTGACTCTCTGGTGATTCTCGATCTGGCGCCGAACCCGAGAGTTCCCGTTGATTGGTCCATAATATCAATTTTGAATTGCGTGATCGTCTGGTCGCACTCGGCTGCATCCCACCTGTCAAGCTTCACGAACACCGATCCAGCATGCATCGCGAAAGTCGAGCGCGCCTTTTGCAAGGGCGTACTCTGGAAGGATCACACGGGTCGTTTGGGCCGTGCCGGAAAAAGCGCTTGTTCATTGTTGTCTTCTTCCGAAATGTGCGGGCCAGCAATGCAGCAAAGCAATACGCCAACTTCTGGTTCGATGCAAGAAAGAGCTTGAGCGCAAAGCCCAGCTGTTGACTGCGGAGAAGTCTTGCGCCATTACAGTCTACTGCTAGTTTTATGCCAGTCAAGATGGCTATTGTCAAGAAGATTGATTCTGTTCTCCTCGGAGACAATTGAGGTTTAGTAAGTTCAGGTGGCTTAACGCGCTGTAGGCGCTCCAGAGAAGAATCTCAGATTTTGGTTGACCCCACTTCTAGGAAAGAATAAAGTTCTCGTGTTCGCGATATCTTGCAGTGCGAGACCACGCTTTTGAGGACGCCCGGCGCAAAAAGGACTCCAAGTTGATTCGCATGGCGAGAATTTGTGTTGAGCGCGGGGAAAGTGCTCAATGATTACTATGCCTCGCATAAGTCCCCATCTTTCGACGGCTGCCGGACAAGAGCAGGGCCACAGATGGATGTTTGGCATCTTTGCTTTAGTCACCAGGCACAGTGGGCGCTGATATGGCACACGAGCGGTGGGATTTCAATCCCACTGGAAGCGCACAGGATTAGTCCGAACGAATGCAGACCGCACCGACGAAGGAAAATCCTATCAGCAAGCTTGTGGCACTTTGCAGGTTATCCCACAAATTCCGGAGCACCAGCGACAAGCCGCAGACATGTTGAAGCGAGGCCCAGCCGGGGAATCTAGGCAAAACTGTCTCTTGGCCTATCCCAGTCAGAATGGCGTTGACCCCCATTGAACTTTCATCACAGACATGGATGACGGCTCAACGATGGCCGGCCTCGACCCCATCCATGGTAATACAGGGATAAAGGGCGTTGCTTGAGTGAAGTTTCTTGAGCTCGGCGACGGAGTGTCATCATTCCTGTTTGATCAAAAGATAAGATAAGACCGCCAGGATGACTCAGCAGCCGCAATAGCTTCGGCGCTAAACTCAGTTTGGCAGCTGGGCTGATGAGTCAGACAACCCCACCAAAAGTTGGATATCAAGCACGAGTTCACCCCGCAGCGCCTCTGAGCTGCTACAATTGTGCTTTGGACCTCTTTTTCTATATCCATACTCATATACGTTGGGGCTAATTGAATTGGCCCTCTACCTTGCTTTTTCCAGCCATGAGTGCGCCAACTGGTACCACACAGTTACCCGAACGGCCTAAACAACCAAAGCCTCCGAAGAACAAGCCAGCAAAACAACCCAACGACAGCGGTGCCAAAAATGCCAATAAAGGGTCCAAAAAACCTCAAGGAGGCCCCTCTGGTGCAGATATTACCCAGGACCCCGAATTCATGTTCAAAGTTGGGTTTTTGGCCGATGTCTACCAAGAGAGGCCCATCTCGGACAAGATCCCCAAAATCGTAACACGGTTCCCCCCAGAACCCAACGGATTCCTACATATTGGGCACAGCAAAGCTATTGCGGTCAATTTCGGTTTCGCGAAGTACCATGGCGGTGACTGCATCCTACGATTTGATGACACGAACCCGGAGGGCGAAGAAGAAAAGTATTACAAGGCGATTGAGGATATAATACATTGGCTTGGATTTAAGCCGTTCCGTGTTACGGCCGCTAGTGACAATTTCGAAAAGCTATACCAACTTGCTGAAGATTTAATCCGACGAGATGGCGCGTATGTTTGCCATTGCACGAGTGCGTGATGAGATGTCCCTGTCCCGCCATGATACTGAAGCTGACGTGAACCAAAGAGGCTGAGATTAAAAGTCAACGCGGTGAGGGAACTGGCGGCGAACGATTCGCTTGTAGTCACCGGACGCGCCCAATTGAGGAATCCTTGACCGAATTTAGAGCAATGAGGGATGGCAAATATAAACCTGGTGAAGCTGCCCTCCGGATGAAACAAGATATAGAAAATCCAAACCCGCAAATGTGGGATTTGTTTGCTTGGAGGATTCTAGACCACGAACACAAGGCTCACTTCAGAACTGGAAGCAACTGGAAGGTTTATCCCACATACGACTTTGCCCATCCGCTCTGCGATAGTATCGAAGATATTTCACATTCCCTCTGTACGACTGAATTTGAGCTTTCCCGTGAATCATATGAATGGTTGTGCGATAAACTCGAAGTTTATAAGCCAATGCAACGAGAGTACGAACCTTCGGCTTTCGCAACTTATATGTACAGTACATTTCACAAGGCTAACCGCATTATAGATATGGCCGCTTAAACATAACCGGCACCGTTCTTTCCAAGCGGAAAATCATCGAGCTGGTTAAAAAGGGTTACGTGCGCGGTTGGGATGATCCTCGCCTCTTTACTCTTATTGCGCTTCGCAGACGCGGTTTCCCCCCGGGCGCTATCCTCTCTTTTGTTAATCAGTTAGGTGTAACGAAGGCCAAAATTAATGTTCAGGTGGTGAAACTCGAACAAACCGTCCGCCAGTATCTCGAGACCACAGTTCCGCGGTTAATGTTGGTCGTTGAACCGCTCAAAGTTATAATTGATGATCTACCTGACGATTATGTTGAGATGGTCGAGGTACCCTACTCGAAGGATCCATCTTTCGGAGTACGTATCTTTTGTTCAACGGATTCTTTGCTGCAAAAGTCCACGCTAACGATATGGACAGTCTCGCAAAGTCCCATTCACAAAGGTGGTTTACATCGAAAAGTCGGATTTCCGCGAAGTAGATTCTCCTGATTATTTTCGTCTCGCCCCTGGAAAGACAGTTGGTCTCATGAAGGCGCCATTCCCCATCACTGCAACATCCTTTGAGAAAGACCCGGAAACCGGCGAAATTGCTTGTGTTCATGCTAAATATGAGAAACCATCTGAGGGATCGCCGGCAAAGAAAGCGAAAACGTAAGTTTTTACTCAGCCGGTTCCACTAGTGTTATATCACCAGTTCTAATAACCATTGTGTAGCTATATTCACTGGGTTGGCGAATCGCCCGCACACAATAGCCCCAAAAATGTTGAAGTCCGCACCTTTAATCAGCTTTTCAAATCCGAGGATCCATCAGCCCACCCTGAGGGTTTCCTGGCAGACATTAATCCCGACTCTGAACAAATATTCCAAAACGCATATATCGAAACGGGGTTCGAAGAAATTTGTCGCACCGCACCCTGGCCAAAGGAAAAGAATAAAGAAAGTGGGGAAGGAGAGGGCGAATCCAAGCAGAAAGAAGACAATGACTCTACTTCCACGGAGCCTTATAGTATTCGGTTCCAGGGCATGCGCATGGGTTACTTCACAGTCGATAAAGACTCAACTCCCGACGCAACTGTTCTAAACCGCATTGTTACGCTAAAGGATAGCGCTGGAAAGTCGTGAGACTAAGATATAGAAAAGCCGATATCGATGCTGATAGCCTTTACACCTACAATCGGATGCTGAACAACCAATTGATACATGCATCACTTTAGGCTATGAGTTTGTGGTGATATTATTGAGTTTGCATTACCACAACGACCGGTTCAATGATAGATTATTCTTCAAAAGAAAAAGAAAAGATAAGCATATTAACTACAAGCACTCCGTATTGTGGGTACATTAGCTGCTGGGCCAAAATTTAAAGCAGTGAAGCCTGATCGTTTGAAGTCTCTTTTACATCATCAAATGCACATATGGAGTACAGAATAACAGTTTCAATAGTTCAGTTTGGCTTCCAATTCTATAGGTACAGGTTTATCCTAATAATCTGCAATGTAACATATCATGAGAGTTTGCCGGGCATCCTGTTCAGTAAAAGCGGTATTTCACCGACATCGCGAGAAATATGGTTTCAATAGGCGAGCGGTCTGCAAATGGGCGTAACTAGGTTATCTGTACCCTGTAGCAACCATATCAAGGTAGTCCGGAACCTTTCTTATTTTTTCCCCAGGTGTCCTTTTTCGCTTCATTCATCATTTACTCTTGATATCTACTGTCGTATCAGCCTCATTGTCGATCGCCTACCTTGTATATCGATGAGAAGGAGTAATTAGGCTTCGTATACAGGGCATCAAGGGAGATACTTTGAATAAGGTTTATGTACCATTAGGAGAGAAGTGATGGAATAAATATGCAAGAAAGTTGTATTAAATCTATGTTCCATTAGACACGGAGTAGAAGCAGATCTATGTAAATCAAACCAAGTAAGACAAAAGTCGAATATCAGAAAAGCAGAAGTAGGAAGATGAGTTATACCGCCGCATTTTTGGAAAGTTAAACAGTTCGTTTCGCTTCAACTTCTCTGTCCTTCTCTTCTTGCTCTTTAAGTTTCCTCGATACCTCCCTTGCAATCTGATCTGGGCGTCTAATCGCAATATCCTTTGGCTTATAATCGCTGAAAAACCTTTTGAGTCCTTTTTCTATTAACCAACATCCTGCATAATCTAGAATCATTACCGACGTCAAAACGACCTTGAACTCGGAGCTGAATGGCACAAGACGCATTTTCTCGTTGAGTTCGGGGATAAATTCGGTTGCGCATGAAAAAGTGACCAAGGACGTAAGCAAAAGACCCCAATACATGCCGCGGTTTTCGCGGATGGATTCGCGGAAAGGACGGCCTTGGTAGTTTATGGAAAACGTAGATATTTGCTGGATGAGTTGAAGAAGGTAAACAGCAGAGTTCAAAAGCGAAGGCTCGAATTCCTTTTCAAGATCAATGTTTTCCTTGCGTCTAAGATTATATATGTTAGTGACACCCGTGTAATGACGGCTGGAAAGTGACTTACGGCTCTAACGCGTAGACGTATTGGGAAAGGTAGATTAGTGTGCCCACATGAATGGCGAACTGGCCTAAGACAGATCCGACAATGTAGATGTTGAAGATGTTCGGTTGGGGCCGTTCTTTCGACAACCCTTCAACAGACTGTTCGAATGATGGTCAGTGGAGTATCATACAACCCTAAGGATATCGAACGCCTACCTTTGCACGGGAAATAGATAAGAAACAAACACTCATGAGCATCCCGCTGATGGTGACTTGCCCGTCTCCGAACTTGATGCCGTCGAGGTAGATGACACTCAAACTGTACGCGCTGATGAGGCAATTCAATGCTAGGATTTTGTACATTTGGATAGTGGCGACTAGAGTGCATCGTCCCTGGCGAATGATATTAGGAATAGCGACAACATTGGCTAGCTTGCTCGTGAATGGTGCCGCTACGGACGCATCACCCAGTTTGAGTGTAGGCGGCTCATCTTCGTCCATTTCTTGTTGCATCATGGTTGCAGTGAGCTTGTCCGCAAGTCCAGCGGCCGCAACCTTGGCGTGTTGTTCTCGACGTTGGTGGGGTGTAAGATCGTTGTTAGACTGCTGGAGGGCTTGAGCACCTGGTGAAACGATGGTTGGAATGCTATCATTGGATTGTTGTAGGGCGGCAACAGCGGCTGGGCCTTTCTTTTCAGCTTCGCGAAGCATAGCTTTTTCATAGTGTGGGTTGTTGGCTCCTGGTGGGTAGAGATGAGCGATGTTTAGGGGAACTGGAGGCGTCGGCTGATTGAATCTTTGCATAAGTGACACCTGTTTTTCGTAGATTTCCTTCATTTTAGTCATTCTGAAATGCTCAGAAATTTTACTGAGGTCCTCTGGGGTGCCGTTCAAAAGCGCAATACCGACATGTGCTTGTTTTAGGGCACCGACGTCGTTGGTACCGTCACCGCACATCAAAGTCGTGTAGCCAGCGTCCTTCATGCCCAACAAAATGTCTTCTTTTTGTTTGGGGGATACCCGTGCATAGACCCAAGTATGGCGGAGAAGATCACGAAGACCACTTTGGCCCCGGAATTTTTCCAGCGCATAGCCAGTCACACAGAGATCTTTGGTCTGGAGAATGGTTTCGTCCAGTGGCTTGGTCGGGTCAACCTCCACACTAAACTTATCGTCGATGCTCCGCCATACGAGCCTTGTTCCTGATGTGTCGTGCTCTGGAGCATCGAGAATAAGAGTGTCCCGATCAACGATTTCAACCTGTCGGGCCACATGGACGGCTGTTAAGGGATTATCACCGGTAATCATGACCACTCTGTGACTACTCTCGTTTAGCATTTGCAATGCCTTGACAGCATCTTCCTTCAAAGGGCACTGAAGGACGAGGAACCCTGCAAAATGTAAATCCGCTTCGACTTCCTCGCGCTTCAGGTTGTTGATTCGTGCAGGGCTTAGCTCTGCCTCCGAATTCAAATACTTGTAGCCTAATGCGAGAACTCTGGCACCGTTCCGGGTGAAGAATTTAAAGGTCTCCTCGTAATTAGGCGGAACAGAAACAAGCATAGTACTGATCGTTTCTGGAGCACCTTTCACTCCGACAAAAGTGCCCTTTACTCTCTTTGACGATTGCCTATCAGTACTCGTCACGGTTGCCACCGCGCTTTGCCGTTTTAACGCAGAGGAGAATTGGAAGCGTCGACGAATTTGGACTGATTCAAGCACGCGCCCTCCGGCTCTGACTGGCGCTCCTGGTTTGCTAATCAAGACATCATTTCGGCCAAGGATCCACCCGAGTGATGTGAGCGTTGCTTTTTCCATTGGATCACCAACAATTTCACCTTCGTCTAGCTTGACAAGTGCATGTGCGGTAGCGAGTACCAATGTAGTCTCGTCAGCTACATTCTCGACCTTGGCGATATCAGTATGCGCACCGTCCGGAGAAATAGACTTGCTCTTCTGCCCTAGAGTTAGCCCTGCGATCCCTTCCACTAGAAGATCCTCGCCGGTTAAGGTTCCGGTTTTATCAAAACAAGCGATATCGACACGGCCAGCATAGGGAATTCGGAAAGGTTCAGTGCAGAAGATGGCATATTTGCTAAGCGCCGCAAGGCTGGTATTAACAGCCAAACTCAACTCCATAGGCAACTCTGGCGGCACAACGCTTGTGATGATCAAAACACAATCAAGCAATAGCTTTGACCTCTTCCGGTCCTTGGAGACACCTTCTTTCCAGACATACCAAGATGCTGCGATGGCAAACATTAAGAGGAAGAGGATGAACAACAATGCCTCAACGTTATTCGCAGAAACGGGTTCTGTGGAGTAGATCATCGTTCGAACTAAGCTGCCTTGGCTGGTTTCAAAGCCAGTTCGAACAACAACACCGAGAGCACCGTTATCAGGAGGAGGCGGGACTTTGAATCGAGCGTTGGTGGTAATTTCGTCTGGGTTCGAGGTAGACTGGTTGATTTGCAAGACCTTTGTGCCGCCATAAAGGAAGGAGTTTTTGTCAAGGCCATTCGGATCAATCCGTTCATCCCCTGGGCGCAACTGGATAGAGTCTTTGAGCAAAGGCGTGCTTTCTCCTGAGAGCATCGCCTCGTTAACAATTGCACTTCCTCCAATCATGAGAATATCACAGGCAACTCCACTGTCGTCTTTCGTCCGATTCACCGATAATAAATCACCCGGAAGTAATTTATCACTGCTGGTCTCAGTCCACTGGTTCTCCCTGTAAACCCAGACATCGTATGGTTTGATGCTCATGCTTCGGAATTCATTTAGGGTCCTTTGACGTTGCCATACAACCGTGCTCTCGAAAGCGACGAGCATGAATAGCGTAGACAATGAGTAATACCAGTACTCGTCCAACAGCCACAGTCCGACGCAGAAGATTTGGAAAACAAAAAACGGCGCGACCGCGTGCTCTTTGAATAGTTCTATAAAGGTGGGAACCGGGATATCGAAAGTGTTGTCACCATAGTGATTGTGGATATGCTCAATTTGGGAGGCTGATGTCAACCCGCAGCTTGTCTGGAATTCTTTCAAATACGGCTTCGGCTCCACGTCGAGGGCGTATGAAAGCGGGGAGAAGCATTTATTCGCCGGATCGTACAGGAAACGCCGTTTTTGGAAGAGGAAAGAGATATGATTTCTACCGCCGGTGTATTCCTTCACCAAAGGACAAATTTCGGCGGAGCCGGCATTCGCCACAGGAAGCACTTTGATGAGCTGGGCGTCGTCGACGGATTTTGCGCTTGTGGTAGTGAACAGAGCGTTGATATTGATATTCCACTTTGTCATCAACCAGAGCAACGACTGTAATGTGAATATCGAACCGGCCCAGAGGAAAGTCCATTCAGACCCCTGGATGTACCTGTCGTATCGATCGGGAGAGAGATAGAAGGCGAAAAACGACGGCCATATTATCAGGAAGGGCCAGACGTAGGCATGTAATTGGATTGGGAGAGGGTTGCGAAGAGCCGCAGATCGTATCTGGGCATTGTCTATAAGCCGTGGCCTGGTTCTGGTGTCAGCGCGTTATCTGGCTTTCCACGGTCGGCGCGGAGCACACTTACATGCTGGCTTGAGTCGAGGGGATTAGCGAGAGAGAATCATGGATGGAACCTTTCAGACCAAATACTGTACAATAACACAGAGGTCACGGCAGGGCAGTGCACAGCTTCCGAGTCGAGTTTGCCGCAGCGTTGGAGTGCAGTTTCAACCAGCTTTCCCTTTTGGGCCCGGAAAAAAAAGAACGCTGGATTATGTAATAAATCCGGGCATGCTTAGTTTAAGGTTTCGGAATAATTAGGCCGGCTACCTAGTAAACTGCCTCCATAGCCCCTTTGCGGCCCCGTGAAACAGGACGAGATGGGATGAGACGAGAGGGTAAAGGAATCGTAAAGATACTCGCATCACTCCGCACCGCCTTTGGATCCGATCACAGGCGTTGTGGTGCTGGCTGGCACGTTTATAGAACTGTTCTTGTAGACGGAGCGTTGCGGGTTCATCGGCAACGGCCGCTTTTCCTCTTTGGGACACGGCCCGCTCTGGACAAAGCCTCTGGTGCTTGTATATCTACACTCGCTCGCATTGTTTGTTGATGACATGCGCATTGTCCCTCAATCATTGTGAGAATGGATATAGATTGTCCATTTGAACTGGAGCTAGTCGCCGGTTCTTAGCTACGACCGGCAGGCGGCGGTTAACTAACTACTCCGGATCCTCAGCTGGCTGCAATTGTCCGACTCCACCCCGTCAACCTCGCAGGGCACAGTCCATCCGTCGACACTCGAAGCCTCCACATAATCCCCCTTCTTTTAGCGGTATGTCGAAACGGACTCTGGGAGGAGGAAGAGTGCTTGGGAGTGGAAGATCGCTAAATCCCGCCCTGCCGACACCAACCACGAGTCGTCCCTCAAACGTCCATTCTCCATCGACGAGCAGCGTCTCCCTCAACTCGCAAGCGTCGGCTTCACAGATATCATCGGACACACAGGACATAGTCTCGAGGATATCGTTAGAAAATGGAGAGTCTTCGATATCCAGAACAGCAGCCGTCGGTGCTGGCACCAACCTAGCATGCCCAATCTGCAGTGAGGAAATGGTGAGGACCCCGGGTTCGATATTTTACGACGGAGATGCGTATACTGATGGATTTTATAGGTTACTTTACTGCAGCTGAACAGGTAAGCTGCGCTACAGCGTTGTTGGTATCGGAATATTAACTCGACCTCCACAGACACCTCGATGATGCCCATCGAAACCTCGAGGACGAACAACAAGTTGAAGTGAAGGACTGGTTTCAGATCCAGGTGGAGAAAGCGAAAAAATTTCAACCGCTGGCCGTATTGAACCAGAAGTTGAAAGGCCTGGATGTCTTCGAGTCGAACAGTAACCCGCAATTCACACCCTCCGCTCCCGTTCGAGCCTCGTCGAAAGGATTCGCAGACCCCCCGAAGATTATGGACCCGGACGAACTAGTGACAAGGGCGCACTGGCAGCAACGTACTTTGTACGATGTATGCCTAGAGCCCATGTGTGAGAAACGACTTACCGTGACAACCGGTTGCGTGAACTGCCGCAAATGCGGACGGCTCTTCTGCGATGAACACACAATGTATCAAATGAAATTATCCCGGTCCGCGCATCACGAGCCGGTCCGTGGTCTATGGTGCCGGGTTTGCGAAACTTGCTACAAGTCTAGAGAAGGCTACAATGACAAGAATGGTATTTCGGCTCTCTTCCGAATTACGTGATTGTGCTGATCAGAGTGGCAGGGGTGGAACGTGATCATACTGCAACTTTCAAATCCATACGGAAACCTGTAGTAGACAAGGCGTTCCTAGAAGTCTCCCGGTTGGAGAAGCGACTCAGTCGACTAACGCAGCTGCTTGCTGAACTTCCTCTTGAACAAGTCCAATCGGGAGCAAGCAAAAGATGGTCGTTTGCTTGGCAGGGTGATCGGAGGAAACAAATAGAACAATCTATCGTGAGCTGGCAAGACGATGCTAGCGTTCTAAGATGCCCCTTTTGTCAACAGGAGTTCACCACATATACATTCCGACGGCATCATTGCCGGACTTGTGGTCGTGTCGTTTGTGGTGACCCAAACACTGAATGCTCATCTGAAATTGGATTAGATGTGGCTACTGGTATGTTTACATAGCACACTTTAGTCGCACTGTTCGCAACTTACAAGAGCGATAGACACATCTCGCCTGTCCGAGAAGCCTGCAACGCCGGGTAAACTCAGCATAGACGTTCGGCTTTGCAGGGAATGCAAGTCCACTTTATTTGATAAACGGGACTTTGCGATAGATATCAATAGGGAGCCCGCCGATGCCCGAGCATACAAGAATCTTATACAGTTCGAACGGGGCATCCGGCTCCTACTACCTCGATTTCAAAGGCTATTGGGCGCGCTCCAGTTAGTTTACCATTCAAATATTGCTTTGAGAAATGCTAAATAATTCCCCCTAGAGATCCCGAGAATCCTCCCTCTCCCGCCCAGTTGGCTGAAGCGTCAAAAGTACGCAAACGCCTAATTGACTCGTTCGCACAGTATGACGTTGCTGCCCGTCGAATTCGTGATCTCCCCACCGACTCTCCCACGCAATCCAAACTTCAAAAGTCTATATACCACCAAGCTACAAGTTTCCTTCACCTTCACATGCTTCCTTTAAAAACTTTACCAAAGATCCTCAAGCACGCGACCCCTCATGGCAGATATCCAGAAGCCGGATCCACTAACCCACCAACCCCTCGTGCTTTGGCAGCAATTAAATATGGACGGCATCAGAACCCCCACAGACATAACAACAGCATAGCAAGCCTCACAAGCGAGAACAGTAGCGCTTTGTCCGCTCTAGAGACCGAAGAAAAGGCCCTTCGCGAGCAGATTATTGTACTGGAAGAACAGAAATTCCTGGTCTCAGAGATGGTTGCTGACGCCAACCGTAGAAGGAAGTTTGACGAGGCTAAGAGTCTTGCTATAAACGGAGAAGATTTGGGGAAGGAGATTGATAAACTCAATGGGATGCTGGGCCAGTTAGATTTTGCAGGGGTATATCTTAATAATGGTGATATTACCGCAGTGCAAGATCAAGCTTGAAGTTGGGGGCGTGTACTAATGGCAACAATCATATGTTTTTGCTGTACAAACCTGGACATACTGTGATTAGCGTTCTTACTGTTCTGGTTTGGAGTCACGGTGGTATAATGGTTACCTTGCATATATGATGAGATATGATTTGCGTTTTTCTCTCCTTGTTTCTACAGGAGTGTTTGGTGGTCTGATATTAACCTTCTATTCAATGCTTTTTACCCAATCTCAGGGATCGACACATGCAGACTATTGTTCGGAGGTATACATAAATTCCATCATTGTTGCAGATACTTCTTCGACTAACTACATTTAAAACTCAGATATAAACCAGGCCAAGCCATCAATCTGAAGTGGCTGGTTCGCAGTCTACACCCACAGCAAGCTCCTACGCCAAAAGGCCCCAAGATACAGCTTTGATTGCTCAGATCAACTGGTCTGCTCCAGAATCATCGTCATTCCCAGGAGCCCCACCCTCTCTGGCCCTTGCGGGATCTTCTCGCTCCTCTACTAAGGTCTTGACGAGCTTCTTCAACTCTTCAACTTGTGCCCTCAAGTCCCTAACCTCCAGCACGCATTGATCAACCTCGACGTTCGGCTTGACCTCGTGCACCCTCTGATCCCAATCCATAGTATCAAAGTTCACGTCAACCAACGCCGCAGCCTCCTCCCACTCCTCTGTCTGATCGTCTTCCTCTTCACCCAGGCGTCTGTTTACTTGGATTCGACGTGCATGGCATGTTTCCACAAAAGCAGTGACGTAAAGGAGCGGGGAGTATATGACACCCATGACATAGTGGTTCAAGCGTTCGTATTTCCTGCTCGAGAGCCACCATTCAAACGGAAGAATTAACAAAAAGATCTCGACGAGATTGAAGGCTAGATTGGTCAGTAAGCGATAGAAAACTTGGGGAGGAACTTCTTATGCCACTCACGGACGATGAAGACGTTCTCATCCGGTGCGCGGACGAATTGTAGAGTGCGGTAAGCAAAAAGCGCGAGGTATTCATTGGTTGCATTCCCAGTGATGTCTTCGTAGGCGCTATTGTACAAGGCAATAAGGATATTCAACAGCACTAATGAACCACAATTAGGAACTTTCAGCTATTATTTCCTGATGGGGATGATTTAAACTTACCAACCATGACCACAAAGGTGAACAAGTAATAGAGAACAATGCCAAACGGAGCTGCAAAATTCTTGAAAGCGTCGAAATCAGGGTTCTGCATCACTGTGTTTGCCATACCCTGAAGGATCATCCCAGGCGTCATGATATTGTCAGGATCCGCTTGATCCATTCCAGAAAACCCCTGAAGGAACCCGATAATGACCACGCCCAGTAGTGCGAAGAATATTAAGCTTTCCTTCATCATCACCTTCAACACGACGAGCATAGCGCCGAAGAAACGGAATGTATCCAGATACAAAAGTAGTCGGCCCCAGAAGAGGGGTGCAGAGAACGCCAAAAAGTTGTAACTGAGCTGATTCAACCGTCCCCTCTCCGCGTCGTGAGAATCGGAAGAGCGAGTAAGGGCAACGGCACGTAGGATGAACGAGACCGCCAGGAGGATGTAAAGAGTGGAATTGAAAGCATTCCAAAATCCAAAATAGTTGCGACCAACCTTCCAAAATTTGGTGAATTCGTCGCAGATAAACGCAAAGGTCATCAGATAGAGAATGCCTTCCACAACGTCGAGATCACCGGTAGGATTGATCGTATTGATCACCCCCGTGTAGAGCGCCAGGTACAATATAGAGAAAAATATCTGCACAAAATTCTGGTAGATTGGCACTCGCATCCTATCGGGATTGAAATGCGCCCAGTAGGATGTATTGGTTCGCTCTTTGTATTCGACGAAATTGGATGCATCTTTATCGTCCTGGCAGAGCCAGCCATGCCAAAGATACTTGATGCATTTTTGATATCCCGATGAACCTATGACCTGGAGGGCATGTATATCCACGGCGCGTTCGATAACATTAGCGGGAGGTGTGACTTCATCGCTGGCAGTGACAATCGAATACCGTTTTAATAGAACCGCTTGCATGAGGAACCCTTGGTCCTCTTCGCCTTCGAGTCTGTATACAGGTTTGAACCAAGTTTCTAGTAGGATAGGGCGATGGTCGACTTACATGCGCTTCGCGATGACTTCACATGCCACTGACCTGAGGTTATGGAGATCGGAGTCCCATAGCTCCCTGACGGCCTGCAATCTAAACCAGCGTATGCATACGAGTAGGCCAAAGACGACACAAGCTTTGTATTCCTCCCCTCCAGCATTCTTTGCGGTTTCAATAACGGCTTTGGTTAAGATTGTGCTATTCGGCTTGGTCACATCAGACTCCTCGAGCTCGCAGGGAACAACCCCTTCGACCAGGTGTTTTAACCGTAGAGCGACCTTGGTGACTTCTTTGGGAGGAAGAGAAGGTGGAGTGCCTTCAGCTTCTGAGCTTGGAAGCACTATGCAGCTGTCAATAAAAAGCCATTGGCCGTGTTCTGGGTCAATTGGCATACTTGTATCCGTTTCCTCGACATCGAGAAGAGCTCCCTGCGAGCTTGGCCCAAACACCAACGACATCTTAGGAGCTCCAACTGGAAGACGCGAACGACAAATTCGAAATATTCAACCTCGTAAAGCTAAGAGAGTCCAGCGATCATGGTCAATTGGGTGGGCTTCCTCAGTCCTTGACGGATCGGGACGAGGATCTCTTGAAGGTGAAGCTCTTGTCGCGGGCGAAGCCATCTTTTAACTACGCTGTGATTCAAGTATTAGCTCCTGGAGCTGCGGGGAACTTGCAAGTGATGCGCAAAGTATAAATCGCCACTTCAGACAGCCACCAGAGAAGAGCTCAAAGCTAGCATTTCCTCGGGTGCTTGCAATCGGCATGGGTGTGTTGGATCGCCAGTTGACTAACGCCTTTGGCTGCTGGGATGCGGACCAACTGGCCGGTTACGAGTGGGCGCTGACAGATGCAAGGTATATATTGTGCCATTGAATGTGATATTCCCATGTTTTCCATTTTGTCTAGCGCGACTATTTTCATGCGAGTGCCACCCCATTTGCTATCCCATAAGGTAAAGACTAAGTGCGTGATACTCTCATTTCATTCAAATTCATTGCGAAAACCGTGCCTCATTTTTATTCGACCATTGCATCATCACTCTCGCTGACACTCTCATCACCACTGACTTCCTGGTTTTCACGTTCTTTCTTTTCCATAAGGGCCTGGAGGTTGGCCTCGTCTTCTTCAGTGACCGCCTTGGGAGCCATTTGGACCGTGCAAGAGCCACCAGACGCCCGAATCTTTTCACTGATGCTCTTGATTGCATCCTCTAATGTTTTGATTCCAAGGTTCTTGTCCAAGCAGTGGTTGGTCAAAACATATAACGGGGGAGATACCAGTTTAACCTTGACTTGAGTATCTGTGGTGTTGTTGGCCTCGGCGGTGCGCAAGGCGTCCTTGACGGCGTCGATTCCTTCGTAGCTAAAACATGTAACTTCGATATCCGCGCGGACCTTGGTGGGCTGAGGCGTGAGTCTCTTGCTGATGTGCAAGAGGAGCTCATCTTTGACCGCTTGGCTAGGGAAGGTCACGTCGCTCCACACGCTTGGATTTCTGCGGGAAAAAATCAGCCTTGATATTCATACGCATGGCCAAAGTATTGCCTTACGTGATCGAAAGCTTGAAAGCATCATTGGCATGGCCGTATTTCTTATTCAGGGGCCATCCGATCTGTTGGTAGAGAGTTTCTATCGGCGTCCGTGTTTTCTCGGCAACGTGTCGCATGATCGAATGAACCGACTTGCTCTTATTGTATCGCTCTTCACACTTGACAATATCCTCGGCGGATACCCGACGTTTCGACAAGTCAATATATCCTGCGAGAGTATTCATATTAGGACGTCTGCGACCACAGGAACCAAAACCGAAGGCCTTCGCATACCTTTCTCTTTGTCTACACGGAGAACCACGACGACCTCGTTTCTTCCAACGCGAATAAGCTTTTGTATACTTCTGATACGACGTCTAGACAATTCAGACAGCAGAATCATGCCATCAATGTTGTCGTATTCGAGTAATTTGACGTAAGCTCCCATCTCTGCGATCTTAAAAGTGGGCTGTCAGAGGATACCATGCAGCGGGATGATGGATTGAAACCAACCTGCTTCACAGTCACCATCACAAAACTATCAATCTCCGGATACTTCTCCTCATAGAACCGACAATTCGTTAACGACATGATGGCGGGGGAGACTCAAAGGGCCAGGTGAAATTAAAGAGGCAGGTAGAAAGGCACGCGCGAGGCTATAATCTCGATATGTGAACGGATTCAAGAAGCGACCCGGCTTTGTTACGAGAATGACAGCGCTGGAAGCAGGTCAGTCGGGCTCTTGCAGTTGAGCTGTGGCAATCTCGTCTTCGATCTCTGCTTCTCGAGTCACTTCTCTCTCTCTCTTCTTTTTGTGCAAAAGGGTTTAGCGGGGATACATATCACGTGATTAACTAGTTATCTAGCTTGTGCTTATCTAAGCAGTGATGTAATCGGGCGTCCAGTGAATTTGAAGACAAAACGCCAACCACCTCGTAGCCCGCGACGGAGCTGGGAGAACTTGCTCTGGATGTTGGGAGCTGGGATGCCCGAATACCAGGCTGTGGAAGTGTCGACAGCTCACAGTCTCATATAGCAATAGCTAATCTGCAATTCAGCCTTTCCACAAACACCATGGGAAACGACGGGTAACAACAGAGTACAATCTTCACAGGCGATAGCAGCTAAGCGTCCACTTCCATCGCGTATCTTCGAGAATAGCATTGTGCTTGTGGGAGCACCGCCAAAATCGAATTTCATTCACTTTCCGCGCCATGACAAGGCCGGCGACCGATTCTCAGGCTGGCAGCGATCTGATGGAGGACGAAGGATCTCGCCTCCTAGATTCTGATCGCACCAATATAGCCTCTGGCGGTTCAGGACATGGAACGTTCTCTTCTGATTCTCAAACATACCTTGATCATGGTACAAATATAGGCCCTGGTCAACAGCATGGAAGCTCGTTCCCTGAGAGCTCGAGTCAAAGTGTAAGAGGCGATGGGATCTCTTCGATTCCGCTTCATGTTGCGACGGGTAAATCAGCAACCAAGCAACTGGCCGATGTGCACGGCGTGAAGAACCAGAAGATTATGTAGGTTGTGAGAGTTTGCTGCTCCGTTTCATGGCGCTGATCATCCCACCATGGCCATAGGTACCTCTCGTACTACGTACCATTCTTCAACTGGATATCCCAATACCAATGGAAATATCTTCGTGGCGATTTCGTTTCGGCCTTGACTGTGGCCTCGGTCTACATCCCGCTTGGCTTGTCTCTCGCGTCTAACGTCGCCCACATACCTGCGCTGAACGGACTCTACTCCTTTGTTTTCCACCCATTTATCTATGCTCTCCTTGGAAGTAGCCCGCAAGTGATAGTGGGCCCAGAGGCGCCGGGCTCCTTGTTGGTTGGGACGGTTGTTCGCAGCGCTGTGAACGACGGGAAATCCATTGATGACGATCTTTTGGCAAATGCGCAAATCGCTGGAATAGTCACCGGGATGGCGGGTGCAATGATCCTGATCGCAGGCCTTACTAGGCTTGGGTTCCTGGATAACATTCTCAGTCGGCCCTTTCTGCGTGGTTTTATCAGTGCCATTGGATTCGTCATCTTCGTCGACCAGCTGGTTCCAGAGATGGGCCTGAACAACCGTGCCAAGGACAATGGTTTGGTCACTCATGGGAGCAGTTGGGATAAGCTGATGTTTCTGTTTCAAAATGCTCAATACAGCCATGCATTGACCTGTGCCGTTGCATTCGGTAGTTTTGCTATAATTATGATGTTCCGGTAAGTACGACTTATTGCACGGCTTGGGGCAAGGGCTAATAGGGGTGAGAAGTACAATGAAGAAATACTTGGAACCACGGTTCCCAACCATCGTTTTCTTCCCCGATCAGCTGCTCGTTGTTGTTCTCTCCGCAGTCCTCACCTGGAAACTTGGCTGGGATAAGAAAGGACTGGACATCTTGGGTGATGTCAGAGAAAGTGGAAACCATTCGTTTGCCTTCCGCTGGCCTTTCCATTGGGAACAACTCGATCATATACGAACCGCAATGAGTACTTCATTCATTATATCATTACTTGGGTTTTTTGAATCGTCAATTGCTGCCAAAGGCCTTCGAAATACAGGCCGAGATGGAATTGACGGCATGACGTACAGTCCAAACCGGGAGCTTGTTGCCCTGGGAGCAGCCAACATCATTGGCGGATGTTTCATGGCATTGCCTTCATTTGGTGGTTATGGAAGAAGTAAGCTGAGTGCCGCGACTGGCGCGAAGACTCCAATGAGCAGCGTCTTTCTATGTCTTATTACGGTGATATGCATCGTGTACCTGCTGCCCTGGTTTTACTATCTTCCGGTGAGTCCTTACAAAGCCCGCACATTTGGATCTTTCTATTGACAATTAGCAGATGTCTGTTTTGTCCGCTGTTATATCCGTTGTCTCGTGGTCGCTCATTGAAGAATGTCCACACGATATCCGATTCTTCATTCGCATTCGCGGCTGGTCAGAATTAATCCTCATGCTTCTTATTTTCCTTTCCACCGTTTTCTACTCGCTATATCTTGGAATCGCGTTGGGAATGGGACTCTCCATCCTCCAAGTGATTCGGCATGCAACCAAACCACGCATCCAAATCCTTGGCAAGGTCTCCGGAACCGATAGTCGGTTTGAAAATGCAGAGCTTCACCCTGAAAGGGTAGAATTCATCGAAGGCTGCCTGATTGTCAAAATCCCGGAACCACTTACATTTGCGAATACGGGAGACCTGAAAAACCGCCTACGACGCCTTGAATTCTACGGCACCAATGCCGCGCACCCGGCTCTACCTCGCGTCCGATCGCCGGAGCACAATCGGAATATGATCTTTGATATCCACGGCGTAACGAGCATTGATGGCTCCGGCATTCAGGAGCTTTCGGAAATCGTCCAGGAGTACGTTAAACAAGACGTTAGAGTGTTCTTCTGCCGCATTCCCCGGCCAGAAAGTGGAGTTTTCCGACTGATGGTGAAGAGTGGTATCGTGGATATCTGTGGAGGAATGACTCATTTTGTGGAAAGTGTTGATGAGGCGCTGAAGCTGACAGAGACGCCGCATGTTCACGAAGATTGATGAGTTGGCGGAGTGTGGGATCCTCCGGACGTTGTTTTGAAAATGGTGACTGGTGTTTCGACGGAGACGATAATGACCGATATTTTGTTTAACGACACTTCTTTTTTTTATAGCGAGTATGGTTTGCAGGATTTGATGGTGCTAAGCGTTGTTCTTTTGTATTTCACATTGATGTAACGAGCTAAAATCGTTTGTGATAGAGAGCTCTTAATTGATGTTTATGCCTGACGGCCCTTTGTTGAGTACCGTAAAAAACATCACCAACTATTCCAAGCCCTTTTGACTGCTTTGAGAGCCACGAAAATCCTATGGAGATACGTGAGAAAAGTAGTTTCCCGCACGAGCACGCAGGGGGTGCAGCCGTATGGTACGAGTAGCCATGCTATGTCGTGTTGCATCGGAGCATCGAAATTATGAGTTTGTCTATCAGCCGGAATGGTTTAGGAGTGTAGTCCCGAACCTGTCCGTACACAGCAAGACAGTCCTAATTTGGGCGGATTTTCGTCAATTCCTACATTGGTAAGAGAGCGATTCAATTCAAGTTTCAACGGTAACCGATGTATTCCCACTCTCGGTTTGTTGGCTCCCCATGGCTCTCAGTACAAGTGCCCGTAACAGCTCCTCATTAGCTTTCCAAATGAACCTCTTCTCCCTTCCCTCGGTATCCTCCAAGGCCTCTTCGTCATCAAGCTGTGATTCATCGATGAAGAAAACTCTTCCAGGATTCGCAAGAAGTTTCAGTCGCCCTTCAAAGCCAATAACAAACGCGGCCGAAGCAACTTTAGTCAGACGGACGTATTTCCTTTCTTGACTCCGAGAGTCAGTGACTGTAGGGGGTGTGCTGAGATCAAGGTTCATGGCGAGATGCGTTTGGAAATAATTTGATAGTTCTGATAAGAGCGGGGTCGGTGTTTCATGACGGAAAGCGGCTGAAGCGTCGGACCGCAAGTTGCGCCCCTGAGCATCTTCCGGTGATACATCTGCCTTCTCCAGGCCGCGAATGTAAAATTTACCCAGTGATTGACGGGGCAAAGACACGTCTATGCTCTTCAGCGCAGGTGCAACCGGTGAAGCAAACGATAGTGTTAGCTGAACGTCCTTCATCACCCTTTCAACGACATCTTGGAAGCCAGCGTCACCGCGCACACTTTGACAGAGCGTCGACAGGTATGTCTCCAAGCACGAGCATAGAAATGCTGATGGAAGTCTCAAAACCGAGCAACGTGCATCAAAATTAGCTCCTAAGAATGAAATAAACGCTTGCCGCAACGCATTGGGCATACGCGTCACCAAGAGGGGAAGATAGGTCACCCCGCCATCGTTCCTAGGGCTCTGGTAACCATCAGGATCACATAGCAAAGCAGCTTTATATGTGATAGTCTCGTACTCGAGAGTTATGAGAATGCCGGCAGATTGATCTGCCGTGACAGTAAGAGTGTCCTGGTCCGGATCTTCAAGTAGGGAACGCTCCTCGTTCCAGTAGTGCCAGGTGGGTATGGTCTCCCATTCGCAGGATGTTAAGACACCGGCTTTTGCAAGGGCTTCGTCTAAAAGGGAGCTGTTGTCGAGAGAGAGTCGGATGCCGTGAAGTGTGTCGCCTGTGAGCATGTCACGGAGGCGGTTGGCGTAGGCAGACCGGGCATGAGAATTCTCGAGGATGGTGCCTTTGGATTCTGCAATGTGGTATAGCGGAGAAAGACGATGGAGGGTCCACGATGTGGCAAAAAGCTCTGTAGGAGACTGTGCCATTGTACCATTGAGCCGGTACAGCGTTCAACAGCATTGAATCTCCGTGTCTGTTGAGACGTGCTGTCGATAATTATAGAAAAGGCAAACAAAACAAACATCAAATCAGATTTGGCTCACGTGACAAGCTTATTATCTAATCATCTTCCATTGCCAAGACGCTAGTTTTGGCCCTCGGCTTATCTTATCTACGCCAAGCCCGCCCTTCGACGTTAACCGCTCCTGCTACTCCGGACTCCGTACTCTAGACGGTGTTCGCTGCCCCAAGCTTGCCCATCACATAGGCCTGCCCGGCCTTTCCCATCACTTCCACGCCAAACAGCCGCTCGTAGTAAGTCCTCGTCCTATCACCCTTTGTCATCAACATCAGCCGTCGCAGGTGCGTCATCTTATCCAGTTCCTCTTGTATTATGCCCATCATCCAAGTGCCGAGGCCTGCGCCCTGGTATTCCGGCTGGATATATACATCGCAGAGATAGACAAAGGTGACGCGGTCCGTGATCAGTCGCGACAGGCCAATCTGCTCTAGCGTTCGGGGTTCGTTCGAGTCGGGACCTGTTGTGGATTTGTACAGCCCAAAACAGATCGAATTTTCAAGCATTTGTTGCATTGCGGCCTCTGGGACGGAGCGCGCCCAGTACACATAGTCTTCATTGAATGCTGCAATGATGGCGGGGATTGAGAGGAGGGAGCGGTCCGTGGAGAGTACAAAGTGCGATTTTTCGCCTTTGTCATTGGTGACAGAACGCGTCCATTCTTGGGGCTGGTTGGGAGCTTCAGACATGCCTCCTGAGTCGTGATGGGAATATGCGATAAAATATCTGGGAGAGCGAAAATTGGTGTATTCCCCCTGTCCCTCAAGCACTCTCCGCAATATTTATATCCTCTGAAGCATTTGTGAGTCAGTCACCCTTGCAAAAGGACCCAGATTTACAGACCGCAGACCCACAGGAAATGCTTGTTTGTGTATTTCTTGTCAGGAGTAAGGAAAAGAGTCGATCCTAGAAAATTCTGTCAGTGTGGAGAATGTTGAGTGGTTGAAGAAAGGCCGCTCGGTCATATCCGTGAAGCTGTTCTCAGTCGAGGATTGTGTGGAGACACGAAGCTGCCGAATATTGCCATTTGCGAAGACTTAACGAGTTCATCAATGCTCGGCACGTCGTACGGTCGCCGATTGGGATTCTTCGCCGATGTGCTAGGCCTACTGAATGTCTTTGATCCGAGAGCAACAGTAATAAGCCCAGTCCCTTGATAGACAGCGATGTCGCTGGGCTGAGGACGGCTTTTGCTTTTGATTGGTAGAATTTGGTTAATTTTATAAGCTATCATTGGCTAATTTACACATTTGCGGGCTAGTCATTGGTTGCCTTTTGGGCGTCAAACACCCACAGCACGCATCCGTGCGGCGTCTTGTCCAGCAGGCTGCCGCCGTGCTTTTTGCTTGTCGTCTTCGTGTCGCCTGAAGCCATGGTCAGCATCAACAGCACTCCGCAGATTGTATAGTTATTGCAACCTACAGTCGTCAAGGATGGTTTTCAGTTTCCTTTCGCAATCCTCTTTCACCATCTTGAACCTTTTGGGCTTGGGGCAGTCCTTTTCACCCGTCCACCCGGCCTGCATGTTGATGGCTATGTTGCCAACAACAACAGTATTTCTTCCATACCCATCAGGCGTGTACTGAGAGAACTCGTCGTTATACTTATAGTCAGGGTCGACCTCGAGCTCGGGACCACACAGTTTCGGTATGGCCTCCAACGCAGCTTGCCGGGACATGGTTGTGGGACCCGGCCGGTCACTCGCGCCGCAATAGACCTTTTCCACATTCCTCGTCTTGAGGCGGAAGACGCCGCAGTGGTCACCTACGCTGCCACCATATTTAGCCGTCTGTGTGTTCGTGTCGCACCCGTCAACGGCCTTGGTGAGGAAACGTTCGCACGCAGCCTTGTCCACATCGTACTCTGGTATCTTGTCCGCCGAACATTCGTCGGAGTTGTAGGCGACCTCAAGCGTTGCCGCGGAGTTTCCAGTTTCATAGAAGTATTCCCGACGGAAAGGTGATTTGGGTTTGACGCTCTTGTCAGCAAAGTTGCCGCAGAAGTCTTTGATACTCTCCTACATGGTGTAGTCAGATCGACATGCTCTTCTCTTGCTTATCTGTCCACACATCGTTTCAACTCACCCGCAGATATTCCCGCTTTACTCCCAAATCACCGTCGACCCGCCTTTCCTTTTGGCATTCCAGGTCACCTTCGTACTCTTGCGCAACAGCACCCCAAATCTGACATCCATCTTTGACGATACTACCATGTTTCTTCTGACTCTTGGTGTCGCAGTTATCCAAGCACGCCTTGAGGAGCCACTCACAGTCGCCCTGGCGCAGGGAATGTGCAAGTTTTGCCGGGCAGATTGGGTTCAATTTCGCAGAAAGTGATAGGACGATTCCGCGTCCCATATCCGGGGCCTCCTCGAACCCCTTATCGTCTACCTTTTTGTCTTTGTACTGTTTGCAGAATCCTTTGATTTTGTCCACTGCGCGGCTCCGATCAACCGTTGGCCCGCTTGCCTCCGCGCAATTCGTCATTTCGTACGGGGCATGGATAGGCTTCTCGAAAATGACGTCGTACTTCTTCCACTCTTTTTTCTTGATATTGAACGTGGCTGTCTGTGCCGGTTTGTTGTTCATATATGTCGACGTGGTCTCCTTGGGGCCGTCGTCGTCCGGGTCTTTGGGAGTATCTGGCTCCGGCGGTGGTGGAGGCCCTGGTGGAGGCGTTGGCGGAGGTGGAATGAACTTTGGACCTGCACCAGCAAGGCCAACGCCCACCCACGCGAGGCCGCCAGCGAAGATCCCTATGAGTATGGCCTTCCCCGCGTCGTTTGTTGTAGTAATGGTTGTTGGGCCAGTAGCGGTCGCATATGCAGTTAGGACGGTTGGCGAGTACGTTTGCTTATACGTAGAGCCGTCTCGTGTCGTGGTGACAACCACAGGAGTTGCTCTTTCTGTTGTGGCTCGTGGCAAGAGTTTAAGGGGGTTAGCATCGCATGGCTCAAAGACATGTTGAAGGAGCAGGAATGCAGTCAAAGACAACCGCATTTTGACACAACAAGCAGTCGTCAATCTCCAGACACAAAACCAGTACAGTCTGTGAGGGTGAGCACGGAAAACGGGTCTGCCATTGAATATTAATATGCTGCGGTTCTTTTCGGCGGATTAGCCCCCAGCCTCAGCTTTTACCTGCATAGTCATAAACACCCAAGACTGAAGCAAACCACCTCCGGGCCACTGTGGGCGAGTCCTAGGATATCTGCAGCCCCTTTGTGAGGCTTGTTTCAAGGCTCGGGGGTTCCTGCATCCGCCCGTGGTTTCCGCCCCCCAAGCCGGCGCCCCCCGCCCCGGAGCCGCATCCCCGGGTCGGATTCAAGATGCATTTTTGAATGCTTGATGATGTTTTAATTAACTCGAGGAAATGTTTCGCTCGTCTCCTCAGGTTCATTCTTTTTCTTTTTTTTTTTCTCCGACCTGTGCCGCCCTTCTTAATACTTCTGGAACAAGTGGTCAGTGCATCTGCTAGCCCTGTGGGAGAAGATCATTATGCACCAAGGAATAATCGATCACAATGCAAAAGCCTTTGTTGGCGTCAGGTTGATTTATGAAACCCTTTGAATGCGAAACGCCCTTTAATGCTGGCTGGATTCTCCATGCTTTCAGAATAACTTGACTTGGATGCCGAGATAAGGGGTTCCCAGGGTTTTTTCTACAGTACGACTTTACGGAGTAGAGCCGATGCAGGCGTCAATTCCTGGGTCATGATTTCAGTTTCAGCGTCTCAATCACCAGGTAGATGCTTTTTGTTGATTTCAGGCTCACGCCCTTATGCCCAACCACCATATCGATATCTTGGGAAACCCCAATGGGGCCATTGCCGGAGGGCATAACGGTGAACCAGGCTGATCAGAGCTAGCAATACCGTTGCTAGGTTATTCTAATCTGCCGACGTAAGGTCTATAAGCAAACCTAGGGCGTTTCGATTTCTTCAATGTCTTGTCGGAGCTGCAGCCCCTTGTCATTGTTATCAGCATGAGTTACTGGCGCATTTCCTTTGCTTCTAGGCCCATGGACGCCGGTTGAAGCTCAGTGCATGTTAATAGGGGCTAGCCCGTTGAGAAGATGGGCACCCGGATCTGCAATCATGACGCCCTTTGAGATGCCGCCAGGTCTTATTTCCTAATTCGATTCTCCCAGATTTGTCGGTTCCAACGTGCCGGGAGAAAGGTACCACCAGCATGGTACATGCACAAACGTATCACTCCTCTCCGGATGGATGATTCTAGGAGCATGCTGGCGTGCAGCAAGGAGACAATAAGACCCCCTTTTTCGGAGATTTCCCAAACGGTACTCGTCAATTTGGCCTGGATGCTGTAGAGGTTCATGATAAAAAGCGTCCCATGATGCTGTGTCTATTTATCGATTACCCCATTTTATTTTCCTTATCCGAAAGCCCGCCTCACGGCCGTCGCGATTGCACCCTGAGATTTTTATGAACTCGTGCGGAAATGATGGGAGTGCCGCATAGAGTAGTCCGTTTTCTTCTTTTTAGTCTTATAGCCCTCTGCCTCACATCTTTGAGTGCTGCATATTCTATTCATAGAAGCTGTTTGCCTTTTCGGCAGAGAGTCCAAAATGCCGCCGATGAAGCACAATAGATATGGCCAAGTATACGTTATTCCGGGCAACGTTACCGGATCCACAAATTGGCGGCATCATCAAGACTCTGATAGGCGCCGACGAAACCGCGGCGGAAGCCTATAAAAACGTGGAGCGTGAGACAGTTGCTACCCTTGGTGTTTCTGTTGTATTCTAATGCCCATTGATACTAATCGATTTGAGTAGAATGGATGAGGGTCATTGTCAATGAGATGGGCCAATTCAAGGGCATAGGGCCAAATGATCAAACAATGATCAAGTGTGGTGCTGCAGACATGGTACCGATTCAGCACCGTCCTGGTTTTTGGTTTGATCGAGAGTATCCGATGATGAGCCCTGTACGGCCGGCTACCAACCGGAGGATGTTCTGCGACCCGGAAGTAAGTGCATTCACATATATCGTCGACGAGCCAAACGGGAGGCCTGAAGCGATCGTGGTTATTTGCATGCAGCCGGATGGACCATTTTGGCCTCATGGGCGAATAAGAGTTGCTAGTGAATGGAATGAACCGCTCATCGAGGGGGAATCTCTGGATATCTTTGAGAACCATCTGAGTTTGACACTCCTGCACGAGTTCATGCATGCGGCGGGAGTAGAGTATTGTAAGTCAAATGCCAGATTGCCCTTCAACCTTTACCAAGCCGGATTGAGGGGGAAGGGCTAATCGCTCTCTTTGAACAGTCCCTCCGATTCTCCCTGATGACGTTGGGGAAGCGTATGGTGTTGGAGAAATCAGTCGTCTGACGACCGAACAAAAGAGAATGAATGCCGACGGCTATGCACTTTTGGCGACAGGTATGAAACAAACGACCGCCCGTCGAAGCCCTTATCATCTTTTGGCTAATCCTGCTCCCTCAACACAATTTTATAGCTCTATATCATCGGCTACACCCAATTAGCGCAGATGGTAGATTTTTGAGACCTTATGACAAGGACCACGAGCCGCCACGAGGGCCGCATCCCCAGCTCACTGAGGATGATGATGATGATAGCGATAGCGACGATGATCCCCAAGCCAGCACGGGCCCACTGAATAAGGCCGTTGTGTCCGTTCCAAATGTAACGGCCGGATTTGATCCCGCAAAAGGGAACAATGTGAAAGGTATCAAATTTGAAGCTTAAACTACTAATAGCGTCGGCGGAAAAAGTCCTGGATTCTGTGTTCGTATTATAGAGCAATGTAATTATTCGCGCGGGTCGCGCTGTTCTCTTTTGCTGTCACTCAGATATTGGAGCAGATAGAGTAGGGTCGGAAAATAATACTGTTGATTGGAGACACATAACCTGATATCATGCAATCTGATTCGGTTTAGTTTGGGACATTGACAGTCATATCCCTCCTGCCTGCTCGATGCTTTCTCAATATCTCCACATCACTTGAGTTTATCATGTTTCAATAAGGCGGGGGAATTGAGATCAAGAGGAAAGAAGTAGATTAGATAACGTCCCTAACAATAATGAACCGTGCCAGCAGGTTGTCTTAGGGCAATGCACACAAAAACCGGAAAGAGATGGCAAAGGAGCGATGATAATTCTGCTTTAGCCGTGTTATGCCGGACAGAATCATTGCACTTGCAACACAAACTTCGAATCCGGGGAATTAATCTCAACAGGGCCAAAATACTGCTTAAACGTCTTAGTCAAAACATGATCCGATATCTGCATATGCTCCCCGGGGATGGTCAAAAACTCGAGCTTTCCCGCCTCGTCCATGGTTCTCAGGCCTAACCAGTCGTCCTTGTAAATCTCCCTTTCCCGCAAAGGCGTAACATCTCCCGTGGTCATGTTAACTTCGGCGAAGTGAGAAGTCTGCATTGGCACCACCATTTTGTCATCCTTGAACATGAACATGACAAATTTATTCAAAGATATCATGTTTCGCTTATACTGCATATTTTTGAACGCCCGCTCATTGTTGATATCGGCAAGAAAATTGCTGTGCAGAAGGTATTGATCGAGTTCTTCTGGGTTGCGGTAATACTGCGCCGGGACAAACCGAGACTGCGCCATATTCGACCATGCGCCGAATTTCAAAAGCGCCACGGCGCCATGGCACAACCAGTCCAGAGTTCCGCACGATCGAAACTTCGCGATCCCATTGTGCTGGCTTCCGAACGTGACGAGGTTCCGCACAGGCGGGTTATTGCACCGCTCTACGTATCCGCGCAAGAACTGGCCACCCTGAGAAAACCCCAATGCATTGATAGCAGGTGCAGTGCTGAGTATCGGGTGGCGTGCAAGCTGCTGGCAAACAGTCTCGATTTGGGTGGTGAGATTGCCGAGAAATGTAGCTTGACGGTCATCGTCGGGCGTCGAGCCGATATGGATAATGTGCACGAAGGTGCCGGGGTTTACATCTTCAGCGAGCTGCGAAACCTGTTTCAAACCATCACGGGCGAAGTCGTCGCCTAAGCCGTGCCAGATGACGAGCGGAAGTGGTGCGAGTTCGGAGGCGCCGGATGGGGGGAGTGGCGAAGAGAAGACGAGTGCAAAGAAGGAAGAAAGGAGGGAAGCAAATCCAAATGCTCTGATTCCCATGGGAATGTCGTGGGCAGCACAGCTGATCAGAATGCCTCTGCTTTGATGGATTGAATCTGCTGGATGTTCAAACTGTGGAAGGACGTTCCAGTGTTGATATAAGATTGCCGATAAGATAATCACGGCTAGTTAGTTAACTAGTTAAGTTAGTTAGCCTGTTCGGCTCAACCTTGTTATAAATAGCAGCAACCTGACAACCTCAACTGCAAGGAAGGAATAATGATAGATGTCTAAAAGAAATGCTACAAAATGATACCAGGACCATTAATCAGGCAGAAAGATCAGATTCAGGTGCTGTCATTACAAAGTCATCCCAGTTGCTTGCCAGATCGCCCCGTCCCTTGAGCAAATGCTACTAAAACAATGGAAAACATGGTAAGACTTACCCCGATCCCCATCGTTTGCGATCGTTGCCTAGGCTGCTGAATAACCGGGCATATAGGACATTCTATCAGTAGGCAACTGTTGCCTATTGAAAACATTGGAGGATGAAGGATCAAGAGAAGACGTCGCTGGGAAGCGAGTCACCCTCTCATGGCTAAAGCCCGGCGCTTGGTCGGGGGTTCCGGACGCCTCCAAGCTATCGTGATTACTGAAATTTCCTTCTGGGGATGCTAAGCAAATCGAATTGTTTGATTTCGCAGCGTTGTTATGCATCGACATCACGCTGAGATACTCGTCAATATATCCTTCCATCGGACTGAACTGGGATAGGAAATCTGTTTCCGATGGGACTTCTTCACCATCACCCGGGGAGGCCGCGCAGTGTAACGGAGTGTTTTCTGCAGTTGGGAATACTTCGCTGTTTACCGATACATCTGTGGCGATATTGATATTGTCGTCCAACCCCTTTGATTCGTTGATGCTACTCGTATCTTCTACGTCGACGGTATTTCTTCGTTTATAAAAATCATTATATAAATCAGTGATCAACATTTCGTTTGGCTTATTGGTTTCGTCCCGTTGTTTGAAGATTAGCCGCTTCCAGATATCGTCCGCGTTGGGGTAGTCATTCGGCTTCTCTTCCACTCGTTGTCCAAAGAAGACGCGCCTAGGTGATTTCGCCGGATTTGCGGATAGCCTTCTGCCTATGCGGTTATCTGATTTAGTCGCACTTGATATTTCATTCCTTTCATTGAAAAAGGAATTATTTTGCTCTCTCATCGGCTCCTCCACCGGGGATTTCATTTCGAGGCCAGGGATATCAAATGGAAACTCCTCCTGTGTCGAATACTGCCAGGGGCCTGCGGAGTCGGCGATAGGTGGAATGTACCTAGTCTGATAGCCATGAGTAGCGAATAGACCTTGTCTATTCAACACCGGAAACTTGGCGGAGCTATCATCTATATGTGTCTGTTCTCCTTCGTGTAGCATTGGATTGCGTGCAGCTGGCAAAGTACTGCTATCTTGCAATCCCAGCGTACCCAGAGTTCCACTGCTTCTTGGATTCACAAGGATTGATGATGAATCCATCATATCACCGTCGAAACTCTCTTCCCTATCAAGCAGCATCGATTCAGACGAAAGACGGCTCCCAACATGACTCACGCTTGGGAGTCGCGGTGTCAACTCTGTTACCTTGTGTTCATGAATTCGGATACTGATGTCATCGATATTTGGCTGCGTTGAGACGTCGTCCTCCATCCCCCGTTTCTTCCGTCCTTTTGATGGCCACCCGTAAGGTTGGAAGATGGGAGCTCGCCGCTTCTCTGTCGATACCAGCCTTTGCCGGTCTGCGTTTGTCAAAGGTCGTCTTCTGCCATAATTGTACCTTTCCTCCTCCGTCGTAAAATGCACGTTAAGTGGGCGAGAAATGGAGATGCTGGCCCAATCGCTTTTCTGGAGGAGCCTGCGGCGTAGGTCATCCAGTTTGTCTGTTTGTGAGCTAGGAAGGGTGTTTATTTCAGAGAATAGATGGCTATCTTCTTTAGTTGGCGAGAGGGCATTTAGATGTCTAGTATGCGACTGTGGCTTATGCTTTTTGCTCGTGATTCTCGCTTGCGTTCCGAAGTAAGGACTGTGGTCGATGGGCTCGGAATGCCCGTTTTCTTGTTGCCTCTGCGCGAATACTGGCGTTGAACCTGGTAATCTGGAGGGAGATGCAACCTCTCTGCGATTCTTGTGAGCCAGCCTCTTTACTTTGGCAAAATGTAGCCTCTCGCGGGCTTTGAGTGTGTTCTTGTCTTTGAAAGAGTGGCGGAAGAGTTTGCCTCCGGTCCAATTCATGGGACAATTGAAGCCAGTAGAAATGACTCAACAGCATTTATATTTGCCTAAACCGGGGGACCGTAGCTAATATCACGGGAAAGGCAATGCAGCTGAGATAAAGGTTAGGTATATCATCGGTCTTCCGTTGACGAAGGGTGAAGGTGAATGTTGCCAAGAGGCCCTGTCCTTCCGGATTTGATCACTTGACATCCAGGCCCAGAGAGAGATCAAAGTAGCAGATAGCAATCAAATTAGGCATTAGTATGGTGCTAGCTAATGGTTATATAACTTGCAAAGACGTTCGATAGAATGTGATCTTAAGCTCAATGCAGAGATCCAGGACAAATGCATACAACAAAAAGAATAGTTATACAACCAGTGGCGTTGCTACGGACATTGATTCGCATCAAAGCACTTCCCCTCCCATTCTTTCGTTCCCGACGGTGGGCTTGCTAGGATCGATAAGCTTAGAGAGACGGGCTGGGCGGGGTGAGGCCGTAGTCAAGCCCGTAGTTGAACTTCAATCTGCTAAGCCCACCAATGATCGGCCAGAGCCATTTTGGTATGGTCGCAACTTCGAGCTGCTGCTTGATGGCGGCAAGCTCTTCGTCGGAGCATTCTGTAGCAGCACAGTGTTGGATTTTGGCGAAGTCGACGTCAGTCAAGGTGACATTGGACTTGGGAGCGTCCTGGCGACGGGTCAAGGTAATGTTGCGCTTTTCGTGAGTTGCTTTCTCGTCGACAACCTGGATGAAGGAACTGATGTTCCAATTCTTGGTGGTCTTTGAATCCTTTTCGATCAAACTGAGGACCTGGGCTAGGGTGGCCAGGTCCTTCTCGGAGCATTGACCAGAAATGCATTCAATGGTGACGTGAGATGGAACCGCAGCTAAGCCAGTTAGTCTTCTCTATCAAGGGATCGCTTTGGCCATCGCCTAACACGTACTTTCATTGCGCTTGACAAAGGTTGTAGCTGAAGCTGGCATCATTAGCTTAGACTATCTTAGTACTCAGAGGTTGTATCACTTACTGTCATTGCGTCTTACCACAGATAAAACTGCTGTTAAGGCCATTAGTTTGTTGGGATAGACCCGGAGTTGCTCAGTGATTTGCTGTGACTTACTCTCATTGCGTCTCGCTAATGGTTCAAATGCTGTTTGCCTGGTTAGCACAAATACCTCTACAATGTTCAAGGAATTTGCTGTTGCCTACTCTCGTTGCGTTTAATCAATGGTGCAGCAGAGACTGTTATGGTCAGCCTGAGAATCACAGTCATTCACTATTTTATATCACTTACTTGCTGGATGCGGCAAGATAGTCACAGCTAGTAGTGCTGTTAGCTTAGATAGGCCTAGAGTTGCTATAGTCATTGTCATTGCTTACTTTCATTGCGCTTAACGAGTGGTGCAGCAGAGACTGCTATAGTCAGCCCAAAGAATCACAACTAATCACACATTGATATCACTTACTTGCTGCATGCGGCAAGATGGTCGCGGCTGGTAGTATTGTTAGCTTGGACAGGTCTGGAGTTGCTATAGCCAGTGTTGTTACTCACTTTCATTGCGCTTAACAAATAGTGCCGCAGAGACTGTTATTGTCAGTTGGGAGGATCAAGGCTATTCGCTCTTTAGTATCACATACTTGCTAGATGTGGCAATGTAGCCCCAGCTGGTGGTATTGTCAGCTTAGATGGCTCTGGAGTTGCTCTAGTCGTTTAAGCTCTACATACTTTCATTGCGCTTAACAAATGGTGCACCAGAAGCTGGTATTGTTAGCTGGGGTTATTGTGATGAACCTGTTTCTTGAGATGACTTACCTCCAGAATGTGGCAGGACCGTTACAGCTAGTCGTGTTGTGAGCTTGGGTAGCCAGTAACACTTGCTCTTGGAATTACTTACTCTCCATACGGGGCAAGATAGTTTCAGCTAGTGATGTTGTTAGCTATAGCGAAAGTTAGGCCGCTGGCATAAGAGTTGTACTCACTTGTGTTGCCCAGCATATAGCGAGCAGCCAAAGCTAACATTGTTAGTTTTAAAGACCGTGTGAATCCCTTTGTTTTGTGACTGCCACTTACTTGCATTCTGCTTGGGGAGCGGCGCAGTAGTGACTGGAAGGACTTGCAGGAAGGTAGCACCTGCGAAGGCGTACTTGACAACGGACTTCATTTTTGGAGGGTTGCTTGTTGTTGGTGTTGGTGTTTGTAGCTGAAGTAGAAATAGAGAGGATGAGGCGACAGCGAGGAGCCTTTGGCCAGAACGGCGTGAAAAGAGGTTGTAAGGAAGAAAGAGAGAATCCAAAGCGCCCAGGGGGTTCAGAAGATTTTATACCTTCTTCTCCATCATCAGACTGTGGAAAACACGTCAGAATGACTCGACCCTCTAGATAGTGCCGTCATCGGGAGTAGACCGATTAACCACGGATGACCGTGAGACCAAATGTGTAAACAGATGCCATCGACTTCCTGGATGACTCCTAGCGTTCTTTAGTGCGTGGTAGGGAGGCCCAAAATTCCCTGAATAAGGTCAAAGTCAAAAGCGATGCTTTAGGCAAGGAAGCTATTTTTCAAGCATGAAGTATGTGTGATTTGCCGGATTGATAATCAAGGGACAAAACTCGCCCTGCACCATAGCTGAGAAGTATTCCTGCAGCCTAGCCTCAGGCTTTCTTCGAAGTTGTTGCCTTCGTGCCTAATGGTCCCATGGGCGGGAGAAGTTTTAAAGCACCCAGGGTCAAGTCGAAACTGTATCCGGGGTCAAGTCAAATAGGCATAGACCATTGGAAACGATCGGATGAAAGGGTATGATGGAGGATTCCCCGAAACTCATCAGGACGACCTAAGAAAAGGCGTAAGGTGTCGTTTTCTCGTTGTTATCGATTCAATACCCAAGTCACCGCAAAAGACATCCCGAGAAGACTCTCAAAATGAGAAGTTCGTCGCTAGAGTTCCCGGTGGATATTGAGAGCGTGCCGATATACCCCCCGTCAGAGAACTGTGATGATGAAGAGAAAGATGCCTTAAACCGCGATAGTCTGGGAAGCCGCGAAGGTCGATGCCGTGGGCGTTCCTGGAGGAGAGACAGACTGGGGTGCAGCTCTCGGGCTGTGTTCCTGTCGATAATAAGTATAACGATTATCCTGATAGCGGGTAGTATAACGGCCTTTGTATCTGGGATGGTTGCAGGGAAAGCGACATGCGCAAACAGAAGCCTTCCGGATACCGTTTATTGCAAGTTGCCTTAAGAGCTCTAGAATAGTCGTCCTCGACGCTAACAGAAACACAGCACCAGCGCAAAGTGCAAAAGGGTTCCATCCAGTACGGTTTGACGGCAGCCTTGACGTTCAAAACAAATACAAGGGAGCTCCAGACGATAAGCTCGACAGCAACTGGAGACAGCTTTACGATGGTATGTTCTGATACGCCCATCACAGAAAACGGAATAGAAGATCTAACAGTTTTACCCCGGATAGTGGATCCATTTCTTGTGAGTAAGGAGGCATTGAAAAAGATCCAAAAGACGAGTGTCAAGGTCCCGTCACGACCGGGATATCACCTCGCAAAACTCGCTGTCTTCCATCAGCTGCACTGCCTGGCAAGTATCATAAGCCCAAAGCAAGGAAAGAGAGGCGGGGTCTAATATGCAAGATATTAGGATAAAATCCGCCATTATGCCCATAACGACTACTATCGGCTGACTGACGAGAACCAGTCTATTTCGGTAATTGATCATGTTGGTGAGTGAACCTGAGTTCTCCATGCTATCCTCGATGGGCTTCTTTTTTTCCTTTAAAGCTGGAAAACTAACGGACTTGAGCTCAGATCACTGCATCGATATCATACGGCAGTCTCTCATGTGCCAGGCAGACACGACACTCATTACGTTCAACAGCGATGGGCCGCTTTCCCCCGTAAAGCCTGATTTCGATGCTACCCACACGTGTCAGGATTTTGATAAAGTGCATAATTGGGCAAAGGAGAGAGAAGTGAACATGACAGATGAAGCCATTAAAAACCCAGAGTCTTTCAAAGATGCTGTGCTTGAAGAGATTGATAGAAGAGTGGGAGGTGAAGGACAATGATTGATTCATTTAGTGATAAATGCTGGGCGGGGAAAGGAGCGTGGTTTGATATTGATAGTTATCGAGCATTCTAATTTGCAGTCGGTAGTTAACTAACCATTCTCTGTATGATAAATCCAGCAGTCTTCACTTGCCTATGTAACATCGCCATCTATGGAGTAGTTTGATACTGTGCGATTTTTTCAGAGGCTTAATCAGCACACATATCAAGAGATTTTCTTTTTGCTTTCTCTTCCTTTCTTCCTATAGTTGATTAGCTGAATTTCGCTTGATTCGATATCCTTACTAGTTATTTTACGTCCGGTAGTTATACATTATATGGTGAAGGTTGATGGGGGAGCATTATCGTGCGGGAGAAGATACCGTTGCATGACAATTATCTGCATTAGAACAGGATCTGCCTGGCAGCATTGATGCCACTGGTGTCCCATTTCTTGTGCCATGTTATGTAATCCATTTCCACGTGACCAACCTGCTAGTCCTTATATAAGCCATTACTCTGAAGTTGTGTGTAGCTTTTTCACTCTGAACAACACAACCTGCAGGCTCACCAATAACTAGCCACCTGCTTCATCTTTCCTCCCCCCCATTCAGGGCAGGGGTGGTTTGAAGCAGCCCGCCTTCAGGGCGAATCCAGAGCTAGATGAAAAGGGGAATTTTCATCGAGTCCATGTCGTCCTATGGCTTTTGGAGGTATGTGAAAACTCGGCTAACAACCAAAATCAAACTCCCACTGCTTTGATGATGAATCCCAGTTTTTAAGCATAGTTCACCTGAAGGTCTTCGGATCGCTGAACGACAACCAACACCATCTTTCACCTTTTCTGAATTTTCTCAGCACATCGCACTCTTCTCACATTTCCTTTTCCCCTTTGTCAACGTATTATTCCAGAAGCTGATGGACAAAAGGGTTTCAGACAGGTTGCATCATCGAATGTTTCATCTCCCGATTCCCGCCGGACGCTAGTTGGCAATGACAGGCTGGATGCGGATGGAAGTGGGCGAACCGCTGCATTGCTGCCCAACGGACCAGGGGACCAATCACGCCATGGCCCTGAGGAGGAAGACATGACCACATTTTTGCTTGTGAATCTTTCGTAAACTCCGTAGAATCTAGATTAGTCCTGCTCGAATATGATCTCATACCGGATCTTGCACACTCACGCTGCTTTGCTCGTGGACTGTATCGTATCTCTGGAGTCTGAACTTCTGAGGAGGCGGAGTCGCTGTCTCACAAGTCCGAGCACTGAGGCAGCCTGGGTCACAATCATGTATGCAACAGTCCTGGGTCATCACATCGTCGGATGCACTGGGATCGAATCAAATCAGCCACTCCCACACCGTCGACCCTCTGCGTGGAGATGACTGGCGGTCACAGCCGGAAGCAGCCCATGTTTGCGGCGCATCGCAGTGCCACGTCAAGCAGCAGTGGATATCATGGGAGGGTGGATGGCTGCAACGGGATCACGCCCGCCTGGTGCCGCGGCCGAATCAGCGCCAGAACAGCCCTGGTCCAGCAGCAAGCAACATCCCTCAATTCGCGCAGGCTGCAGCCAAAACACATTCGTGCCGTGTCGCACGGTGACGAGATGCCCCGCCCTGCAGTGCATTGGCCGACAAGGCTCGCTGTTGAGCTGGCCGCTTTTTGCGCTCGTTCACCCGCAGTTAAAGGGCTGGTCAAATCCCCTTCTCCCTGCCGGGCTCTCTCTCTTCCTCTTCCTCTCCATATCCGCCGTCAAATCTCTTCTCAGCCTTGCTTGCTCTTGCGTCCCAAAGCTCTATTATTCGATCAACTCTCCGTTGTCAGACATCCATCGACTGATTCTCCGTCTTCTGATTGCAAAGCCTTGCACCCTACGTGGACCGGTTTGAATTAATTCTGCTTCTTCCTGGACTGCAAAAGACTCTCAGACCAACTTCGGCCCAATACTGGATTCCAGTCCACAGGTTCAATTTTTGCTTTGTTGTTTGCTTGAAGACAGATCAGCCCAGTTGCCAGGCCATAAGGATATTCAGCCCTGACGCTCCAGCTCAGTCTCTCCGCCTTCGCGCTTCAGAAACATCAGGTAGTGCCCATTTCTTCTTCGTATGATTCAGTCACTCCCTTCAGTCTTCGAGCCTATCTGTGTATTCCTTAGTTTATGTATCTCTTTTGTTGTGCCTTGACTGTGCTCTCGACTCTTTACCGTGGATGCCCCGTTCGACCCAAGGACAACCCAAATGGACGCCAATATCCCTATGGTTTTCCTGGAGGCTTTGTAGCCATCATCACGACGTCCTCGCCCGCGATCCGCGTGGAGAGTGTACGCTCTGATTACTCTTGAGTGCATAATGCTGCATTCTCCGTTGGATAATGAAATCTCGACCCAAGCCATGGGTTGTCCGTGGATCTACAAACAATGATGATAATGATCAAACTCTTGACACCAATGCCAGGAACATTGCCGATATTCCATGAGGATCTCTGAACTCTCCTGTGACCGGTTGATGGTCTCAAGATATATGCACAACTAACGAGCCATGCTTTTGTCGCTGAGCATCGGTCTCCTGCAGCCAGTACACACACTTGTTAGCCTCTAGCTGTTTCCTGGATACAGTCTTCAGTCCCAGACAATGGATCTCTTTTCGCTCCCTCGTGCTCGTTGACTTCAATGTCTGGCCAGCGATGCATCACCATTCGTGTGCCTGGTTGACAAAACAGTGTCCCGACCGCGAAGCCAAGGATTTGTTTGCCATTCCCCTGGAATTGATTGCTGCCCTTCGTTTGCTCTTTCTGTGTGATGTTGTACAAACCTGCCCGGTTCCGCTCCTAGTTTATATGACAATCTGCCGGATACAGCCTGGATGCCTTCGCCTGGTGTTGACCGTTTTGATATTCGTTTCAATCGACAAATCCCTGGAGTCTCTGTTTAACAACTGGAATACTTGCTCGGAGCGGCGCTACAGGACTAAGAATGTCTTCTCAGCGCCACTACCTGGTTCGTAATAATACTATCGTAACGATCTTGACAGAGATATTGTATAGCTAACCCATCCTAGGAATTCTTCGAATGTCTCATTGTCTCATTGTCTCGTTGCATGATTGTTTTCCTTTGCTACTCTCACTTTCAAATTTCTTCTGAAAACGATGTTCATACTGACTTGTCTACCTGTAGTTCACTTGGTGTTTCGCCAAAAAGGTCCAGTCGCTATGACTTCAAAAGCAAAGACCGGGCCATTGAGGCTTTCAATACCCAAAACCAGCTCCAAATCGACAAAATCTCAACTTCCTTCAAGAAACAACTCTTCCAGTCATGATTTCATGGATATTTCCAGGACACTCCCGGATGATGATTATACTCAAGACGCCTTCTCATTGTCGCCAACATTCCACGGCCACACTGGCTTCAATGACTTCGGCCACTGGGCATTTAATGATGGTGTCCTGTTGAGTTCCGATATCAGCTCCACCAGCGAGGCCACAGAAGAGTCCTTTGACACCAGATCAATCCAAGCAGGAGATTATGATATGTCAGATACCCAGATGCTCCCTTTTTCTTCATGTTCTCCTCCGTTATTCCCAAAGGCCGACGGATCCGTGGACCAGTCTCTGCCTGAACTCAGCCAAATCCCTGGCCTTTCAAGTTCCCAGGATAGCAGCCCACAGTTGTGTTTTAGCAACCCGCAGGGATATCAGAACTTTTCCACTCTGACTTTCCCTTTTGATAATGAGACGATGCACCGTGCTTCCGGGATCAATGATGGAAAGTCCGTGGGGTTGAACATGGCCTCTCAGCGAATGATCAAATCCGAGCCATTCGCACAGGTCTCGTGGGATCCCCTCGCGAGCGAGGTGAATGGCGTTCCCAATGTGACCCTAAGCGGGAGTCGCATGAATCGACTTCCAGCGACACCTCCAGAGGGTAATCAGGACCTGTCTGCAACCTCTGCCTGCACTCAGACCTACACTTTCCCTGGTCAAGATGGGTCCTCATATCTCGACGTTTCTGATACATCATCCCTTTCCACTCAAAATTTCAGCATTGGAGAGCCCTTCTATCCCCTCACACCACCACTCACTGAACAGGACCCAAATAGGTATGTTTCAATAGGTCTTACCTGGTTATCTGACAGAATGGCCTTGTGGTTTTGCGTGACGGTAGATGCTAATAATCGACGCTGTTGAACAGGACTATTCGCCCCCAAAAGCAATCCCATAGGCCCATTCTCTCCGCCGCAGTTACCTGCCCATCGGATAAAGAATCAGATTTCTTTTCTCTGCATCAACCCCTGGGCCAGAAGCCAAAGGATTCAGCCGATGGTAAAAATCCCCGAGACCACGCATTTTATTCCCTTCCAACCAGGAGCGATGGAAAATACCACTGTCCATATTCCAACGGAGAGAACCCCTGCAAGCACACCCCTACGACTCAGAAATGCACTTACCAGTGAGTGTCACCACCACAACCCCATACCAGACCCCCTAAACTAATCAAAATTCTAGCAAATACCTGGACTCCCACTTGAAGCCATACAGATGCAAGGTTCCACAATGCGTAGATGCACATTTCTCTTCCAATGCATGCCTGTTTCGCCATGAGCGCGAAGCCCACGGCATGCATGGCCACGGCGAGAACCCACATCTCTGCCGCTTCCCATCCTGTGATAGGTCAATTCCTGGAAATGGATTCCCTCGCCGCTGGAATCTTCATGACCACATGAGGCGCGTGCATGATTATACCTGCTCCGAAAAGGCCAGCTCCCCCGAAGGCTCACCCATCACAACCGGAAAGGCCCCAGCGACCAAGAAGAAGGACGGCACTCTGCGCAAGCGCAAGGGCGCCATCTCCGGCACTCAAACCATAAAACGTGTTCGAGCCACCCAAAGTCAGTCGCAAGCAGCGTTGCGAGCTACCCACGCACATACAGACAAACAGCTCCAAAATGCAGAGAAAAACTACTACAGCTGCCTGTCGGATATTCAGAAAGATCTCGGGAATATCAACCCCCAGGATCCAGCAATGCATGAGAGAATCAACGCTCGACTCCAGGAGCTTCACACACATGCGTTGAACTATCGATATATCAAGGCTAGCCAGCTGGCCACCAAGCGAGGATCCGGAGCTTCCTCATAGCTGAATCTGCGTGCTTTGATCCTGGGCGAACTTATGTTTTGTATGATGTACCGGCGTGTTTCTCCTTTTTTTTTATCCGGATTAATCCTTTCCCCTTCTTGGATTCCCCTACCGCCCATTCATGGACTGGCCTCTGAAGGATTTGGACCGCTTGGTTGGTAGAAGAGGGACAAAAATGGTTTTTATTTTTTTTAACAGATATGTATGGGGTATCAGGCCCAATATTCTCCTGCCTCGGGGTATGGCAGGAGTGCAACAGAATACTTGCACGGATCACGATGAAACGAATCCCTTTCTTGATTGTTTAACTCCTTTTGTTCAATAGCTTTTGTTTTTATGATTCCTCTCCGCCGTGCCTCCCCTTCTCCCATCTTCTTATTGTTGTTTTCATGTACTGGATTTTTTTTGCCGGAAAATGGACCATAGTGATCGAGTGGATGAACATGTGTGGCAAAAGGAAATATTTCTTTCTCGATATGTGACTGGGGTGGATGTACTGAACTTTCTGTGGGTATGGGTTGAGCTTGGGTGGAATGGAAATTGATGCCGACAATTTATCTGGATGGGTTGGGGATGTATTAGAACCGATTGACATAGCACTCATCCGCTGAGGAGCTTATGATGCGCAGATCGCAAATGAAAATGATATATGCGTTTTAAACGATTCCTTTTTCCTTCCGTAGAAGCAATCATACGCGCTCATGCAATGTCTTGGAACTAGTTATCCCCCCAGCTCATTCCATCCCTTCAAACTCGCCGTTCAAAAACCTCACAAACGCCTCGCCCACCTGCTCCCCATCCAATGAGCCCGGTCCCTTCCCAACATACGCCCGATTCATCCCCACCCACTGCCTCCGCAGCCTCTGCAGTCGTGGGAGCGCCAACACCCCGCCCGCCCCCGCAAGTTCCTCCGTTGGCGACGCTGCGAGCGCAGAGCTCGGGATGAACACGGGCGTGGAAACGTCGGGTATCGGGATGGAAATTCCGGGCGCCATGGGATCGGTCAGGGTGCTTGACACGCCAAGGGAGGAGATGGTCGGGTGGGATTGTGTGAAGTTGCGGATGTGCGTGATGATTTCGGAGGTGCGTTTTTCGAGGGCGTAGAGGGCGCCGGGATCGGTGGTGGGTGGTTGCATGGTTGCTTGATGGGGGACGATTTTGGGGCGGGAGATGCGGGAGCGTGGGGTTGTGGTTGCGGCGGATGGAGCGTCGGTGACGGCTGTCGGGAGGGCTTGTTCGGAGGGAGCTGTGGTCGTGGTTAGGTTAGGAGAGGGGGTTGTCGGATGGGATATTGTTTGGCCAGTCAAGGCTGTCCAGATAGATTCTACGGGTGGTGTAGGATCAGACCAGGGAACGGTGAACAGTGGTTTGTCCCAACGGCTGGATGTGGAGGGCTCTTCGTAGCGGAAGATGAGGTTTTGTAGGAGCTCGGGTGGGTAGGGCTCTTCAGCGTCTTTCGATCGACGGGTATCTTTGTCTATATTCTGAGAGTCTTCTTCGTTTGCTCGGTGTAGGCGGGCTTCGTTGTTTTCGATACATTGGTCTATCGGCGTTCCAACGTGAACCTTCAAGCGATACTCTTGTCAGCTTTCTCAGTTGCATCCTAACCGATGGAGTAGAGCATACCACACAGCATGTCGTACCGGCCGCCTTGCTCTCGCACCACAGCTGATATCTCCAGCCTTTGATGTAATTCATCCCGTCGACAATCACTATACTATCCTTCCCCAAAAGTCTTTTTACCCGCCCGTACACGACGGCGCGAGCTTCCTTCTCCGATCGAGCAGCATCGTACACCGTTCGCGGATGAGACACATCATGCGATGAGACGATGTGGATTTTATAGCGACCCTTTTCAGCTTGCGATTGCGGTTGCGCCTCCGCGTCCGGTGTCGCTGCGGGGCGTTGGAGGTCTTTGAGAAGCGTAGAGAGTTGATCGGCGCGGTAAGTGAGCCCGGAGCAAGGGTATCCGGTGAGTATTATGAGCTGAAAGGAGCGTGAGCCATGGTCGGCTCTACGGACAGACCTGGACTTACTGGCATTGCTTTCAATCGTCAGGGCGCGAGATGGCGGGGATTGGGTGGGGTGGAGCGGGCAGGATTGTGCGGCGGAATTGGGCGCGGGTGTGCTTATGTAACAAGGGAGCTATCCTTGGCACGGAGCGGGATCACCCCTGAACCGGAGTAAAGGGTAGGGGACCTCCTGGTTAAATGGACACCCTTTCTGCCTTACAAAAGTACCCACCACCAGCATCATGCTCAACGAGGCCAAATCCTTCAAATCCGCGATAATAATAAATTACAAGATTGAGATTTTTTTCATCACAATGCCTGCGAATGCCTGTTCCCTATGGAATTCGTCATTGCCACTCATCTTGTGATCGGGGTACCCTGTATTCTGTACTCCGTCAGTATGGCAGAGATGGCCTGGATGAAAATCGCGGGATCGGGTTATACTTGGTCCGTGCAAAGTAGTTATTATATAATACACTTTCCGCGCCAAGAGTAGAAAGGCTTAAAGAAGTTTAGTGTGCCTTTATTTGTAACCTTTCTGTTGGGAGGGGTTTATTTATAGTTAACCGCAGCTTTGGGCTTCGTGTACGGAGTAGAAAGCGTTAAAAGTGAATGAAGCGGAAAAAGTGCCAGGAGTATATCCCAGTGAAAAGGCTTGAGACTAGTCCTAAATGGAGGAACAATGACGGCGAGATTTGAATCTTGCCCAGGCAGGTCACCAGGGTTAGGCGCTGGGGCTTCGGGGTTCGCCTGCGAGGACATAGACATATAAGCCAGCTTGTTTTGTTTACATCCCCTCTTCTTCCTTTCCTTAGCCTTCTGGTCTTAACCCAGAAATAATATAATATGCAGTCTATCTCTTATTATACCGTTCCATCACACTGATTGCCTGGAATCTATTGCCTTCCTACCCGCTAAACCAACATGGCGCCCAAACAAGTCGAACGATGGTCTATGTACCCTGATCTTGACGCCGATGTGTCACGTCTCCTCGCAGACTCGGGCCTTTCTCTCGATTTCCATCAGGTCGACGACGGCAAAGACTCCACCCGAGCCTGGGACACGAACGTCATGGGCCGCTTCAGCTGCCACAACAAGAACTGTCGATCAACCGGCTGGTCAAGCAAGAAAATCGCCATTACAATCCGGATGTACAAATACATCCCAAGTGCAAAGTACAACGCACGCGTATATCATCAGCGCTGCAAGAGCTGCAACAGGCTTAGCCGCCCGGTTCTCGACAGCTCGTATGCGGAGCGTGTTGCATACCGTCTAAAGAAGTGGCACGGGATCCAAACAGAAACGGCAGTTTACTCCGGGGGCAGCAAAGGCCCACACAATAGTCGCCTCTGTGAGGGATGCAAGGACGGACACTGTCGTCAGATGGAGTATGGTGGATTGGTTGAAGCAATGCATGGGCTTTTCATCTACTAGCACGTGCCTTGGTAGCCAAAACCTTTTGGTAGCGGTTGGTTGCTCGTCTAAAATCTGCTGATGGAGGATATCAGGCCAGAGGCGTGAGTAGGGAAATTGAGTACATAGAGTGTTTTTGTCAGGAATTGATAGGGACAGGTTCAAACAAGGATCACCAAGAAACTTAAGTTGCTTCCTAAACCAAACTCTCAAGGGACAAGAGCTTGCAGTACTCTAGTCATAACAGCCTCGGCCAATACGTAGTCTTGCCGGTAGATTCAGGGATCAAATCATACAGGTTGTGTTCCATCCATTGAACCACCTGCGTCACGGGCTTGTGGTAGTCTTTCGTCTCGGTTGAATCAATGTTTGGCAAGTATTTGTTCCAGCTCTGTTTTATTTCTTCGAGGAAACTACACAAGCGAGATATACCGCCCTCCATGATGGCAAGCTATCCCAAAGGAGAATGCTGCCGGGACTCGCCTTTGCCCTCCTATCACTGTGACAGGAGCCCTGGTTATGCTCGTGACAAGTTGGATGGAAAAGTCAACCGGAGCGTTCAAGCCCATATATGATGTTGATAAGCAGGCCTGGACCTGCTCATTTGCGCGGTATGCAAAGCTGCTGAACTTCCATTGACAAGTGATCCAGCCTCAAGCATCCAAGGCTACAGACAAAAAAGTAGTCGTTTTCCAAAAGTCTCCAACCTGAAAGGCTAGGGCACTGGTACTAATGATCATCCTAATGATTTCGGCGCCACTTCGAAGGATATGAAGACCTGCCGACATTCAGAGGACCCAACGGTTTCGCCGCCGGTGTTGCTGCCCAACATTCACAAGACTACTCCGCTTGGTATGGAAGTATACCTGGATTGAAAGTCCTCGCACCATGGAGCTCAGAAGATGCGAAGGGCCTCTTGAAAGCGGCAATCCGCGATCCCAACCCTGTTGTCTTCCTTGAAAATGAGTATGTGACCTGACCACGCCAGCGGTTTTATAGAGAGGAAGCTATGCCATCAAATACGCGGCTGCATGCCTGCATATACGTGTGTTTTGGGCTCTTAGTGAAGACGGCCCAGCCTTTGACGCAGATGGTCTTATTCTACAGGCCAAGTACCAGGTCTGGTCTCCGTCAATGATACAGGTGGAGAGGACGTTAGACAAGTTGAGAATCTTGTGCTCTCTTGTCTCAAGAGTTCATATCATTCGAAGGAGTCTTAACTAGCTCATGCCAATAATCTATTTAGCGGAGACTCCCCAGACCAATGTCCAGAAATCTTTAACAAATTCACCGCCCTCCTGTAAAACCTGAAGGAAAGCTTCACTCTTGGCTAGACAAGGCAACACAGATACAACATAGCAAGTAACAAGGTTGCTCAGGCTTCTCACCGTATTTTTAGGACTATAGGTATGCTGATAGGAGAATCTTAGCAGGTCCATGATATCTTCAACTCTGGCCTCATAAATAGTAAAGCTCTTCAAAGTTCTGTGGATCTTATAGAGAACAAGATCTTTGAGCGGTTTTATTCCATATAAATCCGCTAACAAATAGAGACGGGCGTGCCCTAAGAAAACAGGTGTAAAGTTGTCCCTGGGCGACTTGTTACTAACCGGCACGAATTGCCCACAGCACTGCGCATAGAACTTGGGAGGAGGGTATTCGTTTTCTAAGAGCAGACTGATCTCCTTGGCCTTTTGCAAACTCGTCCATCCAGCGCATGACTTGAATAATGCCACCAGACCCTGAGACAGAGGTTCGGGCTCCGTCTCTTTAGACCTGGTCGCTCTAGAATTCGAGTCCACTGCATTCCGCCTCGCTCTTAGCCGTGGACCCCACCTATTCTCGTTGACGACAACCCTTTCGTGAACAGGCGCAGAATAATCATTCGAGTAACAAAATTCACAAAACCGAACAAATGTATCTTCATCGACGTCTGGCCACTCGACCCGCCTGGACTTTGCCTCAATCATTCCACCGTGGACCAGAGCGCTCAGCGCCGGACTTTGCTTCGCTATCGCATCGGAGTGTACTTTGAAAGCCACCTTCTGCGGGCCGATTAGAAAGGTAAAGAGATTTGAACATATCAATCTAACCATGTAAGCCTCACTCGTCGAAGCATAAAAAGGCCACGCAGCACCTACTCGCCGAACGACTGGTCCATGATTGAGGAGAGACTCTGGGCTCACCCGCTGAGGGGGACGAAGTTGATTCGACGCGGTTTAAATGATTCCAGATATATATATATATATATGTGTTTCTGAGCTGGAGAAATATTTCGGTGAACCGAAGGGATGCGCAAGATTATAGTGCTTCATTCGCGCGGATGATTAGGAGGTAAACCCAAGGTTCCCGCAAGCCCATGACGTCCACGACCTTCGCTGGGTTTCAATTGTCAACGTTAACTATGGAAGAAATATTGAGTTTTCAAGAAGCTTTCTATTTCAAGAACGAGGTGCTTTTTGCGCATATCAGTGCATATACAAGAAGTCAAAGGGAGAGAAGAAAGATGTGCGGCCATGTATGCGGATGGCTCATATGTACATACATGAATCATTACCAGTGTTGTCTGATGACAGAGTGAATTGACTCGTTAGCATGCCGCTGATCCCGAAATACCGTAGCTAGTGCCCTCGCGGAATCCCTTTTCAACAAATCCGTCCTAATAAGCTCCATCATTATCCGTCAGGATTCGATTGTTTCGCAAACCGAACCGGCCCGTCTCCAAGGCGAGGTCAAACTATCAATAGCGTTTATAGGCGGTTCTTAACAAGGGGTTGATACGTCCCCCGGGACGACTCGTGCACGTTGGAATCATAGAGTATCATCCTTCATACCAAACTAGGTACACTAGGTCCTTTCCAATTCCTCCTGTGTCCACCTCAACTCGTAGCCGAACACAGTTCGCCGAAGCTTTTCATCCTAGACCATTCCATTAGTGCCATGAATCCCGCAAGGTAGAAGCAAGACTCACGCCCGGGTCCTCTTCAAACAAGAGGCTCTCCAGCACTTTCTCGAAGAGCTTTGTCACTTGAAAACCACTGGCTTCAGCCTTGGGGAAGAATGCAACGATCTTCTCCAAAAGCCAGGGTTGATACGGCGTAAACACCACAAAGGCCACAGCCTCTCTTGACCTCTTCAACGTGGACCGCACACTAGCGATCAGATTATGATGTTGTGGATGGTTGTATATCACGTCCGCCAGTATCAGCACATCGAATCCATCCTCCGCACATTCCAAATGGCCAAGCACCGTCGCCGGATCCGCTCCCCATTGATATCCCTCTGCACGCAGCGACGACGGAAACTGCGAACTCGACCGAATCAACTCCGCGCACGCAGCCGCATTGATTCGCAGGTTTTCAACCAGCGCCGGATCTGGGTAGTCCGTTACCACAACCGTCTTGGCCCCTTTGACGGCGCACACTAAACTGGGTAGACCGGCGCCGGCGCCGAGTTCGAGGATGGTTTTGCCTTGGATCCATGATTCTGCGCGCTCTTCTAGGTAATCGGATACTACCTTGCCAGCATTCCAGAGTAGGTAGCCCTCTCAAGGAAAAAGCTGTCAGCTCAAAACTTCTATATGGGAAAGAATGGGAAGCCATAGTCCATACATAAAGCGGGTGGTCGCCTACGAGTCGTAAATTCAACTCCTGTCCCGATAACATGCGGTGCTGGGCGAAGGTGGGGGGTTTGGGCGGCGGGAGAAAGCCCTCTGGTTCTTGGAAGACCGCGTCGAGATCAAAGCCGTCATCCTCTATGCCCGAGGTCATAATGGCAAGTAGTGAGAGGGTGAAAAGACGGCGGTTGAATAGTTGCAAGTGCAGAGTTCGAAGTTTTGGCGGGGATGTCCCCCAGGAATAACTATCTACGGAGTAAATTCAACTAACTAGTTAACTTGATGCCCAGGCATTCAAAGGGGCTACAGAAGCATATTCTTGCTATATAGATTTCTGTATTCCTTGATTAAGCCCCTGGAGGTTTGCAGGCTTCAACTACAGAGATACTTCAAAAGGACTTTTGATATTACCTTGCAACAAATATCACCAAATGGCCTTGCAACATAAAAACCACAGCCCGCACATTAGCACCAGACGTGCATTGCCTTTAACTGACTGGTTTGAAACCGTTAACCAAGTTGTCGTATTTGCTCTCGGGGTAGTTGAGGTTGTTTGCAGTGTGATCCAATTTTTTGATCTCCTCGAAATATGTTCCGATCAGACTGCCTTCTTCCTTTGAAGCAGTCTTCCCGCCTTTATCCCCGCTGCTCTCCCACCACATAGCGCCGCCCAGCTGGTTCTGCGTGATGAAGTCCGTCTTCTTCATTACCATATCCGGTGTGTCGTATGAGACCATCATCTTAGCCTTCTCATCGATGCTGTAGGTGGCACCAGCTTCTTTATCGTATTTCTCCGTTGCGTCTGGCCTCGGTAGCGCTTTGTAGTCCCAGATACCTGGCTGCCAACTACCCGGACCAGACCCTGAGAATGGGCGCCCAGGGCCGTTGGTGTTTGCGAAATCGCGCCCGTACAAGGGCATACCTAGAATTATTCGGTTTGCCGGCACTTTAGCAGATCTATAGTACTCGACTACGTCTTTAGTATTCCATGGCGTTGCAGAGGGCATGCTGGCGGATGCGAATAAATTCGCCTGATGGCCAGCGAAGGCGCTCCACGGGCCGGTAAAGTCATAGGCCATTAAATTGTAGAAGTCCAGGTATGGCGTCATTTCTTCTAGCTTAAGTTTCTCTTTCTCGGGTCCTGCAAGACAAGAAAAAATTAATATATGATTGACATGTTACAGGCACGGCAAGCACACCGGCAGGACAAGCAATGGTCAGATAGAACTTTCGGTTTGGGCCTGCTGCCTTTGAGAGCTCCTGTGTATTGTCAGCTCAACGGAGCAAAGAATGATACCGAACCAGGGACTTACTTCACGGCATTCTTTGAGAAGAAGGACATAGTTGTGAGCCTCAACCTCATCTATTGCTTCATCAGCCATCTTTGCATCTTTTGTGCGACCGAATCCGTAACAATACTTTTCGGATATTCCCAGTCAATATCAAGCCCTGATAGAACGTCAGCGGCTGCCTAGCAAGCCTGAAACTGTGAATAGCGCAGAACTTGCCATCGAAACCAATGTTTAAAATTAGCTGCGTTGCGGTTTTTGCAAAGGTGGCCCTTCCTTGCTCAGTACTCGCAGGCTTGACGAAATTGCTAGACCAGGTGTAGCCCCCGATAGAAAGCAAAACTTTCATCTGCCTGTGCTTTTGTTTGAGCAAGAAGAGCTGCTTCACGCAACCGTAAACATTGTTGCCTGTTTCGGTCCAGGAATCCCCTTCGTAATGCTGCTGTAGGTCGGACCATTCATCGCTCAGATAACTAGACAAGTCAATTCGAAGAATTGAATGAGAACATATTCCACATTATTGCTAAACACTCACACTTCACCATTCTCACGAATGTTGGCAAAAGAGTAAAGGACATGCGTTATCTTATTGGCAGGAAGATCCTGCGGATGGTGCTTGCGCCCATAGATAGCCTGCGGAGTTGTCAGTACGATTCATAGGAATTGCGGCGGCTCAAGGGTTAAACTGAGATTCCTGGCTGCCCCGGCAATGACCAGCTGGTTCAGGACAGTGGAGTCCATGGAAGATAGGAAATACAGAGAGAGAGGAAATGGCAACAGACCCAGTTCACATAATAAACAACATTTTTCATATCAGACATGGTCACGAATCTTTTCAACGTAATCCGATAAATCCTTTGATTTCGCAGCAGCGAAGTAGGACGGAATAGGCAAATTCAATCCCTTTCTATCTTATATTGTGCAGATGGCGGTTCCATACAAGGACTTTCGCCGCTTCAAGTTACGAGAACAAGGCATGAGTGCCTACATTCTGCCTCTTTCAGCACGGATAGTGGTAGCAGTGATGCCATTGTGAGCTGTCCAGTTCGTGCACAAGCCGCGTTGAGAGATGATTTGCCTTCCCGTGTGCAGGTTTTGTAAACATTTCCTAAACCTTGTTCGCCGCCGATAGCTATCAATAGGCTAAGAGACTCGTCTAGAATCTAACAGCACTCGCATATCTATGATATCCGAAGGGTTGGTCGTTAGCGAGAGAATGGTACCGCATGCCGAGTTTGTTCGGATGGAGACGGCACATGAATACCAACCAGAGCTCAGACGCGACATTTCAGATGTTGTTTCAACGATGCTTACAACCAGCCTCGGCGAATCAGTGAATTTGGTCACGTTGGTTCTCTGCTCCTCTCTGAGGAGTTGCTATCAAAGCTGGCTCCCTAGGCACCAATTTAGAAACGCCGGAACAAGCGGAATCGGTCACGTAATAGGACCACGGCTCAAGCTAGATACACAACACAGCATCCTTTTTCGGTTGAAAGAAGATCGATATAAAAGAGAGCCAGTCTCCAGCAAGCATCCATACCAACAAAAATGAATGATATGCCGCGTAAAGGTCCATGGGTATAGATATCCCTGCCGCAGCACCGCTGCAGGCAGTGCTGCAGATAGAATGGCCATCAGATTCATGGGCCATGGCAGGCTAGGAATCCCATGGCAACACGGCAGTGCAGGGTATGCCCATTCGAATCCAAATACGAGACAAGTTAAGGCGGCATTGACCGTGGCAGTGAAGCCATAGCTTCCGATATTGAAGGCACTGGGTCCAAGTAACCAAACTAAGCAGAGTGAGGCCCTGTGCCTGAGTACGTAGAGCAATGTTAAAGCCCTCGACAATATTATATACACCTAATGGCGCTCCTGTCCATGCCCACAGAGCCATAGATGGCTGGATGCCCGTTGCATGATTTCCGCGATGGTTCAAGACAAACCGCGGTGTGAGATAAAACAATTGTGATGTGGTTTCGAGCCGGCTTGCTCTCAAGCGTAACATATCCCGTTACCTGGATAGACCAGCATATCTGCAGCACAATACAAAACCTGTCAGTGGGATTTGCAGTTTTAACTTGAAACTTCACATACAATACAGATAGTCCCCAACACATCCGCAGCCACGGGGACCTCCATCACCACGGCAAAGCACCCCAAGGAAAGATTTTTACGTGTCAATGGGAAGAGGGGGTTGCTGTTCTCGGATGAAGCCGTGAGGCATGCTATCTGGAAGCAAAGTGATAATTAGATGCCTTCGTGCCAAGTTGGGCTAGCAACCGCTGACCGATTGACGCCAATGCGAATCACCAAACTGACGCCGTGTCGATGAACCTGGTCATTGGCAGCTGATCTAACGTACTTCCCCACCCAACGAACATCCCCACCCACTGAACACCCAAAACTCACTTAACAAACTTTCAACCCTCCAGCTTCAAAATTCAAAATATGGTCAACAAGAAATCTATACATCTTGCAATTAAGGATTTGGAAGGTCAGGAGACCCCTAATTTTAAATCTACTGCTGAAAAATATGAAATCAATTAAATTACATTGATGCAGTGCTTTAAAGGCCAACAGATCTCAAGATCCAATGCAGCTTCAATTTATCACAAAAAGCTGTTAAATTCTCAAGCTCTCATTCTTTTGAAGCATATAGAGATTCTTTCTGAACATGAAATTCCTGCTACATCTAGAATAATTACAAATCTCATTGCAGAAATCACTAATGAGAACATTGAAAAGAACTGGATCTCTTACTTTTGCAAGAAGTATGCAGGTCAGATCAAAAGTGTATATATACAGATAATTAATCAGAAGCAGAAGACTGCAGATAACTTATTCTTCTTTCTAAACTTCTTTACTATAATATTTGTCTTATTTCATTCTTTTTTACATCCATTTGACATGTCTTTACTGACAGATAATCTCTCATCCTTCCAGCTTGAAGAAAAGATCAAGAAATATTGAATTAAGCTCTCAAATTCATACAATTTTGATGAGAAAGGCATAGTTCTTGGTCTTATATAAATCATGAAGCAAATTCTTACTCTTGATGCATTAAATTCAAAGCAGATATTGGGGTCTATGCAGTCAGAAATTCAAGATTTTATCTCAATTCTTGCCTGCATTTGTATGGATGGAACAGCACTTCCACCATGCTTAATCTACAAGAGGGAGTCAAGAGATATGCAAGATAGTTGACTTACTGATTTTAATAGCTTAAAGCATCAAGCTTATTTCACTGCTTCTGTCAATGAATGGAGCAATGATGAATATGAATTGGAATGGCTGAAGATCTTTAACAAGCATACAAAAAATAAGACAGAGATGGATTGGAGGCTTCTCATTCTGAATGATCATTCATCTCATGTTAATATGACATTTATTAATTATGCTGATCAGAACAAGATTATCCTCACTATTCTTCCATCTCATTCAATCCACTATTTACAGTCTCTTGATATTGGAATATTTGATTCTTTGACAAATGTCTACTCTATCCAATTGAATCTTCATTTGCAATCTGAATTGAGCTATATCAGCTAGACTGAGTTGTGGGACTGGTTCTGGGATCCCAAATTCCATGAGCATTGGTTCCAGTTTCAAAATCTGATTGGGGATTTGTCCCAGAACCAGCCATCTTGCTCTCATATCTCATTTCAGTGAGAAATGGGATATAGAATTCCATTCTGCACTCAAGTAATTCTCAGCCAGCACCATCCCAGTATGAGATTCACATCTCAAGAACCTTTCCATCTCACAGTAGATGACATCAGTTCCAGTACTGGACAACTCAAGATGGGACTGGGATGGGACATGGATTTCTGATTTCATGTTTCATTATGTATAGCAAGAAGCTTAAATTGCTTCTAAGATGCTAGAACTATTATCAAAATTCATTACTTTTTCTACAGTGTGTATCATGATTAATGGAAAACTCAATATTCTCAGAAATGGTTCATATTAATAAATAATGTTGAGGCTATTAGTCAGCTCAAGCCAGCTCAATAAATATTCATCTAGTTAGACAGATTGATGCTCTTCATCTTCATTAACTCATCTTTCTTCTCTTCTTCTTCTTCTTCTTCATTATTGTTGTTCTCTTTTTTCTCTTCATCTTCAACAGGTTCTTGCAGCATCTTCAGCAGTGTCTTAAAGTTGAACTTCTGCTGCTGCACAACAGAGTCAGAGGTCTCAGGAGTGATGGAAGTGGCAGTGTGAGTGGCAGAGACAGAAGCAGCAGATGCAGCAGAGCAGGCAGCATGATGGACAGAAGTGGCAGTGAGAGCAGCAGAGTGGAAGTGGTTGGCTGTTTTAATTGATCTGAAGAACTGTGACTTAATCATGAAGCTAATTCTCATGATTAGATGCATATTCTCAGCATTGATGGTCACACATTTCTGATGTGTCATTGTCATAATCAAGCCTTTCCAATTTGCATTAGTTATATGAATATCAACTTATACAATTGTTAATACTCACACTTGAATAAAGTAACAATGATCATCTCTGTGGCCTCTTGAAGATTTTTAATGACAGTATGTTGTCAGTGGATATCATGACCTCAGTCACAGTTAATAATGATTTTATAAATCAATTGCTGAAATATGGCTGCAGAGATAATAAGATCTGTGAATCTTTGAAGATGTTTAATCTTCTGAATCACATTTAAATGATTCAATTAGCATCAGAACTGTTATTAAAATTTGTTACTTTTTCACATATGGGTACCAGCTTTCAACTGGTGTTGGGGGGGTTGGAGGTGGGGAGTTTTTTTTTTGAAGACTGTTGAATCAGTCTTTGAGTTCATTTTATATCAAGTTGTCTTGACAGCTTCCCACTCTTTTAGTGCAGCCTCATACTGCAACTCATCACTGATTTTGTACTGGCCAGTGTGGGGAAACTCAATGTGATCCATTATTGCAGCAGCAGGAAAATGGATGAGATGGAGTAGACAAGAGCATTGAGACAGTTTGTGGGGAGACCAACAAATGGTAAACAAAATTGATAATGGTTAGTCTACAGAAAAAAAAGAAGAAGAAGAAGAAGAAGAAGAGAAGATGAAAATACTGATTTTATATCTTCTGTCTGATATCATGATACTGCAGCAACTGGTTATGGGTTTATAGTAAACAAATTGACAGCTTGATATCACATTAAAACAAACATATTGTATTAAAATAAACATACTCTGATATGACAACAGTAGGCAGCTTGATATTGCATTAAAACAAACATATTGTGTCAAAATAAACATATCTAACATTGCATGGCAATGTAGTAAACTGCATACTGCATAGCAACAGTAGCCAGTATAGAAGCTTGATATTGCATTCAAATATTTCAGACATTCTCATTTCATTCTCATCACAAAGTCAAATGTGTTCTGAATCATCCAACATTACTATCAATGAATAAAATGACTTCATGAGGTGGATATTCAATGTGTAAGAAGACTCATGCTGTGTGAGAGAATAGGCAGGTTCTAGCTGAGCAAGATTGGAATGTTTTTAAAGCTGAGAAGACAGATCACAAGACATGTTATGATACTCTCTGAAAGCTTTAAGTTAAGAAATTATAATGTGTATCAGACTATCAGCAGCAAACTGACTTATATCATACTGACACAGATTACAGAAAGAATATCAATAAGTAAGAGTGTCAGACAATGAAAGATCAGACCATTAAAAAGCTCATGGTCAAGCAATTTGTCAAGAGCAAGTTCAAGAAATACCACAAGCACCAGATGCTAGTGGCCCATGAGAAGCAGAAGACTGAGGAGAAGAAGAAGCATAATGAAGAAGTCATGCAGATGCAAGAAGAGATTAAGAATAAGATATATTAAAAAGTAATAAAATTTGATAATGATTCTAACACATTTAGATCAAAATTGAACTTGCAGTGCATTCAATTGCTGTGTGCATCCAGACTCACACCCATGCAATAATGACTGCTCTTGAAGTCAAAATTATGACCCATGGGCACAATTGTCTTGCTGCTGCTGATCTGTTAAAAAATGAGATGGAGAAGAAGATGAAAACATTCCAGAGTCATTTGCAGACTCTATTAAATGAGAAGATGCTATCATCATCAGAGAAGATGAACAAGAAGAAGTTTGAGATTGTCATCTCTTCTGATGAAGTGAAGAAGAATGAGAAGAAGAAGAATGACTGAATTATTAATGTCTAAGAATAAATAATTTACTTATAATTCAAAGTCATTGTCAGATATTTGCTTCATGAAAGAAGCAATTCACAGATATTGTCTTCATGCAAGAAGTTTTTCATGAATATTCTCATCATAAAGAAAGTTATTGTCAGAACATTCTCTCTCTCTTTTATAATATAAATTATAAAACTCTTCATCATGCTCTCTCTCAATTCAATATTTTTCAGAATCTTCATCTTCAATAAATCTGTTGCCAACTTGCCATCATGAATTCAGTCTTCCAAGAAAGCATTGTTATAGATAATAATGCATTATCTTTTACTGAAGTCTCTTCTGAATTAAGTCAGATGCTAATTGAGAAAGTAGTATATATAAAATAACAACTGAAGCACATAAAGATCTTTGCTATCTGATGATCAACAATAGAGACTGCTCAGTTGATTAAGAAGAAGAGAAACTGAAATTCAAATTGAGCTGTCAAGAACTGTCACTCAGACTTCTGAATCAAATATGATCAAGCAGCTGAGCTTTCAAGTGGCATCTCAGTGGTGATCTGTAATAATTGTCAGACAGTCCTCAAGCATCCAAGCTTTACTGAAAATGATACAAGTGGGTTGAAGAAACACCTGTGTAGTGCAGAGTGTGGGAAAACAGGAGGTGAATCTTAGAATTTATGACAGTTGATGATAAGTGGTTATTTCATTTTTTTATATAAAAAAGTAATGAATTTTGATAATGGTTCTGATGTTCTAGAAGTCAAATTGAAAATGTTCTTAAAATGTATCACTTATTTCTGAATGCAATCTAGAAAACTTTCAGCAGCAACTTGTGCAAACTGTGATATCTCTGAATCTCTTCTTCTGTGCAATTGAAAATCCAATTTTTAAGACAATGATGTCAATGCTCAATTCTTTGATGGCAAACAACATTTCAACTTGCAAGGCACTGTATCAGATCATGAACATCATGTATGATAATCTTTTCAAGACACTGCTGACTGATCTTAATGTGACAACAAAAATGTCTTTAACAGTGGATAATTGGACAAGTCCCAATAATCTTGCTTTTATGACAATTAATGGATATTATATTACAAAGAACTGGAAGTACTGGGAACATTTGCTAGATTTTGAGAGCTTACATGAAGCTCATACAGAGAAGAATATGGTGAAAGTTCTTACAAAATGTCTGACTGCATGGAAGCTAGACCATCAGCTTCTAGCAATTACAAGTGACAATACATCCAATAACAATATAATGCAATCAGAGCTGAAGGAACAACTGCAGCCAATATTGACAAGATTTAATAGATCTGCTGAATGAGACTCAGAAGCTGAAATGATACTCTGTCTGATTCATGTAATTCAACTTGTGATTTGAGAGCTTGTCTGCAAGCTCAAGATTCAGTCAGAGAATGATATGTTGTCAATAACATTTGATGAAAATGATCTTCAGAAGAATTTCTCATCAAATAACACTTTTGCAAATACACTTAAAAAGATAATAAATTTTGATAACAGTTTTAATACATTTGAAGCAATTTGCTAACTGTGTGACTGATCTCAGCTTTGACTCATGATTAATACCACCAATGCATCACCTCAACTTGTGGCTTGATTTCAAGAGTATCAACAAATCAACAAGTGAAAGATGATCCAGAATGTCTGAACCCAATGAAATTCAACATATGAAATGTGTATACAAGCATTAATTCTTTATGAAGTGATAGATGCATGAAATCAAGAATCAGCAGCCAAATATCAGGCTCTACAACTTTCTGAGAGTGAATAAAGTCAGATGGAGTACATGGAGAAGCTTCTGTTACTGTTCAATCACTATATCAAGACAATATTGAGGATAAAGAGATCAACAATTCATATGATGTGATGTTATCAAACTTGTTGTCCAACATAACAAATTGGGGCTTTAGTGATCAATACTTCAATGATGCTTGATCTCAAGTTGGTGGACTTGTTCAATAACAAAAAGTTTCCATACAGATGTGTCAGAGTTGGGTTAAGACTGTCATGTCTTCTCAAGAGTAGTGAGAGCAGATACAATCATACAGTATCACAGAACTTTAATGATATGAAAAGTAATCAAGATATGATAGTATCTGTATAGATAAAACTATAGAGAGAATGGTAAGAGAGAAGATTAATCATAATGAATGAATCCATCTGATCAACAGTAAAGAGCATTCTTATATACATGATGAGTATTATAAATAGTTCAAGTAGTCTCTTCTATTCTTCTGTTCACTAGTTAAGATAGTTGTAACTATTCTGACTATCCAGCTATCTGTCAGTTGAGATAGTTGCTACTATTCTGACTATTCAGTCACATGACTTTCATCTTTTCAGATTCTAGTTATTCCAGCCTGTAACTCTCATAGTCTCATCATGCTCCACTTTCTGGTTGCATCCTTCATATGCTCTTTTAATGGTGTGTGATGATTCTGTGCTGTGCCACAAGATTTATAACATCATCTTCTTCTTTCTTAGCATGTTGTTCTCAACTGCTTACACTCCTTCTTAAATATAAAGAGTGATTATTCTCTTGCTTTGCTTTCAAAAAGATTTTCTTTCTGTAAGTGAATGTTCTCATGGCTCTGTTGTCATGACTTTGAAGTCTTCTTGCAATAACAAGTGTCTAGCTTCTGAAATTGAAGAAATTGGTGTCATGATGTTTTCTTGCTGCATTTATTATTCTCATCATGATAAAGAGTGTGTCCATTCTGATAAATTGATAAAGTGCTCCAAATGTTGTTGACTTGGTTGTTGTTGTGTTGTTGACTCCACACCTTCTGATTATGATTGACAAAATCTCAAAGCTGCTCACAATAAGCTTGAACTTGAAGAGATGAAAGCTTTTAAGACTGTTCAAGCTGCCTCTGCCAAACTTCTTTGTCTTCAAAAACAAAAACATCTTCTTCATGATTGTGCTGGCAAATTTCTTGAGTCAGATCTTCAGTTGTTAGAGGAATTGGAGTGTCTTGAGAAGAAAGAACAGAAGAGAGTGGCTGAGCAAGTGAAAATCCAACAACATCTTACTTCATTAGACAATTTTTCTTTGTTGGAATTGCTTCTCAAATTCTTCTTTTCATTCATTAATACTCTTTTAAATGAGAGTGTTGTTGATGATACATCTCAACAATCTTCCAGACATTCATAAGATTTTTTGCTGGTTCTCAGATGTTTTCTGAGATATTGTACTCTTTTCATTTCACTAGATAGTGAAGTTTTCCACTGATCATCTGGTGGTCTAGTATTTGTTCCACTTTATATTCTTGTTCATTATTGATTTCTGTGGGCATTTCTTTAGCTTGTAGCAGTGCTTTTTCCAGTAATGAGACATGAAATACAGAGTATATTCTCATCTTTTTTGATAGTCATAGTTTGTAGTTAACCTTTCCAATCCACTTTTCAATCTTGTATGGTCTCAGTTTCTTGAAATCAAGTTTCTCATTTGATCTTTTCATCTTGATGTTTTATTAAAGTAGAAATACTTTCTCCTCCTTCTTTAAGATAGGTGTCTTCTGGCACTTCTAATCATAGTAGTACTTCATTCTTTCTTGTAAGAATTCAATGTTCATCTTCATGTGATCTTGCAATTCTTTCAGTTGTACTGCAGTGAGTTCTGCTTCTTGAGCTCTCTGTCATGCAACTCTTGGTTGTTGTTGTATTTCTGGTTCTCTACTGTAATTCATATAGAATGATGTCAGTTCTGTTGTGGTGTTCTTTAACCCATTGTATGCTAGTTGTGTCATTGATAGCAGTTCAACTCAGTTGTTCTGTTGGTAGTTCACATATTCTTGTAGATATTGTTTCAAAGTCTGATTTAATCATTCTGTCTGGCTGTCTGTTTGTGAGTGATAGACTGTTGACATCTTTTATTCAATCTCTAATAGTGCCATTAATGTCATTCAGAACTTGCTCATGAATCTTGTATCTCTGTCTGTAATTATTTCTTCTGACAATTCATGATTGATGATCACTGTTCTTAGTACTGTTTGTGCTGTTCCTGGTGTGTCTGTTGCTTCTTTGAATAATATAAAGTATTCATATTTTGTTAGTCTGTTGGTGACCACTAGTATTGCATCATACTTCTTTCTGTCCATATTCTTTGATTTTGGGAGTTTCACAATAAAATTCATTACTATAGATTTTCATGATTCTTGTAGTTGTGGTATTAACTGTAGTTTTCCATATGGTTGCTGCTTGTTGATCTTGCTTCATGCACATGTCTCACATTCTTTGACATATTGTTGAATGTCTGTTCACATTTCTGATTAATAGTACATTCTTGTGATCTTCTTCATTGTTTTGTCAATGCTGAAGTGTCCTGAAGTGACTGTATCATGTTCTTGTACCATCACTTCTTTTCTGATCTTTCTTGATACATATATCAATCTGTAATATAGTATCATTCCATCTTTCTTCTTGAAGTTCTTGTTTTTGTCATCAATCTTCTTTGCATATTCATCTTCTACTGTAGCTTTCTTGATTTTTCTTTTGATGTCTGATTCCTCTGCTTTGATTCTTGTTGCTTTTAGAGCTTGTTGATTCAGAATCATATTCTTTGTTTCTTTTAATTTCTTGAAGAGTGCTCACAAATCTCTTTTCTTCTTTATCAAGTTCAGTCTTTGACTTAGTGTGTCAGTCCATGCATTTTTGATACCTTTGCAGTGTTGTATTCTGAAGTTGTGGTGCACTAATATGTTGGCATACCATCTTGCTTGTTGTCTCATGAGTTTCTTTATTATCATAAAGTATTATAGATTATTGTGATTCAAGATGATCTCTGTCTGATGCTGGTTTTCTTGCAGTTCAATCTTTTATTTCTTTAATGATGCTACTATTGCAAGTAATTTCTTGTCATGAATATCATAATTCTGCTCTGCTGGTGTTATTGTTCTTGCATAGCACACAATCAATTTTAGTCTTTCTTATTCATCTGATTGTTGCAGTCTTTCTGCTATCACATAATCTGATGCATCTGTGTCA